ACGGACGGACGGACAAAGTCGAGTGGTTACTATACCCGCTTTAGCCTTAGGCGACGCAGGTTACAACAAATAAAGTACAAAAACCACCACTGAGAAGGTTTCTGACTCCAGACAGTCCCTTTATGATTGCTTGTTTGTCCTTGCGACTTAAAGTGGATGTATTTTATCTGGCTTCTGATTTCATTATTTCTATATTTTCATGGTAAACGTTATACATTTAGTTAATTTCCATATTTACATTATAAGGAAGAAAAAAAAAGCAACATGTATAGATCAAGATTAGATTTTTAAAAATAAATTAAAATAAAATTCCATATTATTATTTTTTTATATAAAGGGAACCTTTTTTTTTACATTATAAGAATGAAACCAAGATACATGTTTATTATTATTTTTTTGGTGAAAAATGCATTTCAAACAAATTCTCTCGCCATTCACCGATATTTTCCTTATATATTTGTCAAAAACCCTTGTCGACTAACTTATACTTTTTAACTTGAAAAAGCATCTGTTCGGATAATTCTAAAATCTTTGTCTTAAATTTCTGAAAATTTTTAGTCTGTCCTTTTTGCAAAATATTTATTTTGGTTCTACCGCAGACGTCCAACGAAGCCACCTATACTCAAGGTAGAGTCATACGTATAACACATTTTGTAATGAACGATTGAACAATTTGGTAATTTCCCGTTCATCAGAAGACATTTAGCACAGGACAAAGCAATTGCGATTGCGTGTTACATAATAATACATTAATACAAATTGAAAATTTGCTATCACATATATACAAACTCCACTTCCTAGGGTACACACCGAATACATGTACAATATTAGTGTAGCTGATAATGATTAGATAAATAAACAATATTAATAAAAATTGATTGAAGTCCACCCAGTAATGTAGTATAATAGGTACGGAGATAACGAAAAATGAAGGTATGTTCAGAGAAAAATATCTAGTTTGTTGGATATATGTATTTTTATCATTTGTTCAACTACAACAAAATCTTTGGTTATTTTGGCACAAGTTCATATTGTTAATTCCCAAATTTACATTTTTGCCCCTGCCTTACAGAAACTTATTGCACCATATATGTAAGACCTTGTGTGTCAAAAAGCAGACCCAAACACAATTAAGAATATTAAAGAAAATTGTAAACAAGAGGCCCATGAGAGCCTGATATCGCTCACCTGTAATTTCAATTTCAGGCATTTGACTTATTTGCAGATCTTACTTTGCTGAACAATTTTGTCATTTACACTTTCTCTCTTTCTATAATAATATTAGAGATAATACATAATCCAAATTTCCTAAAATTAACTTTCTGGACAGTAACCCAACAATAAGTTGTCCTATTGGTCTGAAGATTACTTGACAGGTAGATCTAAACCTGTTTAACACTTTCACCTATGTCAGTTTTGCTCTTACTGCTTTAGTTTTTGAAATGAATGCCAAAAACTTCATTTGACCCCTATGTTCTATTTTTAGAAACTGCCGCCATGTTTTTGAATGGACCAAATCCCCGAATATCATCTATAAACTAGATACCCTAAGGAACATTCAATTAAAGTAAAAAAAAAGTAATTAAACTTTCCCAAAAAAATGTAAAAAAAAAAAACGTTTTAAGGGCAATAACTCCTCAAGGGGTCAATTGACTATTTTGATCATGTTGACTGATTTGTAGATCTTACTTAGCTAAACATTTATTGCCATTTATACTTTCTCTCTATCTATTATAGTATTTAAGAAAATAACCAAAAACAGTAAAATTTAATAAAAATAAACTAATTCCAACAGTAACCCAACAATGGGTTGTCGAACTTGTCTGAAAACATAACATATAGATCATGACCCATTTATCACTATAAATCCTTTCACTTTTGCTCTAACTGCTATAGTTTTTGAGACGTAAGCCAAAAGCTGCTTTTGTCCCCTATGTTCTATTTTTAGCCATGGCGGCCATGTTTGTTGATGAATCAAAACTTCGGATACATGTTATAAACTAGATACCCTAAGAAACATTCAGTTATAGTTTGGAAGTATTTGGCCCAGTAGTTTCAGAGAAGAATATTTTTGAAAAAGTAATGGACAAACGAAAAAATGTAAAACAAAAAACAAAAAAACGTTTTAAGGGCAATAACTCCTCAAGGGGTCAATTGACTATTTTGATCATTTGACTTATTTGTAGATCCTACTTAGCTTAACATTTTTGCCGTCTACACTTTCTCTATATCTATTATAACATTAAAGATAATAACCAAAAACAGTAAAATTTCATAAAAATAAACTATTTCGGACAGTAACCCTACAATGGGTGGTCCAATTGGTCTGACAATTTCATAGCAGATAGATCTTGACTTTTTCATCACTTTTACTTCTGTCACTTTTGCTGTTACTGCTATAGTTTTTGAGATAAAAGCCAAAAACTGCATTTGGCCCCTATGTTCTATTTTTAGCCATGGCGGACATGTTTGTCAATGGATCAAAACTTCTTTAATATTCAAGATAATAACCAAAAACTGCAAAATTTCCTTAAAATTACCAATTTAGTGGCAGCAACCCAACAATGGGTTGTTCGGTTCGTCTGAAAATTTCAGTGCTGATAGATCTTGACCTATTGAACATTTTTACCCCTTGTCTATGTTATATTTTTAGCCATGGCGGCCATGTTTGTTGATGGATAAAAACTTCGGATACAATTTATAAACTAGATACCCTAGGGAACATTCAGTTAAAGTTTGAAGGTTTTAGGCCCAGTAGTTTCAGAGTAGAAGATTCTTGAAATAGTTTACGACGACGACAGACGACGGACGACGACGGACGCCAAGTGATAGCATAAGCTCACACGGGGACCTTCGGGCCCGGTGAGCTAAAAAGAAAATCTGAATTCTGAAATGATAGAAAGGGATAAAACAATATTGCTAAAGTAACAGAACACAAAATAATCATAAATAAGAGTGTTTTAAGATTTCGTTGATGACTGACAGAACTGCATTGTCGAGCTTAAACAGAGTAGTATTTTCTTTCCCAACATAAATTACTTTTCCCATGCAAACTTAAACAGATGGGTTCTTATTGGAAAAGTTTATTGACTAAGAATAGCTTTTATATACAGTTTACAGAAATGGCAAGGAGTTATAATTTCGGTAGCTTAAGAACATTTTCACGGAAAGTAAAGTTAAAATTTGTTTAGAGCATATATATGAAAAAATATATAAGCGATATACTTCACTTTGAGAGTGTCTGATACTGGGAATAAAATATGTAAAAAGCGCCTCAAATCAAGCCATGACTGGATAACGATTGGAAACTATAATTAGAAACACATAGACTTTGTGCCCGACTTTTCATGTTTCGAATTTCGAACAAAAATTTTCCAATTTAAACATAATTTGGTACATCAAAATACAAGTAGCAGCATTATTCTTATTTTGATTTTTTTTTCAACAAACTAACATCTTTGAAAAAGACATTATGTAGCAAAACAACTTTTTAGATTAGGCTGTGGCTCATATCTTAGTATTATTAATAAGATATAAAAACGGGAGGATTACAACGGTTGACTTGGAGTATGTAAATTGTTCATCCCTGATTTTCTCCGATGCGACAGTAAAACCCATTTTCATGTCTCGAATTTTTGCTTCATCACCTTTTTAATGTGTTTTGGTTCTGCTTCTTATTTAACTTTAGAACGTATAGAGGGTGCATAATGGAAAAAAAGGTACAGTTTTTAGAATAATGGTAATGACACTCAATGTTGTTCAATATCACGTGATACATGTTACATCGTACACTGTGTTTATGTAGAAAAGTTTAATAGAAAGATGAGTATTAAAACTAAACACAAAACACAATGTAATACTGGTACCAATGTTATTTGAATTATTGTGTAAAATTTAAAAAAAAAAAACCTTTATGATGTGATATTGCTTGGAAATGTGATACCTAAATATGCATTTCGTAAAACGGAAAAGCATGTAAAATGGCTGTATGTTATAGACAGTAGTAGTTGTCGATGTTCAATCACGTAAATCCAAGATAATGAACAAAATATAATGGAATCGCATGAACTCCAAACGGATTGAGTCAGGGTGTATCGACAGGGTTAAGCGACTATGTATGCATCACCATGTATATAACATTTTAAATGCATCAATCGATCGAACAATTGAAAGTTGCAGTATCAAATATAGTTAAGCAATGGTATTTTATACAGATTCCGTTTGTCGCATTTCAGTTTGTTAAGTACCGATTCCGTCCGCACATTCAAATTCGGCAACAGAGTATTGAAATACTTTGAATAATTTTGTCGAGGGCTTTAAGCGTGTTAGTTTCCATGTGCATGGGGTATGAATACACATTAAAAATACAACTCAAGTGCGAGCGTTAAATCTGATACTTCGTGTAGGGAATTTGTCGTACTCTCTGCATGTAAACAGATCCATTTAACACTTCTCTGAGGGGTATGCAAGTGGACTGTGGCACGGATTATTTCTGTCCCTTTCAAACGTACTCTCATTTTCCAATTGCCGTCGAAATTGCCGTCCTCATCCATTATCCTGGTCAACCCACGTTTTTTAATGAATTTCTTGTTTGTGTTGTACTGGGCATGTATAAAATAGTTGCACCTAGACATTAGGCAACTATAAATAAACAATTAAAATGAAGGACGGCATAGGCAAATATGTGATATAAAATTCAAAAAATTGAATATCTGACAGAAAATTGTCTTGTGGACATTTGAACGATTCAAATTCGATTGATTTATGATCCATTTTGCATTGCGAAATCAAATGGCAAAATATTTGGTCATATCATACCTTTTCCTTTATAAACCAAAAACTTATCAGAATATAAAACTCATATGGATAAATAACAGTTAAGTTATACTCTTTTGGCTTAGTTCCTTTACGTTTTTCTTTAATTGTAGTGTTTCATTTTATGTACATTGTAACATTTACGACATGTTGTTTCTTTCAGACGTCGGTATCAGCATTGCTAATGATCATAGTTTATTTTGGTGTAAGCATTAAAGGGCAATGCATACCAAATCCAAATGTTACCCCAGGACCAAATGGTAAGAAAACACTTAACCCATCGAGGTCTCAAGACTAGTTAAAATGCATGTGTAGAAAAATGCTATATTTGGCACCGCCAATTCCTTATTTTTTTCTAACCATGTCATAAGAGACGATTTACATTTTATATTTTACCATGTGTTTAAAAGTTGATTTCGTTTCCGATAATTTTGCTTCTGAACTTCTTAGTAGGAAATTTCTTTGACGGCCAATATGCATTGTGTAACATTATAGCGCGATATTCATTGGTATAAACCAAATGCTACATTAAACCATGCTGTTCTTTTATTGGTACGTTTTTAGTTCGCACTTCGTAACGGCTGTGAAGTAAACAGATTCTGCACAATCTGCGTCCTCTTTTTTAGTTAAAATGTACAGTGGCGTTGGAGTAGACTTAAAAGTGTGTATAGTGGTGGGGGTAAACTTATTTTCTTTTTATGTCCAGTAATGTTTTTTGCCAAAAAGTAAGGGGGACATTAACATAGTTTCAACTTGACATTTCTCAATTCCAAGACGACATTTCTTAGTCCCAACATGGAGTTGCTTGTCTATTCGTCGTTTTTCGTTTTTTTTTGTCATGACTTTGACACTTTCTCTTCGACTTAAGTGTGTTTACGTCCCACCGATATCTTCCGTCTATTTTTGTTTAAAGAAAAAAATCGTTTCTACTTCAAAACTTTAGGATTGGAATTCTGAACATGTTTCATTTCAGATCCAGCATTTCCAACATTACCCGACGCTTTTTCAACACGATTAGAAGCAAACTTGAAGGACTTGGGTGAAACCATTACTGCGGAGATATACTATGATTATGGTAAAAATTTTGCAACAGTTAGAAAGACATCAAATGGAGGACAGACTACGACATTGCTTGATTATAACAATAATCAGATGTTCCTAGTAGATACGTGTGAGTAAATATTGTTTTCATTGTTTGGAAAATGAAGGAGAGAATTTTACAATGCACTAACTCTGAGGTACTACAATATACATTTATCAAAAGCTGTGTTCGACAAACTCAAAATGAGTTACATTTTGTGGAGAATGTATAATAGTATGGAAGTACAAGTAAAAATATAAAGCTGAGTTTTGAATATTAAAAAAGACGTGTCAACCCAACATTTACCTACCAGTATTACTTTCCGGATAATGATTCGAAATGATTGCTCTGAACATTAAACAGCAATATTAAATCAATTGAATGGTTAATTAATTGTTGTTTGCTCAACCTCCAATGCCAAATATAGCATGTATATTCAGGACAAGACAGAGATAACAATTAATCTATACTGAATGTTCTGGAAAGTGGGTCGACTGGGATGAAGGGTGGGAAATTTGGACTTCCAACTTGGAAAAAGAAGGTATTAGCATAAGAACTTGAAGTGGGCATTGTACTCTTTTAACAGGATGAACCGGGTTTAAAGTCCCCATTCTGTATGAAGACGGCTACATATTTATACAGCCCGTCAGCATGGGTTTTTATACCGGACTCGTAAAGTTCATATAACTATGTGTTTATAACCATGTCTACTTTGAGGTTTAGGAAATGCGTTAACTGTTGGCAGTAGCAATTACATGTATTTATGTCAAAACGAGTTACACTTTGATAAGCACAAAAAGACCAGTAAATTAAATTTTTCTCAATCTTATACAGCTCAGCATTGTGAAGTCCAGAACTTAAGCTCAAATCTGGACACGGTTATATTTGGTACTGCAGCGAAAAGCGGCGGTGTTTCTCATATCCTTACAACGAATGGAGTGTTGCACTTTATGAAACAGAGCGGACAGGTATTTGCAATCAAAGTACTAATTGTGGTTATTTGATAAAATTCACCTGTAAATTAAAATTGAACACGATTTGGCTAAATGTATTTTGATGAAATAGAAGATATCTTCGAACAAAAGTAACAGATGAATGTATGAAAAATTCTTACACAAAACAACTCGATATAATAAATTTAAAAAATAATATCTGTACATGGCTTATGCGGTACAAATCAATCCAAATATCAAAGGATTCATGAATACAGAAACTGAGTATATAACAAATTTACGGACGGACAGACGGACGAGGTCAGTGTAGTATATCACTAATATCCATTTTAGGTTTACAAACAGCAGCAGTTTGTTCGAGGTATCAATACTGATCGTTGGTCAACTTGCTTGGTGTGGAAAGAATTAAACTCAACATTTACTTTAGATTACTTTTTTGCTGGTAAGAAATTATTTTAGAATGTAGGCAAAGTTACAATGCACCCGGTGACAGTATGTAAGAACACGTATATACCATATATGAACATAAGGAAGGAGATGTTGTATGATTGCCAATGAGACAACAGTTTTCTATCCACCAAAGTTCAAATAAAGTGGATGTAAGCAAGTATAGGCAACCGTACAGCCTTCAGCAATGAGAAAAACCCATACCGTATAGTCGAATATAAAGATGCCCCGACATGAAAAATATGAAACAATTCAATTGAGAAAACTAACGGCTAAAACTATAACAAAACAATTTACGAAAAACAATATGACAGACGTGAGTCAACGACAACCACTGAACTACAGGCTTCTGACTTGAAACAGGCACATACAGAATGTGGAGGGGTTAAACATGTTTGTGAGCGCTTTCTTCCCAAGGAGGAAATTCATATATTTGAAATTTGGCGATATACCAGTTATAAAACGTTTGCATCCCAGCAATGACTCAAACGATTTTCTGTACAATGAGTGGAGCAATTTGCAAAGAAAATGGAATAACTTCATGTTATGTCAATGTCCATACATGTAAATACTGGTAGAAATATTATCACTAGAACGATTAGTGATTGACTTGTCATTTACAATTAAGATTAAGTATGATCTAAGATGTCATTTATTGTTCATGAGAAGAATGTTCAAATGAAATTTGATATTTCTAAGAATCCACATTTCTATGTCGTTTTAAGCAGGACATAGACTTGTATGAACATTAAGATATATTTTGACATTGTCGTGATTGGTAATTATAAATTCAAAGTAATGCATCTTTGGAAGGCGATTTGCTATCCTTCTCCGTGCGACCTCGCTCGCTAAAAATACAACTCAGCGTACCAGTTTAGTATTAAATATATGTGCGAAAGTGACCAATAAATTAGTAAGTAAAAAATCTAAAACGTGGAGAGCTCACGGATAATTATAGGACATCTCTTCATATAACGTGAACGTTGCGCGAGGGAGTTGCAGCCATTAGCTTTTGCATAAAAATACTTTCATGAATTGGAAAATGTATTTTTAAAATATCCAATGACAGTAAAGAAGTTACCGAAAGGATGATATCCTGGGGATAACTGTGTGATCCGATAGAAGCTATTCCGACCCAATTGTAATAAAAACTCAAATAATAGAATTTTCCTGCACATAACACTTGGTTTCTGAAATTACCTTTAGATCAGGTACAAAACAGGATACATTCAAATCTAGTTAACATTTTATCTTTCTGAATATTCATATAATTCTTGATGTTGATCATTAAGCATCCATCAATCAATACATTAATTATATATTCATTTTTAATTTCAAGCTGTTAATTGGAAAACACCAATCGCTTTTCCGCAAATACCCGTTAGGGCGATCGCCACTGGACAACGAATCTTACCAAACGGAACTAGCCACCAGTTTCAACATTACTATGACTATATAGACTTCAGAGTAGATATTAGCGACTATTCTGTCTTTGAGGTAAATTGATTTGTTTTCAATTCAAGTAAAGTCTGTTTATGCAATCTACCGAAGGAAAAAAAACAGATTATTTATTTCGTTGTTTATTAAATACATTGGATAAGTCCCCGACTTTATCATCAGCTCAGTAGTCAGTACTTCGGTACTTACATGATTTATAACAGACCTTTCTAAAAATGTATACATCCAATGGGGTTTGGGGAACAGAAATGTGGTCACTTAGGTCCACTTCCGATCGGCAGTAAAACCCTTGCCAAAGTGGAGCGTCCGTTTGGCTGTGTGGGATGTTTAAGTAAACAGCCACGTCCCGTCAGAATGGGACTTGTAGAGGGAGAATGCCACGCTCACTGTACGGTAAGAACCTTTGCAACAGCTCTTTTAGGGGTCCGTAGGTGTTCTATTGCAAGGCAAAGTTTCTGTCCATATCCACTACACCCATATAGCTCTTTTATCAGAAATTTTGAGTTTATATTGAATTTTTCTGATTTTTTACTCCTTTCCTTTAGTTTTTTTTGCACCTATTTTTTTCGTTACTGTAATATACATCAATTGTAAAATAGTATTGGCAGTAAAAAAAAAGGTAGCATGAAATGAAATTGAAAAGATTAGTAGTCCCTGTACTCAGTTCTAAAGACCGTTTCAAAAAGGACCCATATATTAATTACATCAATACACCAACGATAACAGGTAACAAAGTGGTATGAATTACAGTCTAAATAGCGAATAAAATTATTTTTCACATATTTGTTACGAATACGTTGGGTTTTGCATATGTAATAACCTCAAAATTGCCCGGGGCAAAAAAGAGGTTATTGGTTATTGTGCCCTGATTCCAAATGACGTGACGTCATTGCGTCCTTAACAACAATGGCGAACAATGACGGTGCTCGTTTCATCGCAGTGGAGGAAAGCGATACGGCAGACTTTGTAGAGCAAATAAAAAACGCTAACACAAGGAAAAAACTGAAAGTGACATTTAAATTCTAATGGAGTGGTTAAAAAGTGCCGGAGAATTACGCAATTGTGTATTGCCATATTCCAAAATAAGTGGAAATGTGACAATAAATTTCTATGGAGTAAATGATAAAAACTAAATTTGAAAATGTAATAAAACTTTTGTGATAAAATTTTTAAGATTTTACCTGTTATGTTTCATTAAATAGTTATAATTGAACTTGTTTCTCTTTTCTGCAGAACTTAAATATGTGATAAATAGATTATAACATGTCTTTTCCATATTGGCCCTGGTATCAACCCTCGACCCATATCGGCCCTCGGCTAAAGCCTCGATGACGATATGGGAGTCTCGGGATGATACCAGGGCCAATATGGAAAAGGGCATGTTATAGTCTATACTTATAGTTATAATCTATTCTATTACAGACTCCAAAAGGTGTATATTGTCCTGGGCGTAATAATACAAGACCCGTACCAAAGCCAAGTTCTTCCTTTCACTACAAGGCAGAGATTATTTACCAACAGTCACTGGCTATCACCTCATTAGATGTGAGTTATTTTATCATTTGTAGGGTGCTACCGTATCTAGTAGACTGTTTATATTCAAATGGGAACCACTCAAACAGTTGTTTCGATATAAGTAAGATTTAAATGATACATTTTAATTATTTAATATTCAGTTTAAAATTATGTATCTAGAGATATGAAATTTTGCAATAATGGCCAATGTCTACAATCGATCACCTTAAATCAATGCCAGTGTTGTCATATTGCCTAAAACTTGTTTCTTGATATGACTGAAATTGGTCCATGTATTAAGGGAGATGGTAATATGTCGACTCAAAGTCTCTTTTAAAATTCCACTCCAATGTTTATCTGTTTTATGAGGATTTGTAATATTTGAACAGAAATTGTTGACTTTGTTTATATTTAAGCAGCAGTTTCGATTTCGATTTTTGTTTTGTATTGGAGAACACATTTTATACTAATAGTTATACTAATAACTAGCAGTTATATTATCTTACTTGACTGTGAGGGTCATTTTAGTATCATTTTGGTAAGACATCGTTCCTATAGCTAGAACAAGTACAGGTCAATGGTATATAAACAAGGAGTTTTCCAAATTAAAAAAGTTAACGGCGATAAAGTTGGTTGACTTATTACAGGAAGTAATTTTTCAAAATTAACATCTTCTATGGGTCCATGTAGAACATAAAATAGCAATTGTGGACAATGACAAAATATTTAAAAAAAAAAAACGCACTAGGGACCGGCATCGTTGGCATTCCGAAGTCATACATCATTCACCAATCAATCGTTTCTTGCAGAAAAAGTTTGTACCATAAAATATGGTTATAGTCACCACTGTCTACCTCTCTTTGCTTGACTATACAAAGTCAATACTGTGGCAGTCATTTTACATTTGTACCATTAGTTGCTTGTTAACATTTTTTTTACTTTCATTGAAAATCAAAGGTGTGATTACTATTCTGTTTATAGTAATAACGTCTGTGTTACATTTAGTTAGTTGGCAGCATCCCCGGATAAACCGTATAACTCAATTTAAATAAAGTATTGTACAAATTGGCAATGGTTCAGAGGAAGGTAACACAAAAATAGCATATAGTGACGTCAATACTATTTAACGCATTTTAATATGATATAGATATGGTACGATAGTGAGCTTAACCTTATGAGAATGGACTACAGACCAACAACACCAACGAGAACATCGTACAATACAGATTCATTAAGTGAAGTGCATGACTTCACAACAGGTAGTATATATTATCCTACTAACTCGGTCGCTTTGGTAAACTTTATTTTCTCTGTATAAAGAAAGTTTCATTTTTTTATGATTTGCTCGTTACTACAGATTAAAGCAATTTAATTCCACAAAATAATCATATATTTGTCTTTACTTAAAATGAAAAATTCAAATAATGACTTTTTATGTGTGCTTATTATACAGCAAATTAACATCGGCGTCATGTGATTTTGTGGAACAACCATTGATGGTGCCATTGCAGTTGAATTGAAAAAAATAGTTCCTGATGGTTCTGCAATTGTATTTACATGATAGCTTAATATTGATACTTCCTATTTACTCATTTATGAAATTTGAAAACATTTTAAGTGTATCTTTCAGTTGCCCATATGTTCCTTAGCTGATTGTTTTGTCCTTCATATGCTATTTTTGATATGATTCTCAATAACATTATACTTATACGGATTGCTAATATTTTTTCAAACAACAAAGCTGTATCTACATACCAGTTTTCAAAATATGATAATTTAAAAGTTGCACTCACCTTTTCAGGAATAAAGTATACAACTGACAAGACCAGAGGCAATTGTACGATATCACAGATTACAAGCACTTCTATAGATGGTAAAAGTGGGCCATTTGGCGAACAACTAAAGAATGCAAGCCAGTTTTTGTTTTTAGATGCTAATTATCAATTTACAGGAAAGGTGAGCTTCATAAAAAAAAATCCACTTGTTTGCTAGAGGTACTCAATAGTTTTGCCGCCTAATCGGTATAATTTCACGAATTAAAATTTTTCTAATTATGAAATTATGAAAAAATTTCGTCATCACAGCTGATCATTCCAAGTATATTTACAATTAATATAAACCACAAATATATAAAAGTTCCATTCTGAATTATCCAAATTTCATTAATAAAAGGATAAGGAATATCAAAATTGAGTTAGTTATTAGCTCTTTGGATTTAAAATACAGTACGACTATTTTAGTCGTATTATTATCTTCCTTTTCGAGTCATTCATATTTTTCCTTTTTGTAGTCTTCTATCTAAATCTGTTAACTAAGTTTAAATGGTGTAACCTGTTTTACGTTATTTTTAAAACATGTCACGTCCATTATTTTTTGTTTTGTTTTAGAGAACATCTAGGGGTGTTCCCTGTGATGTTTTTACAGCACGACGATTGTTTCCATATAATGGCGTCTGGTACAATGGTACACTCAACTATTACTTTTTATCAGTGAGTAACTTTCATGATACACTACATATGAAATATGTTACTGCTTTTATCAAAACCTATCAAACATTATTACATCATAACAATTTGCAACAAGGACCCAACCATATAGCAAAGGAAACATAACATATTGATAAAACTGCTGTCAATCTATGATCGGTTGTATTTTAAGTTGTCCTGGTTTGGAAATACTTTTGACCCTTTCTGGTAATATTAGCTCTCTGATGTTTGTATAAGGTTTGAGGTTTTTAAATAGTATGGCCATGAGCATTATGTAATAGACATTTTTCGAAATGCACATCTGATACAGTAAAATTTTTACCTTTTAATGTATGTGTATATTTAAAAGGTTATTAGTTCAAAACCTTTTTTATTGATGGTTATTTATTGTTAAGGGGGATTTGTGAACAACAACTGGGTTTTTGCTCCCATTTAAGTTATTATTGTAGTTATGAAGCCGAATCAAAAGGCATGGTTGAAAACCAAAACGCAGACAAATGTCTTTCGTCTCGAATGTTATGTTATTTGTGCCACCAACTGAATTATTTATGCATTTGACATTTCTATTGTGCGTGCTTTTTGTTCTTCATTTTTTTTAAATATTGGTTTGAATTGTCAAAAAACATTTCAAGAACTATGCAAAATAAAATCAGCCTTTTAGGGGAATCAGATCGAGTCAGACCGTTGTGTAAACCAAAAATCAGTTTTCATGATCTTGAAAAAAAGCAGTTCTTAATCTTTACTATTTCAACACACAGATCTTTCAAAATGTCTGATTTAATTATGTTTCGAGTAATTTGACAAATAGAGATTGTGTAAATCTATTCTTGGAGGCGATACATGTTTTATGAAGAGATAAAGTTGTTTATAAAAATGAAAATTTTTGTATCAATTATGTTCTGTATAAGTACAATAACAGAGTGTCATTATGCATGTTTCAATGTAAAGTTTCATTTAGTCCGGTAAGTCCGTTCACTTCATTTACATAACGTTAAAAAAACTGACTTACTGGACGAACGCAATTACCGGCCAGTAATAAACTGGAATCAAACTAAATATTCTGTTAGGAGACCTATTTAAATGCTTAAGATATTTATTAATAGGACGGGTTTAAAGAGTATCCATCAGATGGTTCAACATCACCAACAGATATACCATTTTCATTAGAGGTTACTCTAGATGTGGTAAGCTATTTCTATCAATGCGCTGAATTTTACATACTAGCAGTTAATATTACAACTACACAGTGTAAGTAATGAGCATATGCATGCAAAACAACATAATTGTTCAATAACAAAGACATATTATATTTTTATTCTTTCTGGATTTTGACATCATGTTGTTACCACGATTAAGCACAACTTTGATTAATCTGACTGTAAATTAAGTCGACAGTAGTTTCCGATGTTCAAATATAAATTGATGTAGCATTTTAAAATTCAAAGTTTATAGTTTACCTATTATAATAGAATTTAGAACGGAAACGGGGAATGTGTCAAAGAGACAACAACCCAACCAAAGGGCAGAAAACAGCACACGCCACCATTCGACGCATCGATAAAATCCCGGCCTCCGGAGACGGCCTTTAGCCGGCCCCTAAACAATAATGTATACCTCTTCAGCAAAATGGACGCCATACTATACTTCAAAACATATGAATTAACCAAAATTTAAAAATAACCACACAAGATTAACAAAGGTTTTAGGTTCCTGAATTGGGATAGGCGCAAAATTGCGGTGGGGTTAACAATGTGTTGTGAGATCTCAACCCTCCCCCTATATCTCTATCCAATGTGGATTAAATAAACATATAGAAATACGCACAGTTCAACTCAGGATAAAAGTCCTAGTCCGATTATATAATAGGTAACAGAAGAAACTAAGCAATATGACAATGATCAACGTAAATAAACAATGGACTTTTTTACTATATGTTTTGCGTCTCTAAGATTGAAGGATAATAAGATCTACAGTTAATATGATTTTTATCGGTTATCCTTTTTTTATATCAACAAGGAAAAGTTGATTGATATATGCGAACAAACAACAAAATAGCTGATTGGTGTTCCTGCAAATTAATTAAACGCTTAATTGGTGTTTTTGAAAGACCAGATATTTTTTTTCGTGTCAACAATGACCACCAATGAACCATTTTGAATTCACTTCAACTGCATAGACAGTGAATATTGAATTATCTTCGGTGTCCACATGCTTGTACACAACCATGTCTCAGGAACTTAGTGGCAAACAGCAGTATCACTTAGTGTGTATATTTATTTTAGAAACATGCCATGTACCATAAGATGAAAGTGACATGACCCGTATGTCATGCTTTTACAAAGTTTTTAAACTCCATAAAGTTCTGCCCCTAATTACACACCTGAGATACTATGTGTCTTATTTGTATAAAGATGAATCTAGGGAAACATGACAGTTTCCTAAACTAAGATACAATGCGACATTCTATTCTATAACTTTGTGTCAGGAAGCAACTTGGAAGGCCTCATACAAAAAAAGTTATAGATACTTACTTATGTTTTGTTGTTATCGACTTCGCTTAAGGATTTTGTATATTCGTGATTAAAGCAGTAAACCACAAAAGTAGGTTACTCAGAACTTTAATTCACGCTTCGTTGACATATATGCAGATTACTAGTGGCCTACAAATATATGAGATACGTTGATGTACGGATATAAAAATCTACAATAATGTAAGATAATTTAATGTACGGAAATGAAAGAGGAGGTTTGGTATGATTGTCAATGAGGACAACCATCCACCAGAGACCACGTAAATGTAGGCAATTATAGGTCACCGTACGGCATCCAATAATGAGCAAAACCCATACCGCATAGCATGCTTTTAAAGTTATGCATCTTTGGGAACTGGAGACAAAATCCAAAGAAAATTCCCTCTGAACAATATTTTACGCTTTTTTAATTCGTAATGATTTCAATGTGCAAGTCTATTTCTTTACCTAGAGGACACAAGATCTGTCTTTTCCCACTAAAGTTCAATTAATTTTTCCTATTATCAATTAAAAGGTTTTTTTTCAAGGTAATGTGGTGACTTGGAGAATTTGTAATTGTAGACTGGTTCGTATAAACGTCTCATAGATATAAGATGATGTGGTATGAGTGCCAATGAGATAACTCTCCATCCAAGTCACAATTTGTAAAAGTAAATCATTATAGGTCACAAAACGGCCTTCAACACGGAATCTTGGCTCACACCGAACAGCAAGCTATAAAGGGCCCCAAAAATGACTAGTGTAAAACCGTTCAAACAGGAAAACCAACGGTCTAATCTATATACAAAACAACGAGAAACGAGAAACACGTATGACTCATATTTACTTGTACTTATATAATTTGTGTTTTCTTTTCTTTAGCCGGATATGGATCCTCTGGTTATTGTATATAATTTTTTGAACTTCGATACTGGAAAGAGGTCAGTTTCAGAGTTTGACATTTCTGCTTGCTACAGGAACATGACAAGCCTTACATTTCAACTGCGTTTACCAGGTATATGTGTGTAAATTGTATTTGTAAAATAGAATATAACAATTGCGAGTTTTGTGTAGAAACAAAGCAAAGGTTCCTTAACAAGAGTGTGGTACTCACCCATACTGCGCGCATTCAAAACAAACTTGGCTGCGTATGTATGCTCCCAGCACATCTAACGGATGATCCACATTACCGAGGGTTATACTGCAAGACTGGAGAAGCCCAAGGTTTACCATATTTCTATACCACAGTTGTGCCTGTTAATATATCCATTGAAGTAACGAGTTTATTAATGTTTTGCGTTCACGTTCCCTTTTCTCAAATTAAAATGTAATCAAGTGAAACACCAGCGCAGAAAAAAATTAATTCCCCCTCTACCACAGGCGTAAACCTCTCTGGTATGCCTTCCTGAGAAAATTGCTTAAATCAGTCAAGAGTGTAGCGCTGCACAAACATGACAAATTCTTTGAATGGCGGGCCTGTAGCCCAGTGGTTCTCGTTAGTATTGTTTGATTGATGTATTAGGTAAAATCTTACCTCTTCTGAATCGTTACACAGTTTGTTTACCGGGGTCAATTTATAGTTCGCTAGATGGTATGGATTTTGCTCATTATTGTATACCTGTGGTCTGTAGTTGTTTACACCCATGTCATGTTTTCATTGGTAGATATATTTCTTATTTTTATGACGAAGAAAAAGTTACGTCTGAAGAAAATCTTAGTGGTTTCTAATAACATTGATCACCATGCAAAAATATAATTGATACATATATGAAGTAAATTGTGAAATATGATAATTTATCCTTTTAGGTTGGACTTCTGTAAATATAGACAATGCAATTTTCCGTAGGAACTCCCTTCTCGGCTAAAACTGTGCCACTTTTGCTATGAAGTTTCGTAAAAAAAAACTATATCCTAGAATGGAAAGTTGATATGCACTACTATTTTATTCAAAGGTCAAAACATAGGGCTGTGCGGAATATTTTCAACATTTATATGCCCCGAGCTCCTAATAGTTTAAACTTATACTAAAATTATGTACTACCCCTACCTTTACTTTGGGTGTTCCTCAGAATTCAATATTCGCCGATACCATTTGTTTTTATATTGGTAACATTCCTAAGTTATGTCTCTATGAGATGAAACATAGATATCATATTTGGGAACTAGTACGTAAACAAAAACAAAATATCTTTGAATATTATATTTCTCCCCAAAAAAGACGTGGTTTGTGAAACAGCTGTATTTACAAAGTGCAACCTATAGGCTAAGGTAAAAGTAAGCTCTGTTCTTATTATTCAGGGCCTTTTAGAGAGCAAGATACAGACCTGCTACTACTGCAAGCACAGAGAATACTGCCAGCTATTATGAATATAACCAGCATAAGACTTCAGAATGTTAGGGTTACCTATGATCCTACATCGGTCTATCTTACCTGTACAATTACTAATATTGCTCCTGATTATGGTAGGTACAAAAACATGCACTGTGTTGTTTTCGATGATGATTAAAATATGAGTTGCATAAAAAGGAGGCGAAGGATACCAAGTGGACATTAAAACTCGTAAGTCGAAAATAACTAACAACTCATGGCAAAAAAAGAAAAAGACCAAAAGAAAAACATCATTACATAAAACACAACATAGAAAACTTAAAACTGAGCGACACGAACCCCACCAAAAAACCCTTGGGTGATATCAGGTGGACCGGAAGTGTAAGCATATCCTGCTCTCTACAAAACATTTCCATTAGTGATGATTCAAATTTTATAGATTAACACAAAACTTGTGTTAATGGGTTTGCATATGTGCATCACATATTTCGCTTCTCAACAGTCTGAGTTCTTCACATAGACTTATTGATAGAGAGCAGCACTTAAACAAAGACTGATGTCAGGGTTTTATTCAGCCTAAGCTGACGTCAATAGTTCTAGTTAATTACGTTCCTCGTCACAAATTATTCGATCATTATCAATAAAAGGTGTTAAAATTACAGGAAACAAAATTATTACGTTCTTTTACCGACTTTAACCCTAGACTATTCGACTCTTTAGCATATAATAAATAAAATGTTTGTTCTTCCAGAGCACCTGAGAATATTTGGAGTACAAAATTTGTGCTCGACATCCGATCAAAAGTTGCATTTGATATTACATTGTATTAAGAATACCAATTAGATTATTTCAATAATATGACCTTATTCAATAAAAGTTAGCATTTTATTCATCTTTCGTATGTGTTATTGCTAATCGTCTAATTTTCTTCTTGTTTAGTAAAATTTTCTCAAGTTACTACAGTAACCAGGCCGTCCTCTTACGTGATATCATCAAAGGACGTCAAACAAAGCTATGACTTTACTGATACATGGCAAGATTGTGCAACATACTGTTCACAGAGTTATGATTTCATCTGTAATAGTTTTGATTTCTGCAAAGAACCATTCATGTCCGGTTGTAAGCTTTATGCAGACAGACGCTCAGACATACAAACATATTTGAAGACTCGTACATCACCTTGTTTCAACTATACAGTATACCAGAGTAAGTAAGCAAAAACTAATTATACGATATGGGTTTTGTTCTTTTTTTATGGGCCGCACGGATAGTTGTCTCATTGACAATCAAACCACACCTCCTTTTTTATATTCTAACGAACTTTATGAACAGCTGGTACGTTTAAAAGAGGGCAATAAAACACAGCAATAACATTTGAACCAAACTATTCATCCCTTGGTCCTATTTGAAAATACTAAGCTTTGAATATCTTCGTTTTTAAGGTTGATCATTTGTATATATTTCCTCAGATAGAATTTTTTTATACTTTGCCAGAATGTAAATTTTTCCATGCTTTTTCCAAAAATATGATAAAAAGTATGAATCACCGTGCTATTTTTCAAGCTACAAGTCGTGCAAAATTGCCCAAATTTGCATAGATTGTTCATGAAAAAAACACCCTTTTGTGTGAGTGAAAGGAAATTAATGAGATAGAATTTTGAAATAAAATATGAGAAGATTGGTTTGAAAATATGCTTTAAGAAAATAAAAATAAAAAATAGTGACACCGACCTTGTTTTCTTGCTACAAGTTAAACTTTAAAATTTCTCTACCATTCCTTTATAAAAAAATTTACCATTTGAGTTTTCTCCTCTTAAATGGCTAAGGTGACAGAAACCAGTTATTTTTTCAATAAATCTTTAGAACTTCAATGATTTATAATTTAATTTTCATGAAAAAATATGCTTTAAGAAAATAGAAATAAAAAACAGTGTCTCCGACCTTGTTTTCTTACTACAAGTAAAACTTGAAAATTTCTCTACCATTCCTTTACAAAAATTTTACCATTAGAGTTATCTCCCCTTAAATGGCTAAGGTGGCAGAAACCAGTTATTTTTTCAATAAATCTTTAGAATTTCATCGATTTATGATTTAATTTTTCTGAAAAATCATTCAAGCTTATATGCAAATAAAATTTATGGTTTCAAGTAAATAAGATGTGTGCGTGCTTATGTGAATATATTGAAAACCTGAAATTTGGGTGTTTGTCCAGCATGGAGATTTTAACATTTATAAACACATTGCAAATAAAGCAAATTTAATCCTCACCTTCAGAATTCGACTAATGTCAGACAAGAATTTTAGGCAAATTTCAAGAAATAAATGATATTGAATGAATTAGAGCCTTGTCCGCACATATCCAAACTATCAAAATCTCAAGATATTTTTGTTTACATAAAACTGAAGTTTTTCCCCACTTTGATTGGATGAAAAATCAATTAAGGAGACCCCAATTTTGACTTCTGATTCGTCCCATATGTGAAAGAAATCCCCAAACTGTGTATGCAACTGCTTACTAATGTAGTACAATAGCCTAGAATTTACATTCATTTGTTTTTTTCAGTCCACATGATATGATTATATATTTCATTACTTAACTATAGCAAAATTTCTGCGTGGGACACATGTTCTAGTACACCAAAACTGGTACCTGTCACCTAAGTTGACAATTTGATTCGAACAAACACAAGTATTTGGTATGTGATAAATCAGTCTGAATAAAGCAACAAATCACTTATTTTTCTTTATTCCAATAAACAGTCTTACCCATTAATTGCCAATTTGTCTCAAAATGAGAAGATTCAAGCAAAGGACTAGACCTATTGTGAACTACTATTTTACAATCCAAATGGCGATATATAGTTAATCTACCATAATCGCATGTTAACTTATGAATCAGGGTTAAATATTGAACATATTTCACTTGCATTCGGACAAAGTTCATTTGAAAAGAGTAATAAACGTCTTGTTCGTTAAAAGTGCCAGTAGCTTACAAAGACCATAAGGCATTTTAATATAATATAATCATTTTACGATGGCATAACATTTTAAATGTCTTCAGTTTCTATATTTAAGAAAAAAAAAACTAAAAATGCGTTCAAAATCTTATTAGTTTTAATTAAATCTGGTATTTATAGAATAAATTATTCAACGAGTGACCGAAAAACATATTGATACAGGAATGCGGATAACGCATGATTTATTCATTGGTTTTGTTCGGTCACTACCTGAATATTTTCAGACATTTGAATTTTTTTATTAGTTATTCTTATAATTACATTGACCAATGGACATCTTTATGGAAATAAAATAGAACTGCAAGGAACTATATTAACTTTTACACATTTTAGATTTCTTTTGATGCAAGAATTCCCTGTTTTTATATGACTTCAGAGGAGTAAATTATTTTAAATGTGAAATTATCGGTTTTTATTCTACTTAGAAATCACCGTACTTTAGTGCAACAAATGTAATAAATGTATGTATCCTTGAAGTAATACTTAAACAACCCTTAACGTTTGTGTTTAACACTGTCAACCTGATCCATATGTTATTTGGTAGCAGTCATATTAGTGAACGCTCCTTGTTTTGTTTTCTGTCGATTCTTTTTCGAACTTACCCTGAATAGTATTTTTTACGTCAAATATAGATTTTGTAAATTTTCCCCAGAGTATGAAGAGAGTTCTTAATTTAACATTTTATAAAAATTTTAAATTTGCAAGATGCAACTACGAGTAAGATAAAAAGCAGTAAATTGTTGATACAACGATCTGTTGACCATTTGGATAAGTAACAATAGGTAGTACAATTTTAAACCAGGGTTATCTACAAAAAGGGGTTAATTCTAACTCTGCCGTCGCAATAGCTTGATTAACTTGACAAAGTACATCGTACTAATATTTAAACGGTCACTAATATCATTTGTTGTTAATATCTTTCATTTGTGTTACATTAAACATGTAAAATACTCTATGTTCGATAACATTCCTACGATTTCTGTATTTGAACAAACTTTGAAAACATACACATACAATGTATTTAACAGATTTGTATTACAATTGATCAAAAGTATTTTAATAGAAAGATTGGTATAATTATATTAACGATACCAATTTTTCTGTACAAGATGCACGTTTCCACAATAACTTTCTCTTTAGTGATCCTCAAGGTCAATATGTTTGATAATCCAAAACTTATTAAAAATAAAGGGCTTATATACCCTAAAGGACAAAAAGTATAGCCGAAGCTGGGCAAGGAATCAGAGCTTTGCATGAGGAGATATATTCCTTAATTTAAAATAATTTACCAACTTTTGTAACGAAAAGTTTGATAACACAATATTCGTATTATCTTGCCGGTACCGAAAAACTGGCTACAGGGCTGGTGATACCCTCGGAGACTAACAGTCCACCAGCAGAGGTATGGACCCAGTGGAAGTAACAACGTTAACGGTACCAATCTTTCTGCACCATTTGCGCATTTCGACACTAAATTTTTTTCAGTGATGATGAGGCCAATCTACTTAAAATTCCAAGACTTATCAAAACAACGAAAAGCTTTATAGACCAAAAAGGAATCATATGTTTGCATGAGGAAGTGGTAGTAATGATATTAAAGGTACCAATATAACTGTCTGGTAACTTTCGTTATTTTAGGAACAGTAAATGGCATATCAAACCAGGAAACTGCTGTTGCTGATGCATATGGATATTTACAAGATGCCATCAATCAGAAAAGCGTGCATCTACAGACATATGGACAATTGGGGTTTGTAAGTCTTACTTTCAAATACCTAGTTTACCAAAAACAAATAGCCAAGCCTTCCACATTTTGGATCTACGTGTTTCTTTCATATTGTCAGCAAAAGTTAAAATTTTAAACTAATGTAACTAGAATAAAAACAATAACAGTAATGCGGAACACTTTGCATATGAAGGCATATTAGCAATTCCCATAAGGTTATTTGGTAATAACTGTATTATATTGGTGATATTTCAATCGAGTCAAGCTGTCAAGCCTCATCAAAGATACAAGGCTTTGCTCATTGTTGAAGGCCGTACGGTGACCTATAGTTGTTAATTTCTGTCTCATTTGGTCTCTTGTGGAGAGTTGTCTTATTGGCAATCATAACACATCTTCTTTTTATATTTACAATGTTTTGTGCCAGACGTTTCGTCGTTTCGTCCTCAAAAGTCTCCGTCATTGACGCTCGAATAAAAAACGTTTTAAGGCCAAATGAGATACGAAGTAGAAGAGTATTGGAGATAAAAAAATCCAACGGGTCTCAAATTACAGCTAAGGTAAGCTATTCCTTGGGTAAAAAATCCTTAGTTTTTCGAATAAATCAAAGTTTTGTAAACAGTCAATTTATTCATATTACCATATCAACAATAGTTCATATCAACATAGAAGTGCTGACTACTGGCCTAGGCTGGTAACACCATCGGGGAGTAAGTCTCCACCAGCATTGGCACAAACCCTGTGGTTTAAAAAACTCATCAAAGATACCAAGCTTATTATTGTGTACACCAGGCTACGTTTCGAATACAAAAGACTCATCAGTGACGCTTGAATAAAAAAATAAAAAGGCCAAAATAAAGAACGAAGATAAAAGCGCAAATGAAGATAAAAAATTCCGAAAGGGTTTTCCAAACACAGCTAAGGTAATATATTCCTAGGGTAGAAAATCCTTAGTTTTCCGAAAACAATTCAAAGTATAATTTATAATGATTGGAACGTATGGGATCCAATTGTGCTGTTTTTCTTATCGGCATGTTCCTTTATTCGGTTGAGAAGGACTTAATAAAGGAGTTTTTTAAGAAGAATGATATGTATCTGACATCATCCTGTTATCTCAAGTATCGCCAAATAAATTATGTCCTCTCGCTGAAGAATTGAAAAATTGATTGATTGTTGATTGTTGGTGTTTTAACGCCACTTTTAAGCGCCACATTTGGGCTATTTCGTGGCGGTCAGTTTTTATTGGTGGAGGAAGCCGGAGTGCCCGGAGAAAACCACCGACCTTCGATAGGAAAACTGACAATCCTAGTCAATTAAGATTGTACCCGCACGAGCGGGGTTCGAACTCACAACCTCAGTGTTGACTGGCTTATGATTACAGTAGTAGAACTACTTAGACCACTTGGCCACCGAGGCCCTTGAAAAATTGAAAACAAATGGTAACTATGTTGTTCGCATCTATCCCATTGAACTGAAAATAAAGGTTACATCAGAAATAATTAAGTGTACTTCATATCTTGACTAATACCTAAAAATCGATACTAGAGGTCGACTGAGAACTAAAATTTACGTAAAAAAAGAGATGATTTTGCTTTTTCCATTTTGAACTTTTTATTTTCGTATAGCTACAATCTAGCAGTGCCTGTATATGGTGTATATTTCCTAGTTGATAAGATATTTTAGGGATTGCGGTCCCGGTAAAGATTTTGTTGAAAGAGAGAGAGAGATCTAATGCTTACTAGAAATTTGAACTCCAAGGGAGTCGAAATCATCAATTTGAAAGTTTATACGAATGCAATCATAATTTAATTGACCGTTATCAATCATAGATGGCCACGGATATGTTCCACCTATATTCAGTTATGTCTGCTATATTCGCCATTGTGAGATCACAGAAACTTACATGCCAGACCGAGTAGGACGATTGTTACTAATTGAGTTTTTTTGTACGTACACTGAAATGTTGTTTTCCATACGAAACGGTAATGCTTTACTACTTCCGATATGCAATCATTTATGTTGTTTATTGTATTCTTGTTTGCAGATTACAGACTATTACGGCGTTTCAACAAGTATAGTTTCAGGTATATTATTGTTTCAAAATGTGCTCAATATGTGAAAGAAACAGTTCATTTGCTTTTTATCTAACGTTAATTAAGTAAAAAAAGTATTTACATTCCTGCTTTAAATGCACTGGTTCATCAGTCATTTCAGCCTTCGGTTTTTTCTGGTCACTTGAGGAAATAGAATCTAATAGTAAAAAAAAACTTCATAAAGAAAAACAGATAACTTTTCTTTAAGTTGACATACTAGAATTATTGCGTTTCGGCTGTTTTCTCTCCCAGTCTTTGTTTTTGTTGTTTTAGCTTATCAAATGTGAACTGACTTTGGTCTTCTTATTCTTATTTTGACATTAATTACCGAAATGTGCATATGGTGCAGTAAAAATTATTGTTATGAGTTTTGTCGTTGAATATGATCAACTTCTTTTAAAGGATTGCTTGAATATGACGATATGCCATCAATGAGTGGTCACTTTTCTTTCCGAGAGGAAGTAACCTTTCCAGGATCCAAACATGCATATGAAAGTGATGTAAGTATCAAGAAAGTGTCCTAATACAAAGAATAAACGAATTAAAAATTCTGAAATGTTTTTTAACTATTTCATTGATTTGTTAGACATCAAATTTTAAAGAAAGCTCCTACAAGAATGTTTTTTCACTTGTAAGCTGATGACTACTTAACTTAAAATCACGTCTGGCTAGAAGTGCTTTTTTGTTGTGCTTAACAATTCTATTGCATTTTAACATAACCCGTAAATATTGCTACAATGAGTTCATGGTAAAAGTCCGCATGTATCTAATGGTTATCATCGATACCTTGCCAAACGTCGGAACCTTTGAAATGTTAGTGTCAAAATAATACAAAAGGAACAGTATATACATAAAAAGAGTAACTGATGTACAGGCTAGGACAGAAATGTTCGGGAACACAATGGAACGCATATATATGCAACCGTCCTAATATAATTAAATGTTGTACGTTGTATTTCTTTTAAAAACAACAAGACCATATAAAGTGACAATCAAAATCGTAAGACAAAATATCGTCAGTAAAGAAAACTCACAAGACACCATGACCAAAAGACACAAGACTGAAAGACAAATCAAACTCTACAACACAGACAAATAAAATTTTGAGCTACACGAAACCCGGTCACAAGCGAGATAAGTAAACAGACATTGATCCACAAGTAAATGTGTAATGACAATTTTACTTATGGATCAATGGAGAAATGTATTGGGATAGTTATCTCATTGGTTATTATACCACATCTCTATATTTTTATATTGTAATATTATTCAGGTATGGTATGACACTAACTTCAATCTTGTCCGATATGACATTGTAAACACAGGGGCACCGTATTACAGCAATAACCCTTTGACACACATCCATGATTATAATGCAGGTAGGTGAACAAATAACATATAATCCTTTTAGCTCAAATAAGGTAAGTAACATGTAATATGCTTAAAATCAACGAAAGTTAATATATTGTTACACATTCCCGTGTCAAACTTACAGCACCAGAGATTGTTTTTCTCAAAGCAGTAGCAGGTAATTCACTTTTATCTTAATATTGTTTTTCGGTGTAAGATTGACTTCATACATATACAGTTTTTTAACGTAAAACAGAAAAAAACTGCTTCTTCAGACGGCTGCATTTTGGGTAATTATATGAGTTGTTATGATTGGCTGTTAAATTAGCATTAAGTGTGTTTGTAGTAAATTCATAATGTCAAAAACTTCCTCAACACTAAAAAAAGGATTTTATTTGGTTTTAGCTTATAAACAGTTGTATCAAAAAGAAATATTTTAGTTTTCACTTATTTTTATCATTTTCATTGGAAAAATGATCTGTTAATAAAAAAATAACTGTCAGAAATATTCCAAAGTGCGTTTGATAAACGACTTTTAATATAAGTTCTTAAAGTTTTACTTGTTTTTATACAATTTTTTTATTATCCAGAAGACATAATATGTAATAATGCTGATTTGTTTGAAAGTAAGAAATTGCCTGTCCTTGATCTTGATGTAGATTTGACGAAAACTGCACCGTACGAATGTTTTACGACCGGGCAAAAAAATAGTAAAGATGAAATTATTTTCAAATGATATTTGATTTTGCCGTGAATAAGTTGCGTGCATAAAAAATAAAACTTTTTGGGTAATGCCACTCCAATATAAAGCAATGGTTTTGCATCTTGTTTTTTTTATTTTTTAATTACAGGTGTAGCTTATGTAATTGATACAGGGATGCAAAATTGTACTATCCAACCTATAGCAAAGAATTTCTTTGACAAAAAGAATAATGGATCTTACCACATACTCAATCCACTGGATGTCTTTCATATGAACAAGAATTATAAGTTTATTGGGCAGGTATTAGTATTTTCTGCTTTGGCGATTCGAAAATAGAAAATAGAAATGATCAGTAATGCTCATTTTTATTTGTTTTTCTTCAACATTCTAAAAATCATAGGTATAACTAAGATAGTTCTGAATGATTAACTTGTTAGTCGTTTCAATGTTATATCCCTAAAAAACAAACGATAAAGCAGGAATCCCGGATTTTGACATTTTAAAAACAATGAGAAAGCAAGATATCTGGATTTTAACATGACACTCTTTACTTGATTATTTGTTTTTAGTCATATGTACTAGAGTTTATAATTTTACATTGGATCATCGTTTAAGACAATGAGTGTGCTTTTCAACTTTAAGTATGTTCCTTATTGATATTTGTTTGTGTTACAGAAAACTGTGCGTGGAATGACTTGTAATATATTTGAAGCAACTGTTAGTGATTTTAAGTTAGATTTGTCAGACCCACAACAGTTCGACAGTACATTTCAATATTACTTCCTGAAAGTAAGTATTTTTTTGATCGAGGGCGGTGAAAATGAATAGCAAAATAGTCGATAAATGCATAACATATGTCTGAAAATGGTTAATGCTTGACTGAAAATCAAAAATCTGTTTACATAAAAGAGTCTGCTGGTTAAATTATTAAGTAACTGATTAGCATACGTCTTTAAAAATAAAAAAGAATGAATATAAAAAAGATAACAAAATAAATTGAAGCTTCCAAAGAGACGCAATTTGAAATCACATGACCACGCAAAATATATGCTTAACAATGCCATAAACAAAACGGAAAAAAATCGACATTTAGAAATTATTGTACTAATAGTACGAACTCATCAAGATGGTGGAAATACATTTGGCTTCTGTGACATTGTAAACATTGCTACTCCGTGTGTTGCAATTTTCAATAAGATCGAATGAAAATATTCATGGAACGATAGAATGAAAATATTCATGGAACGATAGAATGAAAATATTTATGGAACGATAGAATGAAAATATTCATGGAACGACAGAATGAAAATATTCATGGAATGATAGAATGAAAATATTCATGAAACGAATGAATGAAAATATTCATTAAACATCTTAGTAAAGCATAGTCTAGGCACACACCCCATGTGCATGAAAAAGAAATAAAAAAAATCAATGAATTAAAAGAAGCATCACTAGTCAAAGAATTCCATACTATAGCACTGCAAAAAGAAATCAAGAATTAGTGAGAACAATGAGATTGTATGCTCGAAAATCGATAAACAAACGTGTTTATGCTACACAGAACACCAAGAATAGAGCGATACAAATCCCATAAAAGAGAGGACGATAGTTATTCAATGATAATCCGGAGGTGAACTTAAGTGCTCAATAAAGCCCAGCGTTACCTGTTTTCCTGCTTTCATGATATGAATACACTCGTGACAAAATCCGATGATTATAAGTAATGCAATATGTGGTTGATGGTTTTATTTTTAACTATAAAATATTACAAATTTTATAAACCACTGATACATAAGTTTTATCTTATTTAAAATCAAAACTGAAATTTGAATAATAAAGAACCTCGCCGAATTACTTTTGATATAATAATTTTGACGATTGGAAAATGAAGGGAATAAACTCAACATTAATAAATTTAAAAAAGGACATCTTTGTATGTTTTGTTGTTTGTGTTGTTCGAAAAGAAACAGAGTTTATTAGCCTTTAATATGTTGCAATAACATTTCAGGATGATTGGTTTTCAAATTCTGATTCAGGATCGGAACTGACTAGTGCTCAGCCAATAAGACTGGATATTTTTTCTGTCACCGTAAGATAATTTTAACTAGAAAACAGTGCTTAAATGAACAAATGTATTTCACTATGAATGCTTGGTAATACACTCCGGACGCAAGCATTAGCAACGGCAAACATTAGAAGATAACAATGACCAAAACAGAAAGACAACACCAAAAATTTCTTAACAATGAAAGCCGCATTAAACGTCAAACCAAATATCAAATATATACAATTCAAGTAAATGCAAGTTCAAAATTGAAGTACTAGTAAATGGTTTTCAAAGGTAACAAACTGTAACTGTCAAATTGTTTCCATAAAGCTTTCGACAGAAGAATGGGTTTTTTCACTATAAAATTAAAGTGATTACTGACACCACAAAATCAAAATGGGTTGACATGTTAGTCCTTTCATAAATGTACTGAAAATAGTGTAATGCCTGCAAATTGACTTTTTTCAGAAAGGGTTATACCTAACATACAACTATTTTGATTGGAATGACAATGATCCTGATCTGAACAACTTCAATGTTGTACCATGTTATACTGGCGATCAGCAAAAACATGTTGTCATCATTTTTTCAGGTTTGTAGACATGAAATAGACAATCACACAAAAAATATCCAATTTACCAGTAAATGAAAATTTGCGCAACAATAGGATTATGTTTATGTCAACTCTATACTAGATTGATTTTGTTGTGACTTTATATTACTTTCTGCATTTCAAATGCTTAGTACCGCTAAAACCTTGTGGAAACCTTATATTCACTAAAACAATATAAGTACTTGTATATTTTGCATATTTCATAGCTGGTAATCAAATTTTTCTACTACCTATTATGTCTGTTTGTTTTGCTCACACATTGTTGTCAATATGATTGAATTCTATGCGACTGTCATACAAGTGATAGGATTAGCTAGCTATGAAACCAGGTTTAATCCACCATTTTCTACATAAGGAAATGCCTGTACCAAGTCAGGAATATGACAGTTGTTTTCTATTCGTTTGATGTGTTTGAGCTTTTGATTTTGCCATTTGATAAGTCAAAATAAAAAAAAATAAAAACACATTAAACGAATGAAAAACAACTGTCATATTCCTGACTTTGTACAGGCATTTCCCTATGTAAAAACATTTATAACTAGCTTACCTCTCGCTTGTATGACAGTCGCATAGAATTCCATTATATTGACAACAATGTGTGAGTAAAACAAACAGACATTATAGGAAAAAAGTCAAAAATTGGGATACAGCAGTCAACATTGTGTTATAATATTAATCACTATAAAACAGACAACTATGTCAACAAAGAAAAACAAAATGGCATATAGACACTCTCTATAGACAAAGAACATAAGCAAAATTGAAAGACAAAATAAAAAAAATGACCATAGCACACTATCACAATGGCGGATGTATAAATACCGAGCCACGCCCAAAAGATATCAAAAATGGACTTACCAGTAAAGGTTAAACATATACAAAGACAAATAAAAAAATTAAAAAAACATCCTTAAAAGGATCCGTAAAAACATCATTTAAAGTTAGTTATATGTCTTTTTTCTTTACGATGGTCTTTAGACCCAGCTACTACGGGCGATTCAACCTCCCCTGGCATTTTATGACGGAATTTCATTTAACATTAGCGTTCTTACTAATTTTACGAGTAATAATGCTGCAATAAGTATAATGAATGAGGGATAAATAAATGCCGGAGGAACATTCATACTTATGTTTCCTTGGTGTTCAAAATGCCATTTAACACCGGTATTGGGAAAATGTCATGGTATTCTCAAGAGTGGTGATCCATTCAACAACTGTTGGTCCTTTATGAATAATGTGTATAGCATCTTTGAAGTATAGTCTGTCAATGGAAGTTGGAAATATTATAACGAAGTTTAATCAAGCTATAACATTTATTTGTAGGACAATATTATCCATATCTTGTCTCCAACAGTAAAATGTTCAAGTTAAAGGTTCTCAATCAGTTAGGACAGATGACCAATGCATCACTCATCCGCTTCCAGCAACTTGAGATTGATTTCGGTCTCACTCGTGTTTATGTGATAATGACAGTAGTAGATGCAGCTCAACAATTTGACGGAGGTAAAATTACGCGTTATTATGTATATTTGAGAACATTATATATTTGATCAGGTAAATGATAATAGAACATGGGTAGCACAATATTGTTTCGAGGACAAGATAAAATGAAAACGCTGTGTAAACAAATCAATCGATTTGTTCGTAGGATAACAATTTTGTTTATTTCATGGGTATAAATGAACCAAGAATTTAAATGTTCACAGCAGAATAATTCTGTATTGGCGTGTATGCAGCCTTTTTCAAAACCACGAAATTAAATAATCCGGGAACATTGGTATACACGAAAATAATTAAATACACAGTAGTTGACTAACTCTTGTTCTATACCATAGAATACATCGATTTTGCAATGTTTTAATTAACAATTATATCGCCTAGAAACATTAAACTTAAAATTCTAAAAGCCAAACATGTAGAACAAAAACAATGAAGAACAACAATCAAAAGGGTTTACCAGGTAGCAAATTCTGTGTTGGTTTATTTTTTCACCTCAGGGAGTAGAAACCCTTGTTGTTGTTAAAATAAAACATAAGCAGAGAATTTATCTGCATTGTATAATACAAAACAAATGCATTAGCACTAATTGTCAAGGATTATATCTTAAAGACTACCACTTGCTTGTTAAAGTCAAAATTAGCAAAAGGAAAGTAATCATTTAACTATTAAATTTTTCTGTGTTAGTCTACTCTGTGAATTTGGTCCTAGTTCTCTGTGATTTGAAAGAAAGAAAGAAATGATAATCAGGAATGACCTTGTCTGTTTTTTTGTTTATTACTTGCTATTAATAGTTGTGTTTTTTCCAATATTTGGTTTCCAATATTACTTCAGAAAATTAATTCTCAAAAAATGTCCATATGAACATGAATATTAGGTAATATTACTTGAATGTTGTTGATGGACACCGAAATCCCCGATATATAACCTAACCGATGTTACTTTTGTATATTGCATGATACCTATGATTTGTTTCATATCGTTATCATGACCCATGAGCATGATTAGCCAAACAGTTAGTAAAGAGCAAAGAGTCAAATCTATATTTTGTTCCACACTATAATGTTCAGCCTTTTTCTTTCTTGTCACACTTTTGTCAAGGGCAAAACCAATCCGCTGTATCTTCGAATGCCGATAGCTTGGACGGTTAGTATCCATCGTGCTGTTAGATGCGAACTCTAATACCATTAGAAAGATATTAGGAAAACTTTATAGATGTATCACAACCAAAAACAGCCAGCTACTCTTTTGATAGATTGTTTTACCCAAAGTATTCCATTTGTTTTGTCAACCAATATCATGTCCTGTTTCACTAATAACTAGAGTTTGTCTTTTTTTTTTGGCTGTGTAGGTGCAAAACAAAACAGGTCCACAAGTTTGTATAACACAGGTCTATGTCTATCTTATTTATAATCCATAGTTGTATGTGAATTTCTGATCCTCTTACGTGACCAGAAGTGAAAGATTGAAATGAAAAAAGGCTGTTTTCTGCTCTTTGGTCGGGTTGTTGTCTCTTTGAAACATTCCCCGATATCATTCTCTATTCTATTCCCTTCATGATGATGTCCTATAACTATCTATTTGTTTGTAGTTATCGTGGTTATATAATAAAGTCGGGTATAAACAATGATCGAATTTGAAGGACGACTTCACAAGTTTGTGTATTACTTGCTTATATACTCATCATAGATACCAGGCTTAAATTTTGTACGCCAGGTGCGCATTTCGTCTACAAAAGACTCATCAGTGACGTTCAAATAAAAAAAGTTCAAATGTTCTATGTGTCTCCTTTGTCATACACTAAAGCAGTGAATATCAAAGGAAATCCCTCTTAATTGGACACTTGGGCCGTTTTTATTAGCCAGATAGGCTTCAAATTAAGTTTTAAGATATTGAAAAAAAAAACCACTGTCCCTTTGATTGTTTGCCGTTTTTGTCTCGCCTTGACGGAGTCAAAAAGCAAGACATAGGTATGCTGTGTCCGGCGTCGGCGGCGTCAACAAATTATTAGTTTGTGATTAGGTCTAGTTCATGGTGAACCACTAGTGGCAGGTCAATGACATTTGGTATGCAGTTGTATAAGCATTGGCACATCTTATTACCATGGAGATTGTTTGGCCTCGCCCCCTCAGTCAAGGTCTATTGACTTTGAAACTTTGCTTAGTTTACATGTATTAGTTTGTGATTATGTCAGTTTATGGGGAACCACTAGTGGTAGGTCAATGATATTTAATATGTAGTTGTATAATCATTGGCATATCTCATTTCCATGGAGATTATTTGGCCCCGCCCCCTCATTCATGGTCTATTGACTTTGAAACTTTTGCATAGTTTTCATGTATTAGTTTGTGATTAGGTCAGTTTAATGGGGACCGTTAGTGGTTGGTCAATAATAATTGGTATGCAGTTGTATAAGCATTAACACATCTCATTTCCATGGAGAATATTTGGTCCTTACCCCTCAGTCATGGTCTATTGACTTTGAAACTTTTGCTTAGCTTACATGTATTAGTTTGTGATTAGGTCAGTTTAAGATGCCACTAATGTTAAGTCAATGATATTCGGTATGCAAATGTATTGGCATTTGCAAGTTTCATTTCCATGGAGATTATATAACCCCATCCCTTAATTATGACTTTGACACTTTTACATAGTTTACAAGTTAATGTTTGTGTTTAGGTTTGTTTAAAGGGAACGACTTATGAAAAGTCAATGGTATTTGGTTTGCAGTTGTATTACAATTCGCATATCTCATTTCCATGGAGATTGTTTAGCCCTGTACCTTCAGTCATGGTACATTGACTTTGAATATTTGCATAACGTATATGTTAAAGTATTGCTATTTTAATTTCAACATTTGCATTATCAAAATAACAAATAGGCGAGACATATCTCTGTGTTAACAGTTTATTATAGTATTTCATATAACGCTAAAGGTATCTTTTGTAGGGCTTCGGTGGTATAAGTAGTCGAAGTACTGTATCACTAGCCTTTCAACACTGAGGTTGTGATTTCGAATCCAGCACGTGGCAGGTGCTCTCGACTCCAATCTTGACTAGGATTTTCAGTTTTCCTACCGAAGGTCGGTGGCTCTCTCCGGGCACTCCGGCTTCCTCCACCAATAAGAACTGTCTGACCGCCACACAATATCAGAATAGTGCTGAAAGTGGCGATAAAAATTAACAAATCCATCAATCAATCTTTCTGTTGTTTGTTTAGCTCATTTGCAAAACAAAAGCCTGTACATACTGATACTTCGGGATATATGCATACAGATGACCGTATAATCTATAGATATTGTAAGCTAAATATATTGAATAACATATAACAATACATATTTACATTAGGAACATGACGGTCTGTGGGACATGATTGCTTCTCTGTTTATATAATCTTTGTTATTCAACTCGTATTCAAAAGAATATAAAGCATTCAGGGAAATTTTCTTATGTTTTTGCTATGCAATCATTTACGTTATTTTGAACAGTTCCTTATCGCCAAGAACCCGACATAGATACCATTATGGAGACAATCAATGATAACGTTTACGGAGGATTATTGAAAATAACAGTTCCACAGAATGACGGATCAGTAAGTAAACTTTCTCAAACTTTTTCTCTGATAAGCAAGCTGTCTTCCTAGTGCATGAAGCTTTGAAATTATGCAGTTTATGCGAAAGAGAAAATGTCCTCCCTATTTATTTTTAATCTTAACTTCATATGTCTCAGAAAATATTGTGAAAAACAACTATTTGCATAATTTGTATTGCTTACACATATTGACAGTCTATATTTGTAATAGTTCTCGAAAAAATAATTCCATACTGGTTGGTTCCCATTTGCTTGCAATATGCCAAAATAACTTCATTGGAACTAACAAATATTCCGAGCTCAAGTTGTGGACATTGGTGATTTGACAAGAACAAATAGCCACAAAAAAGATAGCAACTTCATTGGAACTAACAAATATTCTGAGCTCAAGTTGTGGACATTGGTGATTTGACAGGCTTCATATGAAAACAATAACTGTTGTCTTTCTTAAGATTTGAACATTCATAGTAATAGTTGCCGAAAACAAAATTAAACGCAATCCTGTGGCTAAAAATTTAGAAATTCAAATATTTAAGAGCATAAAATCAAAAAGGGCATTCATTAGTTCTAATGCTATCGGTGAACATTAAAATATTATGTTCTTTGCTAGATGATGAAAGGTTAGATAAATTGTAGGTGCACAACTCATCAAGATTATTGGTTCATAACAAATATTAAATCGATTTTTGGCGGTTTGCTTACTCAACTCATCATTTTGTGCAGCTGCTTACCGCACTTTGATTTCTACGTCTGAAAATGTAAAGTAATAATCCCATATCAATTTTACTGCACCAGATGCGCATTTCGGCAATAAATGTCTCTTCAGTGACGCTTGTGCCGAAATATTTGAAAAGAAAAAAATAATACAAACGTTGGAGCGATCATAAACCAAAAAGGACCAAAAAGAAACCAAAATCGGCCAAGGAATCAGAGATATGCATGAGGGAAATACATTCTTTAATTTAAAATGACTCAAAATCTTACAACAGCAAATTAAAAAAACCATGTTGTGATTATTTTCATAGTAAGTGATTATCTAATATTTCAAAGTTAAACATATTTTGCATGTCAAATAATAAATTTTTCATCAGTTTTGCTGTTGATATTGGATAATGATTGTTTTGTATAAACTACTTTAATTGGTAAACGTTCCAAACTGTAGATATAGATGTATATACTTTCTTTTTCAGATATATGTGTTTAATGCTACAGCAATCGATGACAATATATTAAGAAACGATGGAAAACCGTTGTCAAGTAAGTTTCCTTATGTCATATAGTTTAAGTAAATGACTATAATAATTGAAATTGTATCAGAACAGGGATATAAGTGAACAGGAATTGTTGGTAATTGTATATCCCGCTTGTTTGTAAAAAGATACACACTGTCAATCTAAATAAACTCACCATAGATATCTAAACCATTATAAGATGTTTATGATTTTACGCGGGCGCTTTTATAAGTTAGTTATGCGAAAAATACCGAAGAGACATGGATTGTCGAAATACGTATCTGTTGCAGTACAGTTGTGACAGTAAAATATTACCAATACAACTGTGTCGATATCTCTTGATTTTATGAAATTTTCAGTGACAAAAAAATTGATAATCTTTTGAAAGTAATGAATGTTTTCTCCCCCATGAATAGCACTGATTCAATGTTCGGATTTGGCTATGTTTTTCGGGTCATTTTTTTTTTTATCATATCAGCTCTTTAACGTTTGTATTAAGTTTTGAATTTACAAATACTTTGGTCCCGAGCATCATTGAAGAGACTTTATTTGTCGAAATGCAAATTTAGTAAAATTGGTACCGTTTAATATTATCATTTGCTTCTAATGATCAATCAAACCATTACGCAGTAAAAAAAAATCACATGCAGTAAGATTTACTAATGGTATATTACACATTGTACTTCCAATTGACAAAAATTTGAAACTTTATCCGTGATTAACCTAGTAAGAGATGAAAGAAGAACCAATGAGCTAGTTCCTAAACACATTGTCACTCATATTACAAATAAGGAAATATAATATAGATGCCATATTTAGAGGAGATTGTTGTTTATTTGTTGTAACTTCTTATGTTCTAAATTAGCACGTTCAGTTTTACAGTAACAAAGTACATTTTTTTAGTTTAATATTGCATTAATAAGCACTGGATACAAGCTGCAAAACCATGTCTCAAATTTCTTATGTCATATCTTATATACATATATATTACATAAAACATAGTTGGGTCTATTTTCCTCCAAAATGACATTTTAAATCGCAAACATTCCATTTGCTTTTAACCGGACCTTACACAAAACAATGTTGTAGTATTTTTATGCTTTTGAATGATAAAAAAAAATTAACATCTAGTATCTCTTAAGCAGACAAAGCTAATCTTTTTATGAGAATAGTGTATTTTTCCTATTCTTCACCCAAACATGGTCATATATAAACATGCATTGTTGAAGACAGTACTATAATTGCTTACATCCACTTCATTTGAGCTTTGGTGGATAGTTGTCTCACTGGCAATCATACCACATCTCCTTATTTTTAAAGTACTGTTTCTACCAACTCTTTTGAAAAATCGTCTTCACTATCTGTTAGCTTTTAGCAAACAACACTCAATCAATCTTAATATTTTTTGAAATGACAACGGGATAGTTATTAAGTTTAGACCACAACAAATTTGCCCGAATAAGACTGTTGTGCTACAAATATAGGAACTATAGCAGCTCGTATACTGCTGGTGACTACGAAACCTTAGTGTTTAAACTCCTGTTTTATTCTCCAAAGTGGTATATTGTACTGACAAATTTTAATTCATATTCATATCATACTAATTATTTATTTATTTTGTAATAATTCAAAACGGTGTAAGAACGTTTCAATATGAAAATATGAAAAAAATATTTAAATAAATAAAAACTGCAATATTTAAAATACAAATAGCTTAAAGTAAAACAAATAAAAAAATAAAGACATCTGTAAGTTTTTAGATATGTTATATTTTGTAAAAAGATCTATAATTTCAAGATGGTGATTAAGATTTTCAAGTTCAAAGGATTTCGTTATTTTGGTATAAAAACACCAAATTCCTTTACATTATGATTTACAACTGTATACATATTTAGAAAGGTTTCTTGCATAAATGCTAGCAATATTTTCTTCTGTTTCAGGCAAAACATTAAGTCACTTCAAGGCAATGAAAAATAAATCCCAGAAAGGTTTGACTGGGTTTCTTACTGGAATATCAGTAGATGATTGTGCGGATGCCTGTTTAACTGAATTAGATTTTGATTGCTACTCATTTGTGTACTGTTATAAAGCGGGTGTTTGTTTGTTGGCTAGCACATATGCACAAAACAGGACAGATTTAATATATGATAGACCCACGTGTGATCTATACTATAGTAAGACTTAAATACATAATCAAAGGAATTGGATTTTTTTCAACAGAAGAGCTATTAGAATTGATTTATGTTAATGTATTTTGTTTTACCACTCATGATATAACAATTTCACTAGAAAAGAACAAAATATGTTTACCGGCGTCATGTTTTCATTTCACATTGAATGTAAATTGTACCATAATGATAGAATAGTTACAGTTAATTGAAAGTTTTATGTGGAATTCACTGTTGCTAGATCTACAACATTGCTTATACATTTCGAATGTTTTATTGATCCTGATTCATTTATAATGGGAAAAAAATTCTCCTTTGAGGGACACTAGCTTTTAAGAATAATAAAACAATAAAAATCATATATATGAACATACTAATTATAAATGTCTGCTTTCCTTTTTCGTCTTAGTAAATTCGTTGCTGCGCAAACTCTACATTTCTTTTTACAGGGTCTTATATAGACAAATTCACCGCCATACCCGGACAGACATCTGCTATATCCTCTACACAAACAACAATAACAGCTACAGCAGAGGCCTGTGCTCAGAAATGCATTTTCTCATCAAGCTGTAAATCATTTATTTACTGTCTGGTTTCTCAGTCTTGTTCTTTACTGCAGTCACATCACCTTGATATTCCAAAGAATGGCAGCAATATTGACTCAATGTGCTCATTTTATAGTCGTGAGTATTTTAAATATTTACGTTTAAATACTCAAAGATACCTTATCTCCATATTCTAAAAGTAATAAGTTATGATACCTTGGGTATAGTTATTGTTATTTACTTTCATTTTAATTAAATTCTACCAAGAGTATTATTCGCGTGAATATATTGCATATGATTTTCGTTGCTATGAATTAAGGTAAGAAAATTTACTTGCGTTCTCCGTAATACCATTCCATTGTTTGTTAATTGTGCACAGTTAATTTCAGGGTAATACCAGTCGTATCGGTAAACAATTTATTCGAAAGAAAACTACAGATTCACCTTTCAGTTAACATGAAGTAATTGAGAGATAAACATATGTAAAAAATGTTTCATGACAAAATGATTCATAAATTGAGCCAATTTTAAAAGAACTTATTTTTTGTGTTCAACCTTATAAATAACCGATCGTTGCTTGGTTCGTCGGCATTGATGTACCTATTAAATTTTTAAACAAATAAACGAAAAATTTGGGGTCACCATAGGTAAGATCAACTTTTAATGTCTAATGTTGTAAAGTAGTAGAGATGTCAGATTTGAGTCTAAATTGGCCCTTTAATCAAATCCATTTCAAACTATCTCTAATTTGCAGAATCAAATCTTTAATATGTATCAAATTAAATCAAACACTGCAGTTTGGGTTTAAAATATATCATTATAATGTGTGTTGCAGCCATATATTTACAGAAAATTACTAGGCAAAATGACGAAACTAAACAAAATCGTAATTATTTGACCAGCAAAAGCTTATAATAACATAAAACAAACTGACGCTGAAAAATATTTACACATTAGTTGAATTTTGTGTTTATCTATTCGCTGGCAAAAAAATATTTGGGGACTATGCTTCTGTTCTAAGTTGATTTAACAAAAATGTTTTTAAAATAGGCTTATTTTTTTTATAAAATTGGAAAATATTCACAAACAAATTTGGTCATCCAGATTGAATGTTAATGATCAATTTTTATAATCAATTCTAAATGTTATCTTTGCGTTTTTCCTGTTCTTGTCTTGTTTTAGTTTTTCTTTTTATGAAGAGTATTCTGTTTTTATCTATTTCTTTTTAAACTGGCTCATCCAATGTAGTATATCATTGATGTGACACATTTATTGATATGTTTTTTCAAATATTTCTTTTGATTTTGTTTTAGGAAGCTATGTAAATGACTTTAAGCGTAAAGCTAGGTCAACGGTTAAAATTACTCCACAAATGCTCAACATAGAAGCAGTTTCTGTTGACCAGTGTGCTCAACTATGTATCCAGACTGAGTCATTTACTTGTAACTCATTTTCCTTCTGTGGCAATGATACAACATGTAGATTAACCCCTGCTCATCCTGTCTCAGGACTGAGAGTCATAGCAACAGATTATTGTGATTTATATACAAGTAGGTATATGCTAGCAAATAAATGATATTCAAAGATAACCCGTTCAGCCTGCACTACCATAATACACCATTGCAATGATTCTACCAAAAAATACTGATAAACTTTTACAGTCATAGGTTGAAGTTATCTGTACATATTCGCATATATAATAGTAACATATTTTATTAACGAAATTTGTAATACACAAGTAAAAATAATTTACAAAATATTTAACTGTCAAAATGGTATTTAGAAATAAGAGAAGAGATCTTGGTTTATCTTTTTAACTAGGGTCAAATGATAAAAATGTAAGATGCGTATTGTACAAGACATAGTAAATGATTTGAATGGTAGTATTAAATGGTAATATTTCATGGGAACGCAAGGAAATTCTGAACGGAAGACAACGCTATCATAGAAAGGAAAAAAACATTCACAAAACAAAAGATGTAGAGGTGGAGGATTGCAGTTGAAAATCGATTACTTCCCATAATAAAGTTTCGCACATATTTGAAGGAACTTTTTTTGTAATGCAGATAATCTATCTGAGCCGGACAGTAAACATCCTTCAAATCCTATTAAATTGTAGAAAGATGCCGAATATTTGAAAGTTTTTTTTTCTATTTTATACACTTGTTAACAATTTTTGATCTGAAACGTTCATTATGATCAGAACAGCTCTTACATGACTGAACAGAAAATTATTTAGTAATTTTCAGTCTTTCAGTCAATTTTTAATATATCCACTGTGTTCAAACAATTCGCTGACAGTGAATTAAGATCTGTTCATACTATGTTCAGACTGTTGTTATTTATCTGTACTCATCAACACAATACTGCATTGTCTGAAAGGTACTGCACAGTACTGAATTGACTGCAAACGAATATTCTGAACAGTACATAATTTACCGCATTGGAGTCTAGTAATTGACCGAAAGACTGAACATGACTGAATACTAGTACTAGTAATTCTTTTTTCAGACTTTTCCGATGATGATAAGATCAAAATTACCGTTTCAGACAAATATTCATTTACTTATGATAGCAATTTGTGGACTGTTGTTTCGCTGTGAAAAGCTTTGATAATAATTTGATCTTAAATCCTCGCAATCAATAATAAAAGTCTGTTGAAATAATGTTGTACTAGCCAATTTTCAAAATAATATGAATATGAATATGAAAGTTGTACATGTATCGATATAAACATATCAACCTAATAAGGCTAAGTCAAACATCTACCCCTCTAAATAAACTCATTATAAATACCAGGATTTAAATTTTGTATTTGCGCCAACTTGTAAATGAAGTGTTCACCTCAATCGTACATTGAACTCACCTAATATGGATCTTTGAATTTAACATCCATTTCCTTTTTAAAATATAATCAAAACGGTTTCTTATCATTTTCAGGAACTTATTACTCAAACACTCCTGCTAAACAAAAGCAGTCACCGCAACCGTCAAGCAACAAAGGAGTTTCCTCAGGTTCGTATCATTGATGTTGTATTTGATATCTGAAAAATAATTTTGGTCTGAATGCATCACATTTTATCTGAATATTATGTTGGATTCATTGTTATCTTTCTTTTCGTATTCCACAACTGTTATAACATTACAGTTAGGAATGCTAATTCCTCAAGCAAAGTTGACCGTAGATAGTTTTTGTCTGTTTTATTTGGATTTTTTTGGGTTTTATTTAATTCTCCAACGTCCTATTTATATTTGACTTTCCAAACTTTTAATCTCGAGCGTAACTCATAGGAAGCTTATTCCAGAAACATGTGATTTGCTCACGTTAATACTGAATGTAAAATCGGTCAGTATTTATATTTGTTGATAATAAGAGAAATCTGAAAAGTTCGTCCAAAATATGAAGAACAAATGCCGTATAAAAAAACAACGACAACTTATTTATTTTAAAACTAAGGCGCAAGATAAGTACATAGTTTTACGGACATACCATAACATTATGAATTTAACATTTTTAGTAATGTTTGCTTTTATATTAACATGAATATATACTACAAATGCAGAATAATAAAGTTGTTATCCTTATATGATTACAGTATATGTATATTTAGTTAGAATCCGTAATTTGGATTGGCAGACAAAAATATCGAGGCATCATATACTATAAAAACAGAATAAAAAGTCTCCATCTTCTTTATGTTCTACAAATTCAGAATAACAAAGTCTTCCACGCTTCATACAAAATGTGCTTCGGTAAACGCTTTTACACCCCAATAGAAATACAAAAAGAAGCATTTAGTTCTTTAATAAATCTAATTAGGATATAGAATTTAGATTTTTTTAAATAATGACAAAACAAAAATAAACAAATTGATAATATCGAGTTATTTATTTAATTAGGTGCTGCTGCTGGAATAGGATTAGGATTATTATTGGTAGGCGTGATACTTGGTGGAGGACTTATTATAATCTTGTCAAAGAAAAGAAAGTTACCTCCAATGGAAATTTTTAATATGAACTATACAGAATCTAAAGATGATATACAATGATGCAGACTGCATAAAAATTGTACTCAACTTCGTTTGTCAAAATATTGGAACAATTATCTGTTCAATAATTTGACAAATATTTTTGTCAAATTTTCACATATTGTATATCCCGATAACCATGTTTCATGTCACAAACTTTATTTACTGAAATATCATCGTATAGACATAAATTGTATGTATTATTTTGTTTGAAATCATTATAATCACACTCATATGGATTCCTTTGTTTTGACTAATGTAACTAAAGAGGAGACATAGTTTAATACATTCTCCTTATCTTACTGTATACGATACTATCAATGATGATATTTATAACACCTAGATAATAAATCAAATTAAGCACACAGAAAAATGTATATGATATGCAACGAGAAATTGAATCAGCACGACTTATATTATGTTAACTGTGTAAACAATATTCTAACTAATTTGTTCATATGTTCCAGTTTAATCAGGAATATAATATCATGTTTTAACTTTCTTAGAGAAAAAAGAAAGACAGCTACACCACAAATAACGATATTTCAACTATGCTACCGAAGAGAAAAAAAAGAGCATAACAATATAAAAAATATGCTTTACCATGACTTTTTTTTAAATTTCTACGCGTTAAATATTTTAAGTGTTGATTAAGAATTATAGAAAGAAAGTAAATATATTTGCCAAAGTATAATCACTATATTTATTAAAGTACCTTGAATAACAGAGAATCACTTCGAATATCTACCCTCATGGTCAATAACCCACTATTGATATTAACATTAACGGTGGAACCAATTTTTCAAGGCCAGATGCCCATTTCAACAATTCTTGAAACTACCTACTCGAGTGGCGGTGTGAATGAGATGTGGATACTTAAAAATTCCGAAGATCTGTTAGATTACATACAATCTAAGTCTCTTTCACTTTGCAAAAGTATTAAAAATTTGACTTTTCTACCCTTTACACAAATGTTCCTTCCCCATTCCAAACTAAAAGACAAATTAAAAGAACTCGTTCTGCTTTGTTTCAGAAAAAAGAATGGCCAATGTAGATAAAAGTATCTCGTCCTCGGAATGGATAAATCGTAGCTTCGAACGAAAAATTCTCTGAAACTGACATTATCAAGATGCTTGATTTCTTGATTGACAACATATTTGTTACGTTTGGAGGACGTGTTTTTCAACAAACAATCGGCATTCCCATGGGAGCCAACTGTGCTCTTTTACCCACTTGTTCCTTTATCCATATGACTCATGGGTCTGACTTCAGACATGAGCTTCCTAGGAAGAATGAAAGAAGCTAGGATTATCATTTGACTTCACGTTCTGCTATATAAATGATGTCCTCACTAAATAATTCAAAGTTTGGTGAATACTAGAATTTTGAACACATCTATCCCATCGAATTTGAAATAAAGGATACAACTGGTACATTTAAGTCTGCCTTATATCTTGACTTGCATCTTGAAATTGACACTGAGGGCCAGTTGAGAACAAAACTTTACGACAAAAAAAGATGATTTCAGCTTCCCACTTGTTAACTTTCCATTTCTATGTAGCAACATTCCGGCAGCGCTTTGCATATGGAGTATATACTCGCAGTTGATACGATATTCCAGAGCTTGCATTTCCTGTCTTGATTTTCTTGATAGAGGTTTGCTGCTTACAAGGAAGCTATTAAACCAAGAGTTCCAAGTGGTGATGTTGATATCATCCATTAGAAAATATAACGGACGCCATGCATCACGAGTTGGTCTATCGTTATGGAACATCTTTTTCGCAGATGACGACGGATATGTTCCAATTGTCGTAATCACAATCCCGTGTTCTTTTCTCAAATGTGACCTACCGAATTAGACTTATCGCTAGATTTGAACTTGCATGAGCAACACGACGGGTGCCGCATGTGGAGCAGGTTCGTGTTGCTCAGTCTTTAGTTTTCTATGTTGTGTTTTGTGTACTGTTTATAAACAGTTGTTTGTCTTTTCGTCGTTTTTTGTTTTTTGCCATGGCATTGTCAGTTTGTTTTCGACTTATGAGTTTGAATATCCCTTTGGTATCTTTAGTCTCTCAATTAATGTCTCTTCAGTGATGTTTGGGGTCAAGTTTTATAAAAGCAAATGGCACGGTATGACAAAATATAAAACAATTCAAACGAGAAAACCAATGGCCTAATTAATGTTAAAAACAATAAATATAAAAACAAATACTGCAGACACCAACATATGACAACTACTGAATAGGCACTTAAAGAATTCGGCGGGGCTAACATGTTTGTAAGCGCTTAATCCGTCCTTATATGAGAGATTTTGAAAACAGCACATCATAAGCACAAACTGTAAGGTCAATTGGAAAAGGCTGGACTCATCACATCATGATAAAAAGACAAAGTACCGAGAACTCGCAGTTACCGGAAGCTAATTCAAAGCCAATTTCAATTTGTATATAAACCATCTCTTCATGTTCTAGAATATCTTTCAGTACACATACCACGGATTAAGTGCAAAGAAGGCTTAAACAGTCTGAGAAAAAGCATGGACCCGATATAACCGATAATGACCGATAACATTCATGCTACGTAGGAAAGGGAATGCGGCGTGATGAACTATATATAACAGACAACATACCCAAAATGGCCATTGATATTTTTTTCACATGCATGAAATCGTCTTTCTTAATTTAATGTATAATGTATCAGTTGCATGTTTATTCTTATACTCATAAACAGGAAGTTGTATTGTTCATAATTATGTAATTAAAGTTTAATTGTGTTATATTTCAACATCTGAAAATGATCACTGCTTAGTGCTACTGGTCTATGCAAAGCTGTTATCGAACTGTTATATTGCGTAACCATTTTTTTTAGAGCCAAGGGAGCATGAAGTAGACGTTTCTATGTCTATAACTTTTTTAAAGATATCTTTTGAAGAGTAATATAGAAAAAGATTTTGCCCAAAATTTCGTATTTCATTATTAATTACCTATTTTTTCTGTGTTTGTGTCTCTTTCGGATGCTACCACATTGACATATATCACACATATCCATTTATAAATATTTCCAATGAACTTTGATAAAATCAAACAGAATCATTGAAAAAAAACACTAAGAAACACACAGCAATTGGCACTATAAAAATAATATAAACGCATAGATTAACTTAAAACATGATCCTGCAAAAAACTCGTAGCCTGCTCCAGACATGCCAGATGAAACATTTGTTCTATCATTTTTTAAGTCAGAAATCAATTACAAACAGGATGATTAAAGGAACTTGATATGTGGTCGTGGATCTTTGTCCGATATTTCTTAAGGGTCAACCTTAGAATAGCGATCTACAATTTGGTAATAATGGAGATAATTACACCTTATATAAGAATGCCGGATTTTAATTGGTTGTTAGCCAGTGTATTTTTCGCATATTCTAACATTTTTCCTCATTTCAAACGAATTTGCCTGTTTTTTCACCACTGCCGGTGAATTTGCCTCAAATTCCCCTCTCTGCCGTGGTATTTGCCATTTTAGATATTCCTTTTTTACCCTCGTGAGCCTGTTCCCGCCAAAATTATTCGGAACCTTTCTCACTTTATCCCGACAACATGGTTAAGCACTATTAATTGAGTTAAACCGAAAACTGTCAGAAATATACATATAAAGAGGGGAAAAAATGTCTATACAAATGAACGATTTAATGATGGAATAACAATGACGTTTACACATATAGATAACATGACGTTACAAAAAGGCAGCACTAACGCATATAAGTACATGTATAATTCCCGCGGTACTACGATTTCCCTTCACATGACATTGTACAGACAGTTTCAATCAAAATCTATTCGGTGTAATTAAACAGATATATCATGTTATGGAGGGGTATTTGCGAAAAATACCAGTCTTGCGACCAAATTTCCCTCGCCTAGCGGCTTGGGAAATTTCACCGTCCCTTGACTGGTATTTTTCGCAAATACCCCTCCATAACATGATATATCTGTTCAAAATTGCATACCTTTTTGTCGAAGGGTTTTGATGTTAAACTTTCTCCAATTATAATTAAGAGAAAGGTCGAGGTAAGATAATCTGTTTCTCCTCTACTATTTTTTTGCGGAATATTCATAAAAAATTAATATAAGAGAGGCGGCATGCAGATACCAAAGGTATAGTAAAACTCATAGTCGAAAACGAACTGACAATGACATGGCAAAAAAAAGAGAAGAAAAACGACCAAAAGACAAACAACAGTCTACAAAACACAACTTGAAAACTAAAGACTGAGCAACACGAAACCTACCAAAAAAAAAAAAAAAAAACCCGGGGTGATCGCATAAACGAGATAAAATTAATAAAATAAAAATAGATAGCGAATCCTCCATTCAAAATCTGTTTTTTTTTCTTATAAACAAATTGATAAATAAAAAATATGTATATCAAAAGATGATTGCAATTTAAGTAAGCAGGAATTATAATAATATTAGTTACACAGTTTGCTAGTGACCTAATACGATATATATGGGGTCAGTAAATTCCATATCAGGTGAGAGCGAAGCTCGAACCCCATATGAAATTTACTGAACCCATATATATCGTATTAGGTCACTAGCACACTGTGTAACGAATTTATCTCACCGACTATGTTGACATGTGGAATTTCGATTAATGGCTTAAATTATCAATGTGATCAAGTTTTCAATATAAAGAACGTACTTCCATTGGTATATACCAAAACAAATGCCAACTGTAAAAACTTGTGTGTTTTCTGCACTTTAAGTGACTTATTTCAATCGTTCATCATCAATTTCTTCATCTGTTGTCCGGGTAAAACGTTTCAGATTTTTCCTCGACACCGTGTTGTTTTTATAAAGGGACGTAACACCACTACTAACCGTGTATTGAAATAAACCACGCCTACTATTCCCATATGAAATATACAGGATCTCCACGCGGTCGCTTTTAACCAATGATATTGCTAGAAATGTATAGGACGTAAGATAAAAGCAGATATGGGATACACGTGAACGAGATGGCAGCTAAACAATCAGATTGAGAAGAAAAAATGCAATATTCAATCAACAAGGTAATTGGATTTGGTGTCTGATGGAAAGTTGTCTTATTGGGAATCATACCGCATATTCTTTTTTGACTCGCGCAGTCAGTAATAATTTTGGTTTGTGACCTAAGGACGCTTAACTATGGTAACACCATGCATGACTTCACCAATCTAAGCTGGTTCTCAACTGTGTAGTAGCAGAGACATATAATACAATTGTATTATATGTCTCTGGTAGTAGTCAGTCGAGGACCAGCTAATTACCAACCTTTACTCTGATTGGACGAAATTACGGAATTAAACAAAAACCAACAAATAGATATGCTACAATAATAGGAAAACATTACGGACATAAAATCAAACTTAAAAATGAAATTATCGAGATAAATAAAATAAATTCAGATAAAGAAGGTGTCATTATCACCACTGTCAAATTGTTTGGATTTTGTAGCCTACGCTTTTAATACATCAGCAGGTAAATATCACCGACAGGTTCATTAGATCTATTGCTGGTAAGTCAATTATGCTATTAATAGCTCGAGTGTTATAAATATATCTTATCGACTTTGTGTACTTGCAAGTGCAGTCTAAAAATTCCAAGGCGTAAAAATAATCTCAAAGAGTACAAAAAATTGTACTTGAAATATAAATAATGTCAAAATACTAGTACATATATCGCAAATTTAATTACTTGACGTATAAAGCTGTATTATATCATAGATATAATAGCTATTATATCTATGATTATATAGATCATCTCCATTTGGCGTCCGTCCGGCCACGATATACACACCGAAATAGGTTAATTGTGTCTCTAATTGTTAGAGTTGTGCTTGACATAGATATAATTGACATTTCTTCCTGGGACTATTATACTATGCCGGTTAGTATAATAGTCCCAGATTTCTTCATAGTTCTAAACTGGTTAATTGTTATTTGTAATACACAAGTAAAAATAATTTACAAAATATTTAACTGTCAAAATGGTATTTAGAAATAAGAGAAGAGATCTTGGTTTATCTTTTTAACTAGGGTCAAATGATAAAAATGTAAGATGCGTATTGTACAAGACATAGTAAATGATTTGAATGGTAGTATTAAATGGTAATATTTCATGGGAACGCAAGGAAATTCTGAACGGAAGACAACGCTATCATAGAAAGGAAAAAAAAATTCACAAAACAAAAGATGTAGAGGTGGAGGATTGCAGTTGAAAATCGATTACTTCCCATAATAAAGTTTCGCACATATTTGAAGGAACTTTTTTTGTAATGCAGATAATCTATCTGAGCCGGACAGTAAACATCCTTCAAATCCTATTAAATTGTAGAAAGATGCCGAATATTTGAAAGTTTTTTTTTCTATTTTATACACTTGTTAACAATTTTTGATCTGAAACGTTCATTATGATCAGAACAGCTCTTACATGACTGAACAGAAAATTATTTAGTAATTTTCAGTCTTTCAGTCAATTTTTAATATATCCACTGTGTTCAAACAATTCGCTGACAGTGAATTAAGATCTGTTCATACTATGTTCAGACTGTTGTTATTTATCTGTACTCATCAACACAATACTGCATTGTCTGAAAGGTACTGCACAGTACTGAATTGACTGCAAACGAATATTCTGAACAGTACATAATTTACCGCATTGGAGTCTAGTAATTGACCGAAAGACTGAACATGACTGAATACTAGTACTAGTAATTCTTTTTTCAGACTTTTCCGATGATGATAAGATCAAAATTACCGTTTCAGACAAATATTCATTTACTTATGATAGCAATTTGTGGACTGTTGTTTCGCTGTGAAAAGCTTTGATAATAATTTGATCTTAAATCCTCGCAATCAATAATAAAAGTCTGTTGAAATAATGTTGTACTAGCCAATTTTCAAAATAATATGAATATGAATATGAAAGTTGTACATGTATCGATATAAACATATCAACCTAATAAGGCTAAGTCAAACATCTACCCCTCTAAATAAACTCATTATAAATACCAGGATTGAAATTTTGTATTTACGCCAACTTGTAAATGATGTGTTTACCTCAATCGTACATTGAACTCACCTAATATGGATCTTTGAATTTAACATCCATTTCCTTTTTAAAATATAATCAAAACGGTTTCTTATCATTTTCAGGAACTTATTACTCAAACACTCCTGCTAAACAAAAGCAGTCACCGCAACCGTCAAGCAACAAAGGAGTTTCCTCAGGTTCGTATCATTGATGTTGTATTTGATATCTGAAAAATAATTTTGATCTGAATGCATCACATTTTATCTGAATATTATGTTGGATTCATTGTTATCTTTCTTTTCGTATTCCACAACTGTTATAACATTACAGTTAGGAATGCTAATTCCTCAAGCAAAGTTGACCGTAGATAGTTTTTGTCTGTTTTATTTGGATTTTTTTGGGTTTTATTTAATTCTCCAACGTCCTATTTATATTTGACTTTCCAAACTTTTAATCTCGAGCGTAACTCATAGGAAGCTTATTCCAGAAACATGTGATTTGCTCACGTTAATACTGAAGGTAAAATCGGTCAGTATTTATATTTGTTGATAATAAGAGAAATCTGAAAAGTTCGTCCAAAATATGAAGAACAAATGCCGTATAAAAAAACAACGACAACTTATTTATTTTAAAACTAAGGCGCAAGATAAGTACATAGTTTTACGGACATACCATAACATTATGAATTTAACATTTTTAGTAATGTTTGCTTTTATATTAACATGAATATATACTACAAATGCAGAATAATAAAGTTGTTATCCTTATATGATTACAGTATATGTATATTTAGTTAGAATCCGTAATTTGGATTGGCAGACAAAAATATCGAGGCATCATATACTATAAAAACAGAATAAAAAGTCTCCATCTTCTTTATGTTCTACAAATTCAGAATAACAAAGTCTTCCACGCTTCATACAAAATGTGCTTCGGTAAACGCTTTTACACCCCAATAGAAATACAAAAAGAAGCATTTAGTTCTTTAATAAATCTAATTAGGATATAGAATTTAGATTTTTTTAAATAATGACAAAACAAAAATAAACAAATTGATAATATCGAGTTATTTATTTAATTAGGTGCTGCTGCTGGAATAGGATTAGGATTATTATTGGTAGGCGTGATACTTGGTGGAGGACTTATTATAATCTTGTCAAAGAAAAGAAAGTTACCTCCAATGGAAATTTTTAATATGAACTATACAGAATCTAAAGATGATATACAATGATGCAGACTGCATAAAAATTGTACTCAACTTCGTTTGTCAAAATATTGGAACAATTATCTGTTCAATAATTTGACAAATATTTTTGTCAAATTTTCACATATTGTATATCCCGATAACCATGTTTCATGTCACAAACTTTATTTACTGAAATATCATCGTATAGACATAAATTGTATGTATTATTTTGTTTGAAATCATTATAATCACACTCATATGGATTCCTTTGTTTTGACTAATGTAACTAAAGAGGAGACATAGTTTAATACATTCTCCTTATCTTACTGTATACGATACTATCAATGATGATATTTATAACACCTAGATAATAAATCAAATTAAGCACACAGAAAAATGTATATGATATGCAACGAGAAATTGAATCAGCACGACTTATATTATGTTAACTGTGTAAACAATATTCTAACTAATTTGTTCATATGTTCCAGTTTAATCAGGAATATAATATCATGTTTTAACTTTCTTAGAGAAAAAAGAAAGACAGCTACACCACAAATAACGATATTTCAACTATGCTACCGAAGAGAAAAAAAAGAGCATAACAATATAAAAAATATGCTTTACCATGACTTTTTTTTAAATTTCTACGCGTTAAATATTTTAAGTGTTGATTAAGAATTATCGAAAGAAAGTAAATATATTTGCCAAAGTATAATCACTATATTTATTAAAGTACCTTGAATAACAGAGAATCACTTCGAATATCTACCCTCATGGTCAATAACCCACTATTGATATTAACATTAACGGTGGAACCAATTTTTCAAGGCCAGATGCCCATTTCAACAATTCTTGAAACTACCTACTCGAGTGGCGGTGTGAATGAGATGTGGATACTTAAAAATTCCGAAGATCTGTTAGATTACATACAATCTAAGTCTCTTTCACTTTGCAAGTATTAAAAATTTGACTTTTCTACCCTTTACACAAGTGTTCCTTCCCCATTCCAAACTAAAAGACAAATTAAAAGAACTCGTTCTGCTTTGTTTCAGAAAAAAGAATGGCCAATGTAGATAAAAGTATCTCGTCCTCGGAATGGATAAATCGTAGCTTCGAACGAAAAATTCTCTGAAACTGACATTATCAAGATGCTTGATTTCTTGATTGACAACATATTTGTTACGTTTGGAGGACGTGTTTTTCAACAAACAATCGGCATTCCCATGGGAGCCAACTGTGCTCTTTTACCCACTTGTTCCTTTATCCATATGACTCATGGGTCTGACTTCAGACATGAGCTTCCTAGGAAGAATGAAAGAAGCTAGGATTATCATTTGACTTCACGTTCTGCTATATAAATGATGTCCTCACTAAATAATTCAAAGTTTGGTGAATACTAGAATTTTGAACACATCTATCCCATCGAATTTGAAATAAAGGATACAACTGGTACATTTAAGTCTGCCTTATATCTTGACTTGCATCTTGAAATTGACACTGAGGGCCAGTTGAGAACAAAACTTTACGACAAAAAAAGATGATTTCAGCTTCCCACTTGTGAACTTTCCATTTCTATGTAGCAACATTCCGGCAGCGCTTTGCATATGGAGTATATACTCGCAGTTGATACGATATTCCAGAGCTTGCATTTCCTGTCTTGATTTTCTTGATAGAGGTTTGCTGCTTACAAGGAAGCTATTAAACCAAGAGTTCCAAGTGGTGATGTTGATATCATCCATTAGAAAATATAACGGACGCCATGCATCACGAGTTGGTCTATCGTTATGGAACATCTTTTTCGCAGATGACGACGGATATGTTCCAATTGTCGTAATCACAATCCCGTGTTCTTTTCTCAAATGTGACCTACCGAATTAGACTTATCGCTAGATTTGAACTTGCATGAGCAACACGACGGGTGCCGCATGTGGAGCAGGTTCGTGTTGCTCAGTCTTTAGTTTTCTATGTTGTGTTTTGTGTACTGTTTATAAACAGTTGTTTGTCTTTTCGTCGTTTTTTGTTTTTTGCCATGGCATTGTCAGTTTGTTTTCGACTTATGAGTTTGAATATCCCTTTGGTATCTTTAGTCTCTCAATTAATGTCTCTTCAGTGATGCTTGGGGTCAAGTTTTATAAAAGCAAATGGCACGGTATGACAAAATATAAAACAATTCAAACGAGAAAACCAATGGCCTAATTAATGTTAAAAACAATAAATAAATACTGCAGACACCAACATATGACAACTACTGAATAGGCACTTAAAGAATTCGGCGGGGCTAACATGTTTGTAAGCGCTTAATCCGTCCTTATATGAGAGATTTTGAAAACAGCACATCATAAGCACAAACTGTAAGGTCAATTGGAAAAGGCTGGACTCATCACATCATGATAAAAAGACAAAGTACCGAGAACTCGCAGTTACCGGAAGCTAATTCAAAGCCAATTTCAATTTGTATATAAACCATCTCTTCATGTTCTAGAATATCTTTCAGTACACATACCACGGATTAAGTGCAAAGAAGGCTTAAACAGTCTGAGAAAAAGCATGGACCCGATATAACCGATAATGACCGATAACATTCATGCTACGTAGGAAAGGGAATGCGGCGTGATGAACTATATATAACAGACAACATACCCAAAATGGCCATTGATATTTTTTTCACATGCATGAAATCGTCTTTCTTAATTTAATGTATAATTTATCAGTTGCATGTTTATTCTTATACTCATAAACAGGAAGTTGTATTGTTCATAATTATGTAATTAAAGTTTAATTGTGTTATATTTCAACATCTGAAAATGATCACTGCTTAGTGCTACTGGTCTATGCAAAGCTGTTATCGAACTGTTATATTGCGTAACCATTTTTTTTTAGAGCCAAGGGAGCATGAAGTAGACGTTTCTATGTCTATAACTTTTTTAAAGATATCTTTTGAAGAGTAATATAGAAAAAGATTTTGCCCAAAATTTCGTATTTCATTATTAATTACCTATTTTTTCTGTGTTTGTGTCTCTTTCGGATGCTACCACATTGACATATATCACACATATCCATTTATAAATATTTCCAATGAACTTTGATAAAATCAAACAGAATCATTGAAAAAAAACACTAAGAAACACACAGCAATTGGCACTATAAAAATAATATAAACGCATAGATTAACTTAAAACATGATCCTGCAAAAAACTCGTAGCCTGCTCCAGACATGCCAGATGAAACATTTGTTCTATCATTTTTTAAGTCAGAAATCAATTACAAACAGGATGATTAAAGGAACTTGATATGTGGTCGTGGATCTTTGTCCGATATTTCTTAAGGGTCAACCTTAGAATAGCGATCTACAATTTGGTAATAATGGAGATAATTACACCTTATATAAGAATGCCGGATTTTAATTGGTTGTTAGCCAGTGTATTTTTCGCATATTCTAACATTTTTCCTCATTTCAAACGAATTTGCCTGTTTTTTCACCACTGCCGGTGAATTTGCCTCAAATTCCCCTCTCTGCCGTGGTATTTGCCATTTTAGATATTCCTTTTTTACCCTCGTGAGCCTGTTCCCGCCAAAATTATTCGGAACCTTTCTCACTTTATCCCGACAACATGGTTAAGCACTATTAATTGAGTTAAACCGAAAATTGTCAGAAATATACATATAAAGAGGGGAAAAAATGTCTATACAAATGAACGATTTAATGATGGAATAACAATGACGTTTACACATATAGATAACATGACGTTACAAAAAGGCAGCACTAACGCATATAAGTACATGTATAATTCCCGCGGTACTACGATTTCCCTTCACATGACATTGTACAGACAGTTTCAATCAAAATCTATTCGGTGTAATTAAACAGATATATCATGTTATGGAGGGGTATTTGCGAAAAATACCAGTCTTGCGACCAAATTTCCCTCGCCTAGCGGCTTGGGAAATTTCACCGTCCCTTGACTGGTATTTTTCGCAAATACCCCTCCATAACATGATATATCTGTTCAAAATTGCATACCTTTTTGTCGAAGGGTTTTGATGTTAAACTTTCTCCAATTATAATTAAGAGAAAGGTCGAGGTAAGATAATCTGTTTCTCCTCTACTATTTTTTTGCGGAATATTCATAAAAAATTAATATAAGAGAGGCGGCATGCAGATACCAAAGGTATAGTAAAACTCATAGTCGAAAACGAACTGACAATGACATGGCAAAAAAAAGAGAAGAAAAACGACCAAAAGACAAACAACAGTCTACAAAACACAACTTGAAAACTAAAGACTGAGCAACACGAAACCTACCAAAAAAAAAAAAAAACCCGGGGTGATCGCATAAACGAGATAAAATTAATAAAATAAAAATAGATAGCGAATCCTCCATTCAAAATCTGTTTTTTTTTTCTTATAAACAAATTGATAAATAAAAAATATGTATATCAAAAGATGATTGCAATTTAAGTAAGCAGGAATTATAATAATATTAGTTACACAGTTTGCTAGTGACCTAATACGATATATATGGGGTCAGTAAATTCCATATCAGGTGAGAGCGAAGCTCGAACCCCATATGAAATTTACTGAACCCATATATATCGTATTAGGTCACTAGCACACTGTGTAACGAATTTATCTCACCGACTATGTTGACATGTGGAATTTCGATTAATGGCTTAAATTATCAATGTGATCAAGTTTTCAATATAAAGAACGTACTTCCATTGGTATATACCAAAACAAATGCCAACTGTAAAAACTTGTGTGTTTTCTGCACTTTAAGTGACTTATTTCAATCGTTCATCATCAATTTCTTCATCTGTTGTCCGGGTAAAACGTTTCAGATTTTTCCTCGACACCGTGTTGTTTTTATAAAGGGACGTAACACCACTACTAACCGTGTATTGAAATAAACCACGCCTACTATTCCCATATGAAATATACAGGATCTCCACGCGGTCGCTTTTAACCAATGATATTGCTAGAAATGTATAGGACGTAAGATAAAAGCAGATATGGGATACACGTGAACGAGATGGCAGCTAAACAATCAGATTGAGAAGAAAAAATGCAATATTCAATCAACAAGGTAATTGGATTTGGTGTCTGATGGAAAGTTGTCTTATTGGGAATCATACCGCATATTCTTTTTTGACTCGCGCAGTCAGTAATAATTTTGGTTTGTGACCTAAGGACGCTTAACTATGGTAACACCATGCATGACTTCACCAATCTAAGCTGGTTCTCAACTGTGTAGTAGCAGAGACATATAATACAATTGTATTATATGTCTCTGGTAGTAGTCAGTCGAGGACCAGCTAATTACCAACCTTTACTCTGATTGGACGAAATTACGGAATTAAACAAAAACCAACAAATAGATATGCTACAATAATAGGAAAACATTACGGACATAAAATCAAACTTAAAAATGAAATTATCGAGATAAATAAAATAAATTCAGATAAAGAAGGTGTCATTATCACCACTGTCAAATTGTTTGGATTTTGTAGCCTACGCTTTTAATACATCAGCAGGTAAATATCACCGACAGGTTCATTAGATCTATTGCTGGTAAGTCAATTATGCTATTAATAGCTCGAGTGTTATAAATATATCTTATCGACTTTGTGTACTTGCAAGTGCAGTCTAAAAATTCCAAGGCGTAAAAATAATCTCAAAGAGTACAAAAAATTGTACTTGAAATATAAATAATGTCAAAATACTAGTACATATATCGCAAATTTAATTACTTGACGTATAAAGCTGTATTATATCATAGATATAATAGCTATTATATCTATGATTATATAGATCATCTCCATTTGGCGTCCGTCCGGCCACGATATACACACCGAAATAGGTTAATTGTGTCTCTAATTGTTAGAGTTGTGCTTGACATAGATATAATTGACATTTCTTCCTGGGACTATTATACTATGCCGGTTAGTATAATAGTCCCAGATTTCTTCATAGTTCTAAACTGGTTAATTGTTTCAATTTTGTTATTTATTACAGATTTTAACCTAATAATATATTATATTTATGTCTTCACAGCTAGGTTCTTCTTTATCTCTGAAAAAAAAACCTAAATTTTCATTTAGTTAAGTTCCAGTTCTGACGATAAATATTATAAAATGGGGTAGTAAATTCCGGATTTAATATCAAGTTATGTCCGCTTTGTTACCTGTTTACCATATCTAAAACAACTTCCGGTAGATTTGGAAGATTATTTTTGTATTGTCAAAGTCAACAATGTAAGAAAACGTTCCATCTAGAGTTCTAACTTGGTTTTGAAAAGGCAGGATGCTGGATGGAAAAAAAGATTTTAACGCGTTTACCTTAAGAAAAAATAAAAAGTTGCCTGTGCACTATACATTTGTTAAAAAAAACACTGTTACTTCATCTCTTCATTCTTTACGACATGTATGAAGAAGACATATTTAAGATAACACGACTAATTGTAATAACCTTTGAATAACGAAACCATAACATATATAACTCGGCAAAATGTCTGACATTCAGATTAAATTTTGACTATTAAAGAAACCCCAAAAAAATCCCTTGGAGATCACAATGTACATGTAATTCTAGTGTATGTAATGAAATCCTCAGTATTTTCAAGTTGAAAATGAGCTTACTTACAATGTATAACCTCACAATTTCTTTAATTACACCATAGAATAATATGAGGCAGGCAATACCTGTGAAAGGGGACGAAGTCTATATAAATTATTTTTTTTAATTCAAACATATTTCAAGTTCTAAATCTGTTTAAAAAAAAAACGGAAATACCGTAACGTTTCCGATTTTGGTTCTGTTGTTAGGGATTTTAGTTCTGACGTTATTTTAGTTATGACGTCATATTCAATGTAAACAAAGAAACGCTATCATCAGGTAACGTTTTTTCATATCAAAGAATATTTGAAATGAAATTGTTATTGTGTTCCTTCCTATATTTTACTGGACTGATAAATATATATTTCACTCAAAGTCTCATGACAAACGAGACCGGAAGAAGGAAGTAGATTTCTGCGCAAATGCGGGAATTTAAAAAGGTTACAAAAAAAAAGGTAATGATTTTGAGTTCATTAGTACAATGAAAATTTTGGGAAATTTTCCCGATTTTTTTTTTTTTTTTTTTTATTGATTTTTCTACTGTAATAGGGGACTTTGTCCCCTTATAATTTTAAGTCTTGGGAGAAAACCTTCATATTAATTCAAAATTAAGAATGCCAAATTTAAGGGCATACAATACAGTTATAAGGGAGGTAATGATGTTGCTAACGTAAATTGTTATTTTCTGCGATGTCAAATGGCAACATATCGGGAAAAGATGCATTTTTTGAGTGATTTTAATCATTAGCTTGAAAAAGAGTACATGGACCCCTCTTTTTGAAAGGACATTTTGACTTACAATTGTAAAACTGTATGAAGATTATTTGTACCAATTTTGAAGAAAAAAATCACTGATGAATTTTTTTTATATTAGATAAATATGCAGCAAAAAAAAGCTGTTTTTTTTACTAAAATCATGAAATTTTAATATAAATGAATTATTTTCAAAGAATTGTTACAAGATATATCTTGTTTTGGATGAATAACTTCAGGTGAACATTCAACTAGATTTGACTCAAAATCAAAAATGGTTGAAATTTTTTATATTTAAAACTTGTACAACAAACAATGGCTTTTCAGTGGTGAATTTCACCAGCAAAGTGCATGTAGGTGTAAGTATTAGAACACACCTTGTGCTATTCTCACATGTCCTTTTCCAATTAGAGTTTGACACTTAATGTATTAAGCAATCGTAATAATTGTACATGCTCAGCCTCCAGATTACATTCAAACAGCAATACTGTCAACTCTCGCACATTAGGCATAAAACTGCTCATGCTCTTATCATCTTTGCAAATGATTAAAATCACATATTTCTTTGTTAAATATCAAAATCTTCAATGCATAAAGTCAAATTGAATTACATATTGATCAATAAAAAACCTCACTATATTCATAATGTATTTGGAAAAGATAAAATATTTAATTTCATTACTTTTTGCTGCATTATAATACATTTCTAAATTATACTTTATAATAAGATATGCAATTTTGCATTTCCCCAGAATAATATGCAATAAAATTTTGGATTCACTAGCCACTAATTTTATGTGTTTGCTGAAAATTGTGTATCCACTAAAAATCTCATGCATAATAGTTTAAAAAACTTGGAAGGTCTTAGACAGTTGTACTACATACATGACATACATGTATATGATATATGTTCAAATTGCTGTATTAACATTTAAAACTGAATAATCTAAAGGTAAATTTTTCTGCAAAACACGTCATACAAACAAAGGCTTTGACAAAATTGTTGGATGTTTATAAAATGACGTTGATTTTCAAACTTTCATTTGTAACCCTCTTTTCTATATGTACCTCCTGTGTAAACTTTTTCATAGGGAAACCTTACTTTCCTAACTTTCAAATCTAATTCAATCACCAATGCCAACTTCAAATAAAACATGCTATAAATGTTTTTACAGGTAAATGACAAGGCAAAATCAACTTTCTGCATGGTTGATACACAAGTATAAAGTAGTAAAGAAGGATGAGAATTTAGAAATAAGAACTGACCAGATTTAGTTGGTCAGTAAATTACACTTAAGATGAGCAGTACTGATTCAAACAATGTGCCATATCATATAGTGACAGAAAATATAACCGAACATACCACAGTATTGACAGAGCATCATTCCACATCATCTAGTCATGTCTTAGCTTATGTTCTAGTTCCTGTAGGATCTGTGATCCTTGTTGCACTGTTAGCTCTCATTGTAAGTATAAATAATTTTTATGCACACCTTTTCACAGATCATACAAAAACAAGATAATGCTTTGTTCAGATTTAAGGTAAATTTACACATATCATGCAAACTCAAGTTTGTTCAAATTTTTTTACTTAAAACTTGACATAAATGTTAGGGTTTATGGAAGCTCCATTTTGATTTTGAAAAAATTCTGGTTTGTCATTCAATACAATGTACATTTTTTGTAGTTGACAGACTTTTATATTTGTTGAATTGATTTGATATGATGAACTTTTGGTCCAGATCTCATGATGGTATAATATCAATGTTATGGTATATCCCTTTGTTACAAATCTTTAATGTGAGAAATAAAGCAGTTGATCACATTTGGATCATCATGTTCTTCATCTAATGCTCAACCAACTTAAGTTATGTTTGATTTCTATGTTTCATTTACAGACATTCATTGAAGTGTATTAATAATATTTCTATATAACATTCTTATTTAAGCACAGTTTAGATCATCCTGAATAGCATGGTGATGAATTATTGTATTTTACTAGTAACAGTTTTAAAAAAGAAAGAACATACCACGGGGACAATAAAAAACTCCAATAAAACCAACAACACCATGACAAAAAGAGACAAACAACAATAACAAAACATTACACAGAAATTGAGGTACACAAATCCCACAAAAAATGGTATCTTTATGTTATAATTAACAGGAAGCACTAGAAATCAAAGAATTGGTCTTTGATTTGTTGCATTTGAATAATTTTTATGGCCAAGGAACACAGTTGTCGTGCCATACATGTATAGTTTTACTCTTTTTCGTCATTACGCAATGAACAGTTATACAGACTTTTTCTAAACGCCTTCACATATTGAGCTGATTTTTAGTATGTGAGTCTACTATGATGAATTACAGATGAGTTTACATTTGGTTCCACTCCAATGACTTTTGCTGAAATAACAGGCTTTGGACTTTGAAAATTTCATGAAAATTACAGTTATACAGACTTTCATTCTCAAATTTCCACTCCTAAAAATGGCTTAAAGCTTTTTTTCTGAGCGGGGCCATTGGTGTTGTTCAGACACATATATTTTTAAAGTATACATGTATATTTCCAGATATTCATTTTTGAATTGAAACTATTTTAACAAATGAGATAATTATGCTTATTTAAAAATAAACAAATTGATTGTTTATATATTTCAGGCAGTTATAATTTTCAGGAAAAACAGGTACGTAAGTGTAATCATATGATGTCACAAAAACTTTTAAAGAAAGAGTACCTATATAGGCTAGCTACCATAGACTCATGCAACTTAATTACTGTTCTGCATGAACATGATTAAGGGACTAAACGGCTGAGGCTTTTCACAAATGATGTCACAGTCTTCTTTGAATTATAATTTACATTATAAATGTATTTTGTCTCCAATATTCAAACTTGTGTAAAAATGAGCTGATCATCTTTACAATTAAAAAGAATGCATACTACAAACATATTTAATAATATGCCCTATGACTCAACAGTATTGAAAATACCAGCATTTCAAAAGGTTTTTTTTTATTTTAAAATAATATTTAGGGTTGTCAAAATCAGTATGCAAACTATATCGGTAAACTGTATAGCATTGTTGTAAAGTAATTGATACTGTTTAAGACTGTTATATGTCCCTAGAATTAAAGTAGCAATAAACACTGTCTTTTACATAGTTATACTATTCATATATCGGTAATAAAATTTGTAAGATGGTGTTGGATAAATACTAATAAGGCAGCAATTAAATTACACAATTCAACCACAATAGACATATTTCTCTTAGAATATTAACTATGTACATGTAATTGTACACATAAATACATGTATTAAAAATCATGAAAAAAGAAATAATGGAAAATAGTAACACTAGATAATCTAAACAGAGATGATTAAATTTTGAATTTCGAAAATGATTATGAAATTCAAATAAAAGTTAAAATGTCGTCTGCTTGAATTTTTGTGATTCATGAAAAACTATTTAGGTATTATTTTCATGATTTTCCACGTTTTCTGTATGCATGAAAGATAGATAATTGATTAAATCATGGAAAATTATATATTCTAAAACAGAGTTTTTGTGCTGCTTTTTTGAAGTACATTTTATTAGATTTTCTTTGAGATCCTATTGTGCTATAATGTATATGTAACATGTAACAATAATCAAAATTTTTGAAAGTGATAAGCAAACAAAACTTTTGCTTAGAAGGAGTCACCTCTGAATAAGACATAATGTTTCAAATGACCTTTGGTTTGAAGAGGGATTGCTGTTTTAGCAACATTTTAGAAATAATCATGGTTTACATGTACTGAAGAAGGTACCAATTAATATATATAAGCATCCCTTATGTTTACTAGAAAAAAAATCCTTTCTACTATAAATATCTGACAGAGTCAAAAGTAAGATTAACTTTTTTTAGAATGGATAAGTTGAGACATCATTTAATGCCTATGTATAGCTTTGACCCCAATGAAGATGCTGACTGGGAATCAGAACTGTTAGAAGATCAGGATAACGAACAGCGTTTAGCACTTAGGATAGAGGTAAGATCAGGATAATGAACAGTGTTTAGCACTAAGGATAGAAGTAAGATCAGGATAACGAACAGCGTTTAGCACTAAGGATAGAGGTAAGATCAGGATAATGAACAGCGTTTAGCACTAAGGATAGTGGTAAGATCAGGATAATGAACAGCGTTTATCACTAAGGATAGAGGTAAGATCAGGATAATGAACAGTGTTTAGCACTAAGGATAGAAGTAAGATCAGGATAATGAACAGTGTTTAGCACTAAGGATAGAGGTAAGATCAGGATAACAAACAGCGTTTATCACTAAGGATAGTGGTAAGATCAGGATAATGAACAGTGTTTATCACTAAGGATAGTGGTAAGATCAGGATAACGAACAGCGTTTATCACTAAGGATAGAAGTAAGATCAGGATAATGAACAGTGTTTAGCACTAAGGATAGAAGTAAGATCAGGATAATGAACAGCGTTTATCACTAAGGATAGAAGTAAGATCAGGATAATGAACAGCGTTTATCACTAAGGATAGAGGTAAGATCAGGATAACGAACAGCGTTTATCACTAAGGATAGAAGTAAGATCAGGATAATGAACAGTGTTTAGCACTAAGGATAGAAGTAAGATCAGGATAATGAACAGTGTTTATCACTAAGGATAGAAGTAAGATCAGGATAATGAACAGCGTTTATCACTAAGGATAGAGGTAAGATCAGGATAACGAACAGCGTTTATCACTAAGGATAGAAGTAAGATCAGGATAATGAACAGTGTTTAGCACTAAGGATAGAAGTAAGATCAGGATAATGAACAGCGTTTATCACTAAGGATAGAGGTAAGATCAGGATAATGAACAGCGTTTATCACTAAGGATAGAGGTAAGATCAGGATAATGAACAGCGCTTATCACTAAGGATAGAGGTAAGATCAGGATAATGAACAGCGTTTAGCACTAAGGATAGAAGTAAGATCAGGATAATGAACAGTGTTTAGCACTAAGGATAGAAGTAAGATCAGGATAATGAACAGTGTTTAGCACTAAGGATAGAGGTAAGATCAGGATAATGAACAGTGTTTAGCACTAAGGATAGTGGTAAGATCAGGATAATGAACAGTGTTTAGCACTAAGGATAGAAGTAAGATCAGGATAATGAACAGCGTTTATCACTAAGGATAGAAGTCAGATCAGGATAATGAACAGCGTTTATCACTAAGGATAGTGGTAAGATCAGGATAATGAACAGTGTTTATCACTAAGGATAGAAGTAAGATCAGGATAATGAACAGTGTTTAGCACTAAGGATAGTGGTAAGATCAGGATAATGAACAGCGTTTATCACTAAGGATAGAGGTAAGATCAGGATAACAAACGGCATTTAGCACTAAGGATAGAGGTAAGATCAGGATAATGAACGGCATTTAGCACCAAGGATAGAGGTAAGATCAGGATAATGAACAGCGTTTATCACCAAGGATAGAGGTAAGATCAGGATAATGATCAGTGTTTAGCACTAAGGATAGAAGTAAGATCAGGATAATGAACGGCATTTAGCACCAAGGATAGAGGTAAGATCAGGATAATGAACAGCGTTTAGCACTAAGGATAGTGGTAAGATCAGGATAATGAACAGTGTTTAGCACTAAGGATAGTGGTAAGATCAGGATAATGAACAGCGTTTATCACTAAGGATAGAGGTAAGATCAGGATAATGAACAGCGTTTAGCACTAAGGATAGTGGTAAGATCAAATCAGGAGTTTACGTGATTAAATCTAAAGTAATTTTCTTTAAGATCTTGTCTGATTGAAGAACTTTACAGTGTAATTTGTGATGGTCTTCATGCTTCACCAAATGTATTGGCATCAATTAACAGGAATACAACATAAAACAAGATCTTTCTTTTATGATCAATTATATGAATCTTTCATAATTTTAACTGGAAATATGATGGACCTTTGGGAATATTCTTTTGATTTATACAGTTTATCTCACTCTTTAAATGTCCATCATCATGTAAACATTCATTTACTTTAAATGAAAATTTATGGACATGTTCAAATAATTGTAAGAAAACTTGGTTCTTTCAGCTATTAAAGAATGTAATTTGACCTAAAAAAAATGGAATATCAATGATGAACGATTGCATTTTATAATTTTATCTAAAAACTTGCATAAGTGTTTCTCGTTTCCCGTTTTCTATATAGACTAGACCGTTGATTTTCCTGTTTGAATTGTTTTACACTAGTCATTTTGGGGCCCTTTATAGCTTACTGTTCGGTGTGAGCTAAGGCTCCGTGTTGAAGGTCGTACTTTAACCTATAATTGTTTACTTTTTACACATTGTGATTTGGATGGAGTGTGGTCTCATTGGCACTCATACCACATCTTCTTATTTATATAGACCTAAACATCTATTAGTATAAAATAAGGAGATGTTGTATGATAGCAAATGAGCCAACTATCAAACAGAGTCCAAATGTCATGGATTTAAGCAACTGTAGGTCACTGTACAGCCTTCAACAATGAGCAAAACTCATACTGTATAGCCAGCTGTAAAAGGCTCTGACGTGACAAAATATGAAACAATTCAAATGAAAAAAAAACAAACAAAGACCTGATTTATAACAAAAAAGTTTAGTTATACAGCTCTTAATGTTTCTACTTATTTATACATTCATGGCTTTCAAATGTTAAGGTTTGAGCTTTCTTGATGAAAGTATATACAAAAAAAGCTTTGATTGGCAACATAAAGTGTTCACTTTATATACTAGAACTGGATTGATACCATTTCTGGTGGACTGTTGGTGGTATCATCAGCTCAGTAGGCTGAGCTTTGGTACTTACATGATTTATAACAGACTTTTCTAAAATTCTCCATTGATAAATTAAGAAATTATTAAGAAACTAAGGTAACTAACTCCCTCAAGCAAAGTTGACCATGGGTGAATTTACCTGTCCTTTTTAGCTCCTAGAATTTCTAAGTATTTATACATCCCTGGCTTTCAAATGTTGAGGTGTGGGGGTTCCCAATGAAGGTAAAACCCTAAAAAAGGGCTTTGGATGTACAACATTTTTAGCTCACCTGGCCCTTTAGCTTTTCTCATCATTTGGCATCCATCGTCCGCCTCTAACTTTTACAAAATTCATCTCTTCTGGAAATACTGGACCAAATTTAACCAAACTTGGCCACTATCATTATAAGGGTATCTAGTTTAAAAAATGTGTCCAATGACCCCACCTGCCAACCAAGATGGCCATTGTGGTTAAAAAAAGTACATAGGGGTAAAATGCGAGTTTTGTCTAATATTTTGAAACCGTAATAATTAGAGAAAATCTGACAGAGGCAGAAATGTTCTGTATGTTGAGCTCTACCAATTGTTTAATTATGTCAAAACTGTTAGGGGACTTCTTGTAAGAGTTATTGTCCTTTTTCGCCTATTATCCTGAAAACTATAATAGATGGAAATCGTCGGTCGATTCCTTATTAGTTTTTTTGTCCTTTGGTGACATTTTTACCATATTTTGCGTTTTGCCTTATATGATAAAAATTATAATAGATAAATAGAACAAAAATGATCAGCAAGGCAATGTCTATAAGGAAGTCAAATTTTGCCGATATAGTTAGTAGACTGCCACTCTTTATTGGAGTGATTGCCCTTAAATGAGGATTTTTTTACCCTCTTTTGTGGTTTGGGCAAAAACTAAAGAAGATAAAGAGAAACTAAACAGACAAAACGATCAGCTTAACAAGATCAACATAAAATAGATTTTTGTAATGAATTCTATTCTCATCTACAATGAGAGTGTCTTTTGTTGAATATGTACAAAGACCTAGGTGAACGACACAGGCTCTTTAGAGCCTTTAGTTAAGTGTTATTTTCATCTACCAATTAAATTGTTTATTTACTGTATTGACTAGGTAAATATCAGCCAAGATTCCTCTATGCGACTTGAAATAGATTATATTTTATTATATGTTTTTTCCATTTCAGACTCCAAGTCCAGATGCTGCCCCAATTTATAAGTTTGGGACCAAAAGAAAGTAATGAATAATCACTTGCTAAAAGTTAGTACAAGTTCACAACATTTCCTGGAGAACTGAAAACATTTTTTAAATTTATTTAGAAGAAATGATAATTTCTTCCATTGTATAATAATCACAAGTATTTAATTGTTAAATTCTGTTTTATTTGTTACTGTTAAGTTTCTAAAGAGAGTCACTAGTTATTTTTAAAGTGTATCTTCATGGTGTGTTTATTAATTTTACAGTATTTTAATGATATAATATTACACTTGTTTGAATCTCATTTTATTTTGCTTTTTATAACCATATTTATTTTTTTTTCAATGTTTTGCCAATATGATATTTATATAAATGGACAAACTATATTTTTAGTATTTTTACTTAATATGTTCTTTTCTGAATTTGATTAAAATATTTTTTGTGGTCATTTTCAGATAACCGAAAACCTCATCATTTAAATATCTGAAAAGTCTATTGGGCATTGAAAGTATTTTTACAAATTGTGATTTAAATAATGTCTTGCACAAACTAGGTGATATAGTGATATAGTGAGGTGAAAGTGACATTTTTTTCTAATTATTCCTTATTTATGTGAAAAAGAATGCTATAATTACATAGATGACAAAAATTAACAAAAAACTAAAGCAGTACCAAATTCTTCTGTTTTGCATATTTTAAATAATTATTTAGCCCTTGATAGTTTATGCACTTGGATCAAATAATGAGTGGTGTTGGTTATAATTTTATGTGTGCATTTTGTCAGTGCTTTTTACCTTCAGAATAAAGTCAAATATTTTCTAAAAACACAAAGCTTTATTATTTATCTTATAATTCGGGGTCATCATAAATATGCTTGAAATACACGCCACTGGGCATTAAGATACCAACAATCGTCACATTTTGTGTTGTCTTCTTACTTTTATGGGATTTTTAAGTATATAAAGTATGAATAAAAGAGTTATGATGAAATTTGAGCATAACACTTATTACTAGAGCCTTACCTCAATCCTTGCAACATTTGTTTGTTATTTTTTTCTTAAATGACAGAAGTTTGATGACCTGAAGCAAACATTTGAAACAAAATTTAAACATATTATTAAAGTTATCTGACAAACTAATGTCTTGTTAGGATCTAAAGGATGTTATTTCATCCATTTATATGTTTCAGAGTCTAGTGTGGCGTCCATTTCGCTGAACTAATATACATTATTGTGTAGGGGCCAGCTGAAGCCCACCTTCACGTGGAGGATTTTCACACTTCGATGAAGACCCATTTGTGGCCTTGGGCTGTATGCTGCTCTTTGGTCAGGTTGTTGTCTCTTTGACACAGTCCCCGTTTCCATTCTCAATTCTATTTGTGATTTTCAAATAAAAGCAGCTAGTAAGTAACCTAAACATACAGTATCCTTTGATAGCTGAGATAATATGCAGGCGTAGTAAATTGGTTTTATACTCGCAGAACTATTTTGATCTGAATATGATTGTTAATGTTTGATGATTAAAAACTGTATGGCATGTCAATATGTTAAGGGCTCTTCCAGAATTAACACATTGCGGCACTGAAGGTACCTTTTTTTTTTAGACCCCAACCACCCGTAATATAAATTTTTTGTTACTATTCTTACAAAATTTTAAGGAAATTGCAACCACCCACAATTAATTAATTTCAGTGTCTCACATCCCTTTCATCACAATTTTTGCACAATCCTAATTTACTGACTGAGTGTAACTTGATTGGATATTAAACAAAAGGAGATAGGGGGGGGGGGGGGGGGGCATGCATGTGGTTACAGGCATTTTTCTGTAAGAATGATATTTTATTTATAGATGCAAATGATAACAAGTTTGATTTTATTAGTAAGAATAGGCTACATTTAAGTACTGCATAATTGAAGACATGTAGTGTTTTAATAAAGAAAAAGATTACAAATGATTCTTTTAGTTGCTATTTGGTTATTTATATTTAACTCTAATGTATTTGAATGTGTAAGTAATATTTTGAAGTTTATTCATATAGGCTTTAAATATTACAGCAAGTTCATTTTCTATGTGTCTTGACTTAATGTGATATGTACCTTTTAAGTTTGCCCAACAAAATTGATGGGACAATTGGATTTTCCATCAATTGTAACATATTTAATCTCTAAAAGGAACAATAAAATTGAGAATGGAAATGGGAATGTGTCAAAGAGACAACAACCCGACCATAGAGCAGACAACAGCTGAAGGCCACCAATGGGTCTTCAATGCAGCGAGAAACTCCCGCACCCGGAGGAGTCCTTCAGCTGGCCCCTAAACAAATAAGTATACTAGTTCAGTGATAATGGACGTCATACTAAACTCCAAATTATACACAGGAAACTAAAATTAAAAATGATACAAGACTAACAAAGGCCAGAGGCTCCTGACTTGGGACAGGCGCAAAAATGCGGCGAGCTTAAACATGTTTTTTGAGATCTCAACCCTCCCCCTATACCTCTAGACAATGTAGAAAAAACAAATGCACAACAGTACGCATGTTAAAACTCAGTATAAGAGAAGTCAGAGTCCGATGTCAGAATAGGAAACAAAAGAAAATAAACAAAATGACAATAATACATTAATTACAACAGGCTACTAGCAGTTACTGACATGCCAGCTCCAGACCTCAATTAAACTGATTGAAAGATTATGTCTTCATCATATGAATATCAGGCACAATCCCTCCTGTTAGGGGTTTAGTATTATACCGTCATAAAATATATGAGAAGAACATAACCCGTGTCATGCCAACAACTGGTTTTAGAATAAATGTGTTAATTCCGATGCAAAGACCCTATAAATGAATCAATATTAAAGCCAAAATATGCAATCTTTAATGACCTGACAACAGTATCGTAACTATATCCCTTCTTAATAAGTCTGTTTAAAGGTTTTGTTAGCTTTTGAGATGAATACTGACATTTTTGTGCTTTGTAAAGAATATTACCATAAAAGATTGGATGTGAAATACCCGAACGTATAAGATGTCTGCATGTTGAGTTATATTTACGAATGATGTCCTTATACTGATGATAAAATTTAGTAAATGTTTTGACTAGTTTATGATATTGAAAACCCTGGTGTAATAATTTTTCAGAAATACATAAATTTCTCTCGCTAAAATCTAATACGTTGTTACATACACGAGCGAATCGTACAAGTTGAGATATATAAACACCATAAGATGGTGACAAGGGAACATATTAGTTCTTCATAAAAAACATAACAAAAAAGAAGAGATATGGCATTATTTGAGAGGAAAATAACATTTTTGCAAAGACTGCACAATAGTTGTGAACTTTAAAAATGTTACCATGCACAAAAAACCTTGTCTTATTCTGAAAGGTAATTTAAAAATGACACAGTAAAATGTCTGAACTGAAGAGATTCCCTTACAGGGGTTTTGTGCTTTGATTACTATACATTTATACAGTTTTTGAAACGTGTGTAATTGCAAATAGAAAAATATTTAAAAAAAACTATACCATTCTACCCTTTTGAAAAGTATTTCTATATGTCACCTTTGTACCACGATATCTTTCAACGGCCAATTAATTTTATAAAGTATAATTAACCTTAACTTAGTTCTGTTTTGTAGACTATCCCACTGCAAGGAGTTAACCATGTTTGTTGTCTATCTCTTTATCTAAAATCATTGTTAACATATTTACTGCCTTTCTTTGTATTAGCTCAACCTAAGAGATTTGATGCATTTGTGAGGATCCCAAATTGGCAAAATGGTGAAGAATGTTATATTCATTCTTCATGTTGACTGATAACTAGTGAGCTAAAAATATGTGTCAATCTTGATCAATGCAGGATATTTGTATTTCATTAACATCCTATCACCCTGAATATTCATGTTATATCTGCCGCTTGATGTTAAGTAGCCATCAATCAATCTGATGCAAAAGTGTAAAACAACTTGGTCAGCTTTTGAGCGTAAATTGGTAAATTTGACCAGCCTTTCATGCTTTATTAACCTTGGTTCAAAGCTCATTAAAGAGCACATCTTGGTATGATTATCTACACTTGCAGTACGTTGAAATGAGTATGTTAGAATCCAAAAAAAATGATTTCTGTAACCAAGAAATGAACATATAGAATGGAGAATGGAAACGGGGAATGTGTCGAAGAGACAACAACCCGACCAAAGTGCAGAAAATAGCCCAAGGGGCTTCAGCTGGCCACTACACAATATTGTATACTAGTTCAGTAAAAAGGACGCCAATCGAACTCCGAAAAATACAAATGAACCAAAATTTTATAATAACACCCACAGGTCTAACAAAGGCTTGACGTTCCTGACTTGTCTCATATAATTTCGATTGCGCCTTTTGTATCTTCTTACATGTTTGTCTTTTTTGAAGACCGTAAGTTCACTATCAGAAGTCCTCGCCTGTGACAATTATTGCGGAATGCCAGACATATTTGCTAATGTAGCATATATGGCCTAAACCAAACTGTTTACTTTAAGCTTTTTGACAGCTTATGACGTCTTTAACACTAAATCATTGGAAGGTGTTTTGATTGATATTTAAGTCTGAGAACACAATTGTTTATTTGTAAGTTGATATTAGGGTTTGAACTAGCTTTCGGAAACTGCAAGTACTATAAGGTTGTTCTTTGAGTCTATTATCTTCTTGTTAGTTGTTTTTATACTTAGACCTGATCAGATGATTTACTTTCGAACTGATTTTACGGTTCGTTCTTATGTTGTGTTGTTACATTGCTGTCACATATAAGAGGAGAGTAGAATACTCACAAACATGTTTTAGCCCGCAGCATTCTTTATGTGTCTGTCCGAAGCCAGGGTGTTTGTCATGTGTTGCCGTCTGCAATAATAATTTTCCGTGTATTGTTTTAGTATAAATCCGGCGGTTTGTTTTCTATTTTGAATTGTTTCACGTCTTGTCATCCGGGGACCTTTAGTAGCGTATGAACTATGCCGTTTGGGTGTTTCTATTTATTGAAAGCCGTACTTTGAGCTTTAGTTGTTAATTATCTTTTCATTTGTTCTTTGGTGGATAGTTATCTCATTGGCAATCAGGTTCTTTTCATTTGTTCTTTGGATAACAGTTGTCTCATTGGTAATCAGATTCAGGTTCTTTATTAGCTTTTTACAATACGTTAATCAGCATTACAATATTCAAACATCTGCAATTAGTGTTGTAGTGTTGTAAATTACAAATGTTCATAGTACTTACATTTAACTAAAAGCTTTTTCTTAATATAAATATAACTTTGAAAACTGTTTTACGCTTTCCACACTCAAAAGTAAGACTGGTTTCATCATGCTAATAATATGGTTTTAATAAACAGCTAACATAATTGAACACATTTTGGACACTGACGTATATAATGAAATTCATCTCCAATAACATTTATGGTACAAGTTACACAAATTCTATTTGACCTTTCTACACCATATATAGACACGTCAAGTTTCAATAAATACATTGTGTGTTGATGGACATATCTTAGTAAAATATCTCCAGTTAACAACATACGTTCTTTGTAGTGATATATTTGATACACAATATCTATAATTCACACACTTGCTAGAATTTTTTAACCTTTGATACAGTTGGTTATACCAAAAACCTTTTCAGTCCAAGGTTAAACAATAAACACATCGAATTTTCACAGTATAAAAAAAAATAGATCTTTGTATCATGTTCTTAAAAAACAGTTTTCTGAAGATAAAAGTTACAACCAAAATTTTAATAATCTGAACATTCTTTCATATTCCAGTGGAATATAAAGTTCATAATTAAATCATTACATTTGTAAACATTTATTCAACACAAATTGAAAGTATGTTTAAACAAATCAATTTGCACCCTTTCTACATTTGGCGTTTTGTGATCATACCAAATCTCTTTATTTCTATAAGAAAGTCAAAATCCCAAAAACAAACAAATCTCCTTATTTTCATAAATAAGAAAGAAAAATACTGAAGCCTCTTCTAGTTATCTTTAAAAACTATTGGAATATTCTTGTAGTCATAATTGCAACATTCACTTTTTTTTATTTTCAAAAAGCCTTGACATTCATCATTGTGACTTTATCTGAAACAGACATGCCATTAACATGTCCTACAATGATGGTTGGTTTTCCTTTCACAATCATTTTATCTATATTTTGTATAATAACTCTCTCTGAATTAAAAAAGGTGCCCTTTTCAATGTCCAACGCTGTTATGCTTTCATGGTTGCTGACAAAGTCTTTCCTTTGTTGTAATCCATAACATTTTGGTGTTAATTCAGCAACACACAATTTCTCGCAACTATTATTTTTCTGGTAATGGTTTTCGGATAAATGTCCAGCTTTAGATACATTCGAATTTTCTGGAGAACAATCCTTATTTAATGCTTTACTAGTATTTGACACCTCCTTTTCTGCATTATCTATCGCAATTGTTACACCACCATGTTGTGTGTAAGATTCGTTGCTACTTATTTCATTATTGTTGCTTTTAATCACGGGGGTTGTTGCAGAATCATAAGTTTTATTATTCCTCTGGGTTGTCTATAACAGAAAATAACAGAAAAAAACATTTGTTCAAAGCTGTATTATATACAAACTCTATTCAATAAACTGTTAACACAGAGATATGTCTCACCTTTTTGTTATTTTGATAGTAAAATGATAATGTTGAAATTAAAATATCAATACTTTAACATGTAAGCTAAGCAAAATATTCAGTCAATGAACCATGACTGAAGGTACAGGGCCAAACAATCTCCATGGGAATGAGATGTCCAAATACTAATACAACTGGATTCCAAATATCATTGACCTACCACTAGTGGTTCCCCATAAACTGACATAATCACAAACTAATACATGTAAACTAAGCAAAAGTTTCAAAGTCAATAGACCATGACTGAGGCGGTGGGGCCAAATAATCTCCATGGAAATGAGATTTGCCAATGCTAATACAAATGCATATCAAATATCATTAACCTACCACTAGTGGTTCCCTATAAATTGACACAATCACAAACTAATACCTGTAAACCATGTGCTAATCAAAAGTTTTAAAGTCAATAGACCATGACTGAGCGGGCAGGGCCAAATTATCTCCATGGGAATGAGATGTGCCAATGCTAATACAACTGCATACCAAATATCATTGAAATGCCACTAGTGGTTACCCATAATTGACCTAATCCAAGTCAGGGATTTCGTTACCACAAATTACTTAAAACCCTTACTAAACTCTTCCGTAGTTACAAAATTTGGTTTGCAAGTTTGGCTGTACATGTAGAAAACCTGTTTCAAATGGAATAGCACATCCTAAATTTTACAGTGATTTTGTTAACCGAGCCCGGAAATTTAGATACGATCCGGGTAAACTTATCAATCCTTTAAATAAACTTATTCTAAAAGGTTACCTATTCAACACTGTAATTAAATCTTTGAATATTGTTTTTATTGGTATAAATATTGAGTTTGTTATCATTAAATTAAAACCATACTAAATATTACACATATGTACTTTCACGGTACTACAATCTGTCGATACCTATATTTTGGCATTGCACAAGGTCATGTTTTTCTCTGACTGTTAATGACGTCTCTACACTAAATTCACACTGTTGGATGTGTGCTGATTGATTATTTTAGTCTTAGATGCATGATTTGTTTTATTAGTTGTTATTGGCTTTGAACTAACTGTCTGTAACTGCGAGTCCTCTCAGATCTGTACTTAGTGTCTTTTTTGTTGTTATGGATGAGGGATAGATATATACCCTGCCACGTCCTGTCTGTGTTTTTGTTTGATGTTTTTCTTTGTATCGATCTGATGAGTTAAGCCTTTTCAACTGATATTTGTCGAGCCTACGACTTTTGTCGCAAAAGCGAGACATAGCGATCCTACATTCCGTCGTCGTCCACAAATATTCACTCTGTGGTTAAAGTTTTTCAAATTTTAATAACTTTCTTACACTATCCTGGATTTGTACCACACTTGGACAGAAGCTTGTTTGTGATCATAATATAGAATTCAAAAGTAAATTTTGTTGAAAAAAATCCTGTTCGTCCGTATTTTAATTATAAATGGACTTAGTTTTTCTTCCAGTTAACATTACATTCACTCTGTGGTTAAAGCTTTAAAAATTTTAATAACTTTATTAAACTACCCTGGATTTGTACCAAACTTGGACAGAAGCTTGTTTATGATCAAAATCTAGTATCTGGAAGGAAATTTTGTAAAAAATTATTTCCTGTTTTTCCGTATATTACTTATAAATGGACTTAGTTTTATTCCAGTTAACATTACGTACAGTCTGCAGTTAAAGTTTTTAAAACATTTATTAGATTCATAAACCTTCTTGGATTTTTACCAAACTTGAACAGAACTTCTTACAATCAAAAGAAAGTATCTAGAGGAAAATTTTTAATAATTTTTTCCCCATTTTTGTTGAGCCTGTGACTAACAGCAAACGTAGACGAGACACTGGGTTTCGTGGAACCCTTACGAATTTTTATAGTTTGTTCTTATGTTGTGCTGTTACACCACTGTCCCAGGTTAGCGGAGGGTTGAGCGCTTAAGAGTTTAACCCCGCCACATTCTTTATGTGCCTGTCCCAGGTCAGGAGCCTGTAGTTCAGTGGTTGTCGTTGGTTCATGTCTGTCATATTTGTTTTTCGTAAATTGTTTTGTTATAAATTAGGCCGTTAGTTTTCTCAATTGAATTGTTTCATATTTTTCATGCCGGGGCCTTTTATAGCCGACTATACGGTATGGGTTTTTCACATTGTTGTAGGCCGTATGGTTGCCTATAATTGCTTACAACCACTTTATTTTAACTTTGGTGGATAGTTGTCTCATTGGCAATCATATCAAATCTCCTTATTTTTATACTAATCACAAACTAATACATGTAAACTAAGCAAAAGTTTCTAAGTCAATAGACCATGACTGAGGGGGTGGGGCCAAATAATCTCCATGGCTCAATTGAAGTCACATGAATACGGAATCAATGAGATCGAATAATTCACTTGCAAGTGAATAATTAATCAGCGATGTTTCTTAGCTTATTTTGACAAAATTTCACTTTCATTAATGATTGAAAAAAAAATCATATATTTTTTTTTATATCTCGTAGTTAATGCCCCTTTAAGTACAGTTCGTAACCATTGTCGCCTTCTAAGGTTGTATCACATGTATTCATTTTAGGCCTGAATTGTGTTTTGGCTGTGAAGAAGTCAGACAGTACGACAATTGACAAGACAATTTAAAGAATGGAAATATCTTAATGGCACGTCGCAGTGCCGATTTTCTGTGAAAATACTTAAACTAGTTGAATATTCTATATCCTTAACGATATAAAGGATACCTTATTTAAATATCTTTAATATAATATCCTTCTTCGTAATTATTGGAAGCACTAAAAGCGACCTTTGCGGGGTTCTTCAGACAATCCAGTAAACACAAAATCTCGCTCCATTTGAACAATAAATGTGACTGCTTAGTCCTGGTATTACAAAAATTGAGAGTGGACGAAAATGTCAAATTGTATACACCTTTGTCTATATCGTTGAAGACCACAAGTTGACCTCTAGATGTCGTTTTGCCTTTGTATGAATGTCGTTCAGTTCGAACACCTTACTTTTCCTTTTATTACTTTTTTTATCTGTTTCAAGGTTCTGCGATATAAAAAAAAACTATTGTTAAAAAGTAATCCAGTGATGAACTCAAACCGTTTTCATCCTAATCTGACAGGATTTGTTTGTACTTATACAACATCTCTAAAACGGTTTAATTAAAGTTTTCTAAACCAATACACATACCTTTCTTCTCTTTATCCGTCTGCGCTTGAACACACAGTATAAAATAATGATAACCGTAACTATTACACTGAATGCCAATGCCAAGGTAGATAAACCGATTGTAAGGCCAGTTGCTTTATCATAGTGTTCCATGGTAGCAGTCACATTACAGCTTACATCACAGTACTGACATTCTGCTTCTAAAGAGTTTTGGTATCTTTCAGGACATCGTCGTACACACAATGGTTGCATGTTCTCATCAATATCAGAATCTTCAAAGGTTATGATGAATCCTTTTTGTGAACATTTCAAATCCTCAGTCTTAATTATAATGAAAAAGTCTTTTGGGCATGCTATCTTACATGAATACGTACTGTCAATTTTGCGACAGGGATGACAACATTCGAAACGTCGATCCTCATTATTAAAGCATTGGAAAGCATTTACATGCTCCTGCAACGGAAAACAATTTACCATTAATCGTAATTAACAACACCTTTTTAAAACAAAATGTGGAATTCAAAAATTGATTAAACTAACGATCGTCTGACTAAATAGAAAAAAACCAAAGACAAAACACGCGTCTTTAATCTATGCTTTTTAAACTCGACGTAGACCATGTAGAAATCTTTTTTTTGCTTTTGCATCAAGTCAAAGTTTCAAATTCTACCAGCAAGACAGGAAAGAAAACACACAACAAAATTATACACATCGATAATTAAATGTTTTTATTTTGAACCAATACCACGTCTGATATTCGACATATCAACACAAATGATCGTGAAAGAATAATTAACGGTAGTCAAGTATTGCGATCTGGTCGTAAATGCAAGTCAGCTTTGGAAATTAGTTTAAATAATATTATATTTTTCAAAAGTGCACAAATTACAATTATACAAAAGAAATACAGGGATTCGGAAACTAGAAGAACTTATATAAACCCGTCTCCTTTGACAAGATGACAACATATGGAACATAGTGTAAAGAAACCCGCTATAATATGATTTGCAATTTACATTACATGTTTATTCTGTGGTTTGCCAGTTACTCAGAAGTCAGTTTGACCGAAAGCTGTGTTCAACTCATTTCTAATTATGGTCTTAACTGTGAATATAATATGAATATGTTCCACAAAATAAAGTTTAAGTACAAATTTCAAAATATAAATCGAACTAAAAATCTAAAGATTTATAAACCAAATCTCCCTGTTTCCAAAATAAAATTTTGTACAACTTTAAAAATATTATAAGCTCGGAAATTACAAATGTGTCTGTCAAAATCATTATTATTCCTTATAATAACACTGCGCACTAAAGTAAAAAAAAAAATACAGTTCTTTTGAAGAAAACACAAAAGGCGGCACATAACATAACCCTATTCGAATAAGTAAAGAAAAGCACGTTTTAGAATCAATTATGGTCACATTCAGACATATGCTATATTTGAATCTAAATCGTTAGTGTGTCAGATAGTACAGTGATATACAGTTGATTTTTTTCCCTGGATAAGGTTAAAATTATTAAAAAAAAATCGATTTTTATTTTTTTTTAACCATAATTGATAATGATACTGATAGCACTTATTTTTTGGCAAGATGCGCTCCTGTTGGACTAATTATTTTTTGTATTAAATTTTCGTTGCCTCTTACGATGAAAAGGTGTAAATATGGCTCACCATGGAAGCAATAATACATCTATATATTCGCGCTGTTGTTTAACCTAGCTTTGTGTGACCATGGAAGTGCTCTTTGTATATATGTATATTAAGTATTTATCGCGAAGAAAATGATGTAGAGTTAATTACATAAAAAAGATGCAAAAACAAAATCATAAAACCCCATTTATTTACGTTTATATAGACTAACACGCTTAAACCACTTACAAGTATATCAATTGGTGAACTAAATGTATTTTTTTATGATTTTGTTTGGTAACTCATTGTCCATCACGATCAAAATAATGCATAATCTGAACTCTCACGATAAATTGTGGATAAAAATTAACAAAATCCTACTTTTTTTTAAAGTACTAGTTATCTGAATCGTTTCCATGAAAAAAAATCTTTTTACTCTACTGTAATACAATGTATTTGTCACACGAACGATTTAGTTTCAAATGTAACATATATGTTTCAATGTGAAACATGTTTTTCTTAAATAATTTGCATAAGTTTCTGTGTCGATATTTGTGTTTTCTTCATAAGTCCTGCATCTTTTGGTATGTTAATTTAGTTCAAAGTCAATATTTCTTTTGTGATCATTTTGACAGACACATTTGATGTGTATATGATTTGTTCTGTTTTTGATAATACAACGACTTTTTCCCATAGATTTAGAAGTTGAATTGTATTTTATTGCATGTATAATTATCCGATACCAGATCTTTCACTATCAGATCGCAATTCCTGACCACCGTTACTTATTCGATGACGATTTATAACGATTAACTGCCGTGTAATACAAGTGGATAGGAATGAAGAATAACGATATAATATTTGTTGAAATAACGCTAATAACGCTAACGATAAACATTTTACTCCATTTGACATGAACGGTAGCTACAAAATGAGATTTGACGAATGACGATAAAAAAATTAAGGCTCATTTGACGCTAACGGTACCGTAAAACAGACGTTTGACGCTTAACGATAATTAAAGGGCATTCCTACCCTCATACAAATGTCATTGACCTATCATAAGTTGTCCTATAAACTGACCTTATCGAGACACAACCGCGATATTTCCGATATCTGAAGGAAAACAACATTGTCTGTAGTTCCTTCGTCGGTTATTAATATAACAATTGCATGATAGAATTACCTTAAAAATATGAATAAAAGCAACGAAAATCCATTGCAATAGAGCCATCTGCAATATATATGTTACAGACCAGGAACTAAAGTTAAGCGGATGGGTAGGGTTTAACCGTATCGTTATAAATACCTCTTAATTGTCACGATTTTATTAACCAAAGCTAGGTTCTAGGGTTTATTCCTCCTATTCCTACATTTTAAAATCTGGTATGTCATTTGTAAGAAATCCATGTAGGAATAGAAGGGATTAAATCAGATTAGGTTGTCAAAACATAAAGCTAATAACTTCAGGTAAATATCCATAAAACCTAACGAGTTAGTTTTCATCAATGTCTAATTTGAAAATATTAATAGCAGAAAATATAAAAAAAAGTTCAAACAAAAGCATGTCCTTGTCTCATTGAAATTGCACTGCATCATTATGGTGTTTTATTTTATTTTTCCTTCTTTTCTTAAAACTGTTGTGTTTATTTCCTCGTGTAACGAAAAGTCTTTGTTATTGAATGAATCTATCAAAACTAAATCAAAACAAATTGGCACAAAGTCCCAAAAGATAGACTTCACTAACACAAAATTACCAGGCGGGGGAAACAGTAAAAAATTCGATAATATGGGAATCTTGTCTCAATTGTACTAGATCACCTAGTTTGCGTTTATAAGGTTTTAACATTTCACAGGAAAATATCTCTGTGCCCCGACATAATATTTTGACTCAGCGCCAGTAATATTTTGCTCATTATTCTTATTTCTGCGTGCTTAGAGTGAAGGAATTGAATATCATTTTTCGGTAAATCTATTTTGAAGTTACAAATCTAAAAACTTAAATGAATCGCATTATCTCTATTGGAATGAAATGTGGCAAGGGAGTACATATTAGTTCTGTGTAATTTTCATTCTGATTAGATTGGATAGAAAATATATTTAAAGAATGTTGCATGTCTGATATTGGTTACCACAAAGTGTTGATTAGTCTACTCCATCGTTCAAATAAGTCCGAACAAGACTCTGGGTTCAACATGGTGTGATGTTGTACATACCTCACCTAAATATATGAATCATAAAGTTTTAAAACCGAACATGGTTTAGAAAAATATATTTCTATATCCCAATACCCGAGAGCTTGGTGAAATGTTTTATTGTTCTTATTATAAGACTCCCCTTGCCATGTCCCAAAAGATAATGATAGGGACTTTCCATGAAGTGTGCGCCTGTTTAAAAATGGTTAGAAGAACATGGAAGGTAATGGGTCAGTTGATATACTTTCGGAATCTAGTATGAAAGATTCTGGTCTTAAAACGGAAAATTGTTGTTGAACTGTATCTGCCGTGATAGAATATTTTGTCAAAGAACCTTTTTGATTCCTTATTTCCAACATAAGTATATAACGGATTTCCGGTTAAGGCACTTTTTGCAGCTAAGGTTAAATTTTACCAATATTTTGTTCTATCGGTTAACATCTTGACAACTATGAAAAAAAGAGAGAAACTTTGTAAACAACATAAACTGATCAACAGGAAGTCAAGTTGACAGCAAGTTTCATTATAGACTCCATATAGGAGTTATTGCAATTCAATCACGATTTTTATCAGTCTTGCGTTTTTGCATTAATCTTGAGGATTGGATAGATTGAGGGAAACTGTAAACGTCAAAATTGGTAAGAAAGAGAAGATATACAAATAAGTAAACACATGCTTCCCAAGTGGTCTAGGTCATAATCTTAATTGGTGTGCTAAAAATGATGTATAGTTTTGTCAGGTGAGCCATTCATGCTCCTTGTAGATAACAGATTTTTATCCCGCAAAGGGCGTTTGCGGCTGTGCCCGACGTACCAGAATGAGATATACAAATCGCGTTTGGAGAGTATCAGGGTTCAAACACGAAAAATTGCCAGCATCATTCAACAAGGGAATGATGCTGTGGTTAAACTTTCCGATCTTATTCCCACCCCTATATTTTTTATTGTAGTGAGAAGTCCTTTCTCTTCTTGTGCCCCATCCCTACCCTTTTTCATTTCAAGTTCATTTCAGATCATCTTTGTTCTTATTCATCACCATGATATAGAGCTTTTATGTACTGGTCTGCCGGAGAATGATACAATAATCGGAGTTGATTAATCAATAAAGTTAATAAGCATCAGCGCCTAGAATCTATAATTCAAGACCAGATGATCCTGTATTATTTGTGAAGTTGATACTGATTATTTATCTATTAGTACTTTCCGATGAACTTCTTAAAAAAAAAGACGATACCCCGAAATGTTTGTTTTCGTAACAAAAAACTATTCATGTAGCTGTGACTTTGAACTTTGACCTTTTGGCACCAACATAATTAAGTGTCTTCTCATTCTGTATAACTTCCATTTGTGTAAGTTGCATTGTAGTCCAGGAAAAATTGTTACAATATGCATCCGGAAACCATTTTTCCGACCAAAAAAAATAAAATATAATTTAGAATCAGTGTCCTTGAACATTGAACATCTAGCAACTTCCTACTTTATCTACTTTCTATCACTTGTATAGGTTTTATTAAAAATATAACAAGTGTACCTCAAACCATCACCCAAAACAAGATATTGCAATTGTTTTTTTTTTGTGTTTTTTTCCAGTCTTTTTTTTATCAGGTGTGACCTTGACCTTTGACTTTTCACCTGAAAATCAATATTTTTTCTGCTTCTCCATATCTTCCATCAAGTTCCATTATAAACGCATAATAGAAACTACAGTTTTCATCCCCGAAACCAACTAAGTTTTCCGCCACTTTTTTGTAACAGTGCCGTCGATCTCCCCTCAAATAACATCAATAGGCTTCTTTCCCTATTTGTTTCATCCATACTAATTTCATTTCAATCAATCAAGGAAAACTTAAGTTACAATCCAGAAATCACATTTCCAATTATTTTCTATTTCTAGTAACCATGATGTTGATTTTCAACCTGAAGATCAATGGAATTCTTCCCCTTCCCTATATCTTCCATCTGTATGAGTTTCATGCCGATGACTATATGCTCTCTATATTTTTTCAAGGAGTAAAACACGGACTGAAACTGAATTCCTTAATGTGAACAAAAAGTTTTTAATTTCAGTAGAAATTAATAAACCAAATAAAGTTTAGACATATAGTTTTTATTTATTTCAAATATACATATAGAATAATGATTTTCTAAAGAAAGTTATTATATAAACATATTTTGATGGAATGTTGAATTTTGATACGTCTGTAAATATATTTCAACTGATGTAAAGATGTAATAATGACAATGATAAAATGATCATATATGTAAAGCTATTTTCATAATTCACAATTTGCATTTCCATAATTCAACTTAATCTTAAAAGAAGACAATACAAAACAATGAAAAACAAATAATCATTCATTAAAGTAATGCAGATGAAATGTTATATACATATATTTTGTTGTGAATCATTTACTCATATTACCCTCTTATTCAGTTATTTTCACAAATGCCTGTTTCCTGTCACCTTAGAGACAGTTCAACTTGAGCAAATACATTTTAACAAGTACAGACCAAGATAGGTCATATCAAAGAACCCCTTTACCCACTATTGGTCAATCTTTCTTATGCACTTATGTATGGCAAACTATTTTAACACATCGATTAAAATGAAGTCTAATGCTTACACTGTTGATAGTAATTCACAGTCAAACTTCAATATTTTAAATTCAGAAGTAATGTGAACCGTTTGAAAAATTATGTGGTACAAGTATCTCATCGTAAACAAGTATCACATGACATCAATAAGTCTTGAAACTTAATACAATTACCTGAAAGCAAGTAAATAGGGTAATATGAGATTTTTGTTCACGTCTATTTTGTGTCATTTTGTTGAATTATCCTTATCCATTATACCTCACATCTCATATTTAATCATATCCCCCTTGGTTTGAAACAATTTTTTTTACAGTTTATGAAAAGACAAATTCTTGGTCCAATGGTTGTCTATTTATCACACTATAATTTTTTTCTTTTCTGCATTTAGAAAGTTTGTTCCTCTCATGTTTCCTACTTATATGTCACAGATTAGTCATATGACTGTTTACAAAACTTGAACAAAAAAAACTTGAAATGTTGAAGTCTTGACTGCATCTTCATTTCTAATTTTACATTTACTTTATAATTAATTATCAATTACGTGCTAGGTATCATTTTTGCTGCCATACATGTCAAGTTTGAAATGATTAAGCTTTGTATTTTGAAGTGAACTTTTTATATACCGATAGTTACAATTAAGTACCTCTGGCAACCATGTTCTTCTACAAACTGGAAGGAAATGGGGAATTCATATGTAGTACTTCACAGACATGTTCCTGCAACATTTGCCTAAATTTGCAAAGCAATAATATCTTACATTGACTCTAAAATGAGGATCAGACCTAGCATTAATCAATATTTATAGCTATTATTTCACTTTTATCCTAAACAAAACTGTATACTAAAATTATCTTAAAAGGTATATTTAAAGTCATATTCATACAAAAAAAACAATTGAAATAAGATGAATGCCTAGTCCAAACAATACATAATTATGGAATGTAGAAAGGATAAATTCCAAAGTTTTCCTGAAACAGCATAGATAACCAAAAATTTTCACAACCATGTTTGTAAAATTCATAATTCTATTCTTCACATCTTCTTAGAAGTATATTTTCAACATAACAATAAAAATAAAAATTAAAAAAAAGATGATACTTAAATATTATATATCATCGTTTGTTTTAATGGTAATGTTGAATTTTAAACTAGGTAAAAAAAATGAACTAACAATATACACCATGAAATGTACAATATACATAAATATGTTCTAAAATTGATAGACTAAACAAAATTATATACAAATTCATATATACAGATACATTTAAAATACCCAATATAAAATTATCATACCTTCATAAAGAAGATAAGTATAAATGAAATTGTTGTTTTAATGAGAGAATGAAATTGAAGCTATGTACAACCATACAATCATTTTGTTTGCAGTCTGTAAGATGAGAAATGTCTATTGTTGTAGACCATGTGTAAGTGTTCACCTCAGGATGTCTTTTTTGTTTGTTTTAGTTGTCATCTCATGTATGTATATATAATGATTATCTCGTTTAATTTAAATATTTGAACTGATTCTTAAATTTCTTTATGTGATAGATGTTCAAAAAATGTATCCAGAAAATAATTTTGCTTATCACTATTTTCTTAAATATGTCTTGATATTTCTGAGTGATAATTTGTCATCTCAAGCTTTTACTGAGAAATTTTTTAAGAATGGTTTGTTTTCTGTCAAGAAGAGTAGGAACATGTCATAAGCTGATGTAATTGACATTGCATGGGAAAACAGCAATAAACACATAATAGTCTTTCAACTTGAGGAAGATTCTAGGATCTGAAGGATGTTATCCTTCAATGACATTGTACCCAAGAAACTCTTATTCAAAAATATCATAATGAGACTATATCACTATAGTTATATAATTTTTTCACCAACAGAAATGAACAGTATTAGCTGCAGTAACCAACAGTATCACTATCTACAGCTACCAACAGTATAGTAAAAGTATTAACTATCAACATAATACAGTGATTCTATTTTACAATTTAAATTATCAAACAACAGAAATGGCTACTCTATTAGGGAATTACACATTTTATGTGTAAACAGTTTACTATCCTATAAATAAATGGCACAGTATAATAATATGATATGTATTGGTTGTACTATCTTATGATCAGTACTCTGTTTATATAGATATGCTGCCTGCAGCACTATTTTATTGTTTACATGTAAATAGAAACACTATTGTAAGATGGCAAGACTAAACGACTTCTAATAAATGCTTTGCTTTAAATGCAGTCTTTCTAAGATTCTGACAACCATGACCTTTCAGGTACATCCTACACTAATATTTGTGTTTGAAATATAGAAAACACTCATTATTTCAATTAAACCTTAACTGATACATGTATAGCATAACATAAGCATTAAATTCATAAAGTTATCAAAATAAAGAATCCTTCAGGATTTATTTCCAAATTATTTGAATCAACTTATAAGTTCTTTTGATGTTTTTGAATCAATTATGACAACTTTACAATAGAATAAATATGATATTAATCCCAGCTTCATTATAACAAAATTCTGAGAAAAAGTAGCACTTAATTATATAAGCTATCACATTAGGAAACAACTAACTGTTTATTTTGAAAGTAAAATTCTGCAATTATTTTATTCTGAAGGGTATTTTAACAAATTTAAAATCTTCTGTCTAAGACAAAAAAAATAACCTGGGATTAATTTGTACATTTGCAAATTCAAATTTTAACTGAACTAAAATATTTTTATTTCATTTAAGTATATTTTAGACTGGTTTTCTTTAAAAAAAAACCAAAAAAAAACCAATTGTTTGATATATAAAACAATCTTTTGACTCAAACAAAACAAGATATGCCAGTTTTATACAATTGCCCAGACCATGGTTAACTATTTGTTTAAGCCATTAAGCAGCATACAATTCATGAAGCCCACAAAAAGGGAAAACATAGTTTTATTATACTCAAATCTGTAAAATAAGATCAAAGGCAATCTTATTTCAGAAATTATGCATCAGATATCATATCATAAATCATTTGCTGTAAATCTGAATCTTCTACACTCAAATTGAATAAGACATTATTAATCCATTCCACACTTCCCAAAATAATCAAAAGAAATTGCACAGTTTTAAAAAAATCCATAATGATATGCTATGCACAATCAGCAATTTAAATTCAATTCAAGAGTAATGAATCCGATGATACAGAAATAGTTTGTAATTTTGAGTCTCACTACTTCATATTAATTGTGAAAGCACTAATTTTACTTCAGAGTGACTAGAGATTTAACATGAAGTTATACATGATCATTTCCATTCTATATACATAAATCTGATACTTGCTTCTCACAAATGTTTGGTAAAATCATAAAAAAAAAAAAAAAATTTATGCAAAATATGGATGGATTTTCTGAAAGTGTGTAATGACGAAACACAAAATGACCATAATGATGATAAACAGTTTTGAGACAAAATTAATACAAACTGATACAAGATATGCATTTGGCATTATGATCTTATTGTGCATCCCAGAAAATCTCAGAAAGTGTATTATGGTGATAACATACACTTATTATGCATGTATATTGTATATAAATCCAGAATTAAGCTTTACATTAAACAAATCGTACTAAAATTTTGAAACAACCTACTGTTGTGTGGTGACAATGCATACAAATGTGATGACAACATATGTTGCCTCAAAATCAACAAACTACTAATACATGCAGTAAAAAAAAAATGTTTTTAAAAGGTTACAAAATAAAAATGATTTATAATAATTTCTAAATGAAATTTAAGGTACAATAAAACTATTTCCTCTTGCTTGTTTTCAGTTTAAAAATTTATTCATGAAAATCAATCTATAGATTGTGCACCAAACAGTGAAAGATATTTACAATTTATATACACTACAGATTGAAGCTTGCATGTCTCTACTGATTCATTGTATGCTATCAATAAAATGACTAATTTATCAATTTCAGTTCAGTGAATTAATTAAGACCATAAGTAAATTTAAAGACCTTTTGGATAATGTCATTCTGAAAGAATTATTTTTCAATTTGCACATTTCTGTTTTACATGTATTACAAATTTTCACAATCCATGAAGCATTATTTCAAACAGTTCATTAAAATCTTCTGATACAATATTGATCAGTGAAACTAGAAAAGAACTTTACTTTTTTTATGAAATTTAAATGAACATATTATAAAGTATTTAAGTATTTACATGTATTATAAATGTAAATGTCTTCGACACATGGTTCAGTTTTATAAAGTACGCTTGAGACCAAAAGTTTAAAAAGGCCAAATATATGAAAAATTGTGAGCATTTATACCAAAAATGCCTAAACAGAAAAACCAAAGCTATGAAAGGACAATATTGTCTATGAGAGTTGCTTCTATACTTAACATAAGTACTATTAATAATTTATATTTACTGAAAATATACAGTGATTTTTTTTTTATCTTGTCCACTAGGAAAAATCAACACTGTGTACATATCATAAGCATCCTACAATTAATTTGTACTGTAACAATATCATTAACAACATAAAACAGTACATGTAATTCTTAAAAAAAAAATCATTATCTACAAAGACTGAAATTAAGTGAAGTTACACAACGATGTTCTATACAACACTTTCACTTCTATCATTTTTTTCTGATGTATAAGCAATTTTGTACTGTTGATTAGTCATTTCCGTCAACTTGTCCCATGATGACTTCCCCTGAGGTGGTAAACCTTGCGGTTGTGTAACATACATTCCCGATGTAGAACTTCCACTTCCTGTTGTCCCACTACTACTACCATCAGATCCACCCTCTGGTTGGAGTGTCCAACCTTGGGACGGTGGGTACTGTGCTGATGGCTGAACTGGTGGTTGTTGAACTTGTTGTGGCTGTGGAGGTTGAAATTGTTGAACTGGTTGTTGTTGAATATGTGGTTGGCTGTAACCCTGCTGATAAGGATAAAATGCTGGCTGTCCTGGTTGATATGTCGGGGGAGGATTACTCGTAAACACTGAACTAACCACAGACTCTGTGTCTGTCGGCAAACCTGCCTTCTTCTTGTCTGTCATTTCCATAAGAGTCTCCCAGTTTGATTTACGAGGTTTTCCTGGGACATGTGCCACTGGGTACTGTGGTGGTACTAGTGGCCTGGGTGGATTCCCTGGGTATGGCATAGCAACAGGCTGAGTCTGAACCATGACTGGTTGTCCCTGACTTGTCACAAACTGTGTAGGCTGTGCTCCATGTGGAAGAGTTGTGTAAGGAGGGGGAACAACAATTGCCCCTGGTGGTCCATAACTCTGTAGATTTGCAGGAACAGTATGACTACTATGTATATGCTGCGGTACTTGTGGACCAGGCTCAGCCTTATCATTAGATTCATGTGTCAGATCTTCTAAACTTTTAGCAATATGTGCATCAGATTTTGATCTCCTTCTCATTTTTTTCTTTTTTAGACCTTCATTGTCAGACTGTGCTGCATGATCTGCAGTACTTAATGATTTTCTAGGTTTTGGTTTTGGCTTCGGTTTAACAACTGGTTTTACTTCTGTTTCATGTAATTCATCATCAGTTGTTGCTGCCAAATCTTGTTTTGATTTAGTTCTCTTTTTTGTTTTTTCTTTCTTTTGTGTTTGAGTTCCCATTGCTGACATACTTCTAGATCTTGGACGTCTTTTCACAGTGCGCTTTGTATGAACAGTAACAGGCTCTTCAAGACCTGTTTGGGTGGCAGTCTCACGTAATGTTTGTGTCGAAATTTCTCTCATTGCACGTCCCAAGTCATGGTCTGATTTAGACATTCGTAAGCGATCATTTCGTGAAATTGGTTTTTCATAACCACCAAAATCATCCTCATCATCATAGTCAGTATGAGATTGCCTTGACCGCCTATAAAAGTCTATGTCATCATGAGCGTATGAAACCATTGAATCACCACACGACCCTGCTCTATCACGGCCACTACGTCGTCTGCTATAAAGTGATGATCTAGATGCATATAATGATGTCTTAGAGGATGATCTTTGCAGAGCTGAAAAATTAAAGAAAGCATCAATATATATGTATGAAAAAAAAAAATATCAGCAAAATACTGGGGAGCTAGTTGAGAGCTACAAGAAATTGAAAATTATGCCCTTTGTTTTAGTGCTGTCTGCTGATTAAAATTATTGAGGCAATTCTGTTGCATTATTTACCATTTACAATACCTTACTTCTTCATTTATATGTTGTAATATAAAGTTAATTGTGTTACATTTATCATAATAATGTTATCTATTTAAATGTTCTTGTGTAGGACAATATGGGACAAACCACATCTACCACAAACACCAGACTCTTCCCAAAATAGATGTACAAACTAATAAAAACAACATTGTCCAGATAGCCATTTATTTGTACTTTACCACCATGTCATACAGTAAATTATCAAACAAATTAGGAGGAGCCATAACGAAAGAATTTCATACTTTTCTTTGACAGCTTAATAAACATGATGAATAAATCCTTCGGCCTGTCTCCTTTCGACTCTGTACTCTTGTGTATAGTTGTCTCATTTGCAACCAGACCACATCTCCTTATTTTTATAATGATGTAAGTGATACATGAAAACTGATTATTTATAAATCAACTTCACAAATTAAGGTACAACAAAATGTGATGTTAATACAATGAAAATTATTCAAAACACATATGCATCTCAATCCTATAGCTATTTCAAACCAGTTTTCCAACAAATATTCTTAAACATACTTTCTAACAAACATTTAATTTCATTATTATATTTAAAAAACAAAACATATTAAGTTTAACAGTATTCTCATATTTCACCATTAAAAATATATAAATGGTCAATTTAGTTTTCTTCTTGTAGATATAGACTTCAGACATACTGATCTATTATCTGATTTAATCCAGACAAAATCAACCACCCATTTTATGTACTGTTATGCCTTAGAACTCACATTTTGAATGTGGATGTTTTGGGTGAATGACACCAAGTAAAAATCAAATGTATTAAAATAAGTTGTGTATACTTTTCCAATGAGACAATACAGGTATGAAACAAGACCAATACCGGGTCTGGGTCACTGCATGCAACTTCTGTCTGAAACATGTGAAAACTGAAATCATAAAAAAACTAGAACACTTACGAGGAAGAGATTCTAAATCTGTCCTGGACCCTATACTGATAGCATCGTCTCCTCGACTTCCAGTTCTTCTGTGACCAAAGCCCTTTGAACCTTTACCAAGTCTAGGTGATCTCTGAGATCGTTTACTACTCCTAGCACTGGATCTAGTACTTGATTGTTTCTGAAATAGTCCAATGCGTTCATCTTCATCGTCTCTCAGATCATTTATTCTCGGATCTTTCATTTTGTTTGTTTGTTTTCTTTCTTGTTCTGGACTTCTCTTACGATCAGGTCGTAATGTGTGTTTAGGTCTTTCAGTCGCCTCTCTATTTTGTGCTCTTTCATCTTCCATTTCTTCTGAACCTTGTGTTGAAGATGACCAATCAACATATGAATCAGGTCTTGTGGCCTTTCTCATACTTTGATTTTTCTTCAGATTTACCTGGCGAGTGTTTGAATCTGGCACTTTTGGTAAAGGAGGCCTCTGATTAATGGAGTCATTTGATGTAGAATATGAAATTCTCATTGCTCTGTCCTCAGCATCACGTTCATTTTCAGTATATGATTTCCTGAATTTGGGATTAGATTGAAGAGCACTTAAGATTGGTGTGACAGGTGTTTTAGGTCTATTGGGTTGTATAATTTTGTCCTCGTCCATATTGTAATATGTGTCATCTCCATCGTCCTGATAATCTTTGTTAATTGTTTGACCCCTAGGGTCTTTGGCAGGAACAGGTTTTGTATAAGCACTTCTGATATTCAAAGTATCAGGACGATTTAAACGTCTATTTTCATCATAACCATTAAGTAACTTTGTTCTGGCTGCAGGAGAGGCCTCACCATTTTCATTGTAACTATTTGTGTATCCAAAATTTTTATTGGGTGTTATATCAAGCTCAAGCCGACCTTTGTCTTGAGTTGCATACATGGCTTCGTTCATTTTTGCCTGTCTCATCCTTTTATGCATACAAACTCCAATTATGCAGATAAGCAAGAGAAAAACACATATTCCAACTACAGTTCCGACAATGATACCAACGGACCATGCACTTGCACTGTTTTGTGATGCATCAACTGGTTCTGAAATAGATGTAGTTTTACATTAAGATATATCAATAATGACTATTTCAGTATCTGTTTGATTGATGTATATATAACTGTGTCAAAATACTTTTGTTAAAATCTATATTCTATAAATCATAAAAATTATGCAAATATTTAGAAATCAGGGATCCTAATTCTTCAACAGAACCTAGCCACTCTAAAGAGCGTTGGTAGCTCTCCTGAATCTTTGTGCATTTTCAACATTGAAGACTAGAATATTTTTCATGACTAAGATCTTATTTTTTCATCTTGTATTGCTGAATTTTTTTTTTCTGTTTTTACCTTATGTCTATCTACTAAAGTTTATGCCCGAAATACCAAAAAAAGGTCATTCAAGGGCAAAAACTTCTATAAGAGGATTTACTATTTTCAGATTTGTTGACCTATCTGTCTTGTCTGTAATTTGTCTGTTTAAAGTTTCTTGTAGTTCAACCCACACATAACAAAGGGTACTTTGTCCCTGTCAGATTTTCTCAATAGCAGTTTTCTAGATAATAGACAGAACTTGCATTTAATGCTTGCATTAAAATGGGTAAAATGTATGTTGTCCAGACCAAAGCTAATATGTGATCTTTTAACTTCTATAGAACAATTGTATTATACATAAAAGCTTAGGGAATATCTGCAATTTATACAAGAGCTGACAAATTTGGTTGAACAAATATGATATTGAAACTCGACATCCTAAAGTTGAATATGTGAAAGTCTGATTCAAATCAACTGATTGGTTTCAGAGGTGATTTTACATAAAGATTTATGATACAAGAAGACAGAGACTATTTGATTACAAAAACTTATGCCAAGGAAGTTAAAAAAGAAATGACTTACTTATTCCAGCTGATATCTGGAGTTGAAATGTTCCAAATCTGGAAGCCATGTTAGTACCTAATGTCAGTTTAACAGTGGCATCTCTTGTTTGTGTAGAAAATTTTCCAGAGGCCAGAGTGTCACAAGCATATGCTTTCTGAAATATATAACAAAAATATGACATACAAAACTAGTTACTGTGAATACTGGTGTCAGTGTAAAAGTACAATGTTGACTTTAAAAATTTCAAGTCCATGTATCAGTAATAATACAGATTTTGTTTTTTAATTAAATTTTTTTCTTCAGATGGTGTTTCTTGTTCTTGAAGAAGCTACTGTCCAAGTTTCATAACAACCCATGAAGGTTTAAAAGTGCTATTTATGACTAAAAGAATAATCCCATACTGAATGCATTTGTTAAGTGCAAAAAATTATATTTATGACTAAAATAAAGATAGAAAATTTAAAAAAAAGTTTGATGTAATTTGGAAAAAAAAAGGCAGGACATGAGTTTTGAGTTAAAAAAAAAGGCAGGATGAGCAACTTGGCAAAAAAAAAAAAAAGGCAGAATGACAATTTATGTAAAAAAAAGGTCAGGATAAGCTAATAAAAAAAATAAATGGGGAATGTGTCCATGAGACACATATGATGCCCCCGCTTGCATATAACATTATAAAGGAATATTACTCAAGAACTGTAAAAGTGACACTACCCAAATTTGTACTTGATCTGAGTTTTGTGGTTATAAGCATTGTTTATAAGTTTCATAACAATTAGTTGGGGCAAACTTAAGTTAGAGAACAGAAACGAAAAATTCAGCAATTTTTCCATTTGTAAAGGTGCATAACTCTAGATCGTTAAAAGTGACGCCACTAAAATTCAAACTTGATCTGTGTTTTGTTGTAATAAGCATTGTGTATAAGTTTCATGACATTTGGTTGAGGCAAACTAAAGTTAGAGAACAGAAACCAATTTTGGGACGTACGTACCTATAGACGGACAAGAGTAAAACTTAATGCCCCCTCTGCCACGGGGGGGCATAAAAAAGTCAGGACCGAATATAGTGAAAAATAAAAAGGCAGCACAGAGATTACAACTAAAACTAGAGGCTCTCAAGAGCCTGTGCCGCTCACCTGTATTTACTGATGCTTTGGAAACCATGTAAAATAAGGTTAAAATCATAATTAATAGTATTAGATATTAGATATTATAATGATATCTAAGATAATAACAAAAAACTGCAAAATTTTTGTAAAATTACTAACTCAGGGGCAGCAACCCAATAATGGGTTGTCGGATTCATCTGAAAATTTCAGGGCAGATAAATCTAAAGAACATTTTTGCCACCTGTCAGATTTGCTCTAAATGCTTTAGTTTCAGAGATATAAACCAACAAGAGGCTCTCAAGAGCCTGAATCGCTCACCTGTATTTCAGAGGAGAAGATTTTTAAATGCTAGCAAACTTGCTGAAAAAATTGTGTAAAATTGTCTTTAAAGGGCAATAACTCCTTAAGGGGTCAATTGACAATTTTGGTCATATTAACTTTTTTGTAGATCTTACTTTGCTGAACATTATTGCTGCTTACAGTTTATATATATCTATAATAATATTCAAAATAATAACAAAAAACTGCAAAATTTTGTTAAAACTACCAATTCGGTGGCAGCAACCCAACAATGGGTTGTTCCATTCGTCTGATAATTTCAGGGCCGATAGATCTTGACCAATTAAACAATTTTACCCCTGTCACATTTGCTCTAAAAGATTAGTTTTTGAGATATAAGCCAAAAACTGCATTTGACCCTTATGTTCTATTTTTAGCCATGGCAGCCATGTTTGTCAATGGATCAAAATTTCGGATACATATTATAAACTAGATACCCTAAGGAACATTTAGTTAAAGTTTGAAGATATTTGGCCCAGTAGTTTCAGAGGAGAAGATTTTTGAAATAGTTTATGACGACAGACGACTACGGACTCCAAGTGATGGCATAAGCTCACATGGGGCCCTTTGGGCCCCTGTGAGCTAAAAACTGCATTTTACCCCTATGTTCTATTTTTAACCAAGTTGGCCATGATGGTTGGAAGGCGGGGTCATCAGACACATTTTTTAACTAGATACCCTAATAATGATTATGGCCAAGTATGGTTAAATTTGTCTCAGTGTTTCAGATAACAAGATTTTTGTAAAAGATTACAAAAATTTACGAAAAATTGTTAAAAATTGACTATTAAGGGCAATAATTCCTAAAGGGGTCGACTGACAATTTTGGTCATGACAACTTATTTGTAGATCTTACTTTGCTGAACATTATTGCTGTTTACAGTTTATCTCTATCTATAATAATATTCAAGATAATAACCAATAAAATGCTTCGCTGAGCGCAGCCTGATACAACCGCAGAGGTCGAACCCTGAACAGTTGGGGCAAATTTGGACACAATATTCAAGCTTGATACTGTCTGAATTTCGATGTGATCAAAATTTTTGACATAATATAGGTTCCTGACACAAAGGTCAAAGATCTTATAAATCCATTGCGCAATACTGTGCATTTGAAGATTTCTTCTTGAATCTTTTCAAAAATTCGAAATTTAAAAAATTTTGAAAAAAAATATGAATCCCTTATAAAAATTGGGAAAAAAATTCCCCCCCCCACTCCCAACTTTTTGAAACCCCCCTTAGAGCAATAACCCCAAAACTCAATCCCAGCCTTTCCTTTGTAGTATGGAACCTTGTAGTACAATTTCAGAGATATCCATACACTTACACACAAGTTATTGTATGGAAACTAGAAAAATGCTTGTTTTTGGCCCTTTTTTGACCCCTTATTCCTACATGTTTGGGGCAATTAACCCCAAACTCAATCCAAGCCTTCCCTTTGTAATATGGAACCTTGTGGTATAATGTCAGAGAGATCCATACACTTACACACAAGTTATTGTCTGGAAACTAGAAAAATGCTTGTTTTTGGCCCCTTTTCGGCCCTTAATACCTAAATTGTTGGCCCCATAACCCCTAAAATGAATCCCAAACCTTCTACTTGTTGTATTAAACATTGTGGTACAATTTCAGAGCAATCGAAATACTTATACACAAGTTATTATCCTGAAACTAGAAAAATGCTTGTTTTGGGCCCCTTTTTGGGCCCCTAATTCCTAAACGGTTGGGACCATCATCCCCAAAATCAATCCCAACCTTCCTTTTGTGGTATTGAACCTTCTTAAAAAATTTCATAGAGATCCATTCTAAACTAAAGTTATTGTCCGAAAACCAATGTGTCTTCAGACGACGACGCAGACGACGACATCATACCATTATACAATCCCCAAAAATTTTTTGCGGTCGTATAAAAACTGCAAAATTTCCTTAAAATTACCAATTCAGGGGCAGCAACCCAACAACAATTTGTCTGAAAATTTCAGGGCAGATAGATCTTGACCTGATAATCAGTTTGACCCTATGTCAGATTTACTCTAAATGCTTTGGTTTCAGAGATATAAGCCAAAATCTACATTTTACCCCTATGTTCTATTTTTAGCCATGGCGGCCATCTTGGTTGGTTGGCGGGGTCATCGGACACATATTTAAACTAGATACCCTAATGATGATTGTGGCAAAGTTTGGTTAAATTTGGCCTAGTGGTTTCAGAGGAGAAGATTTTTGTAAAAAGCTAACGACGACGGACGACGAACAAAGGACGCCAAGTGATGAGAAAAGCTCACTTGGCCCTTCGGGCCAGGTGAGCTAAAAAAATGCAGGACAAAATATTTCATCCTAGCCCCCCTCCATAAAAATCAAATGGTAGCTCCCTTAAGTGATTTAAGTGCAGGCAAGATAATCAAAGTACTTGTGAGCACAGAAGGGTGAAGATTGCATTCATTTTGCAGTGGTAACTAAAAATTAAACATTGCATTGTATTAATTGCTTTAGAATGCTCTTCAATGGATGAGATATCTAGAACTATTGGCAAAGGAAGACAACTACAATTTTCAATTTTAATATATTGATTTAACAATGACATCATTGATATTTTAGAACAGATATTTGATTCATGCCCATGAACAATTTATGTCTTTGTTTTACAGGTATGGTTATAAAAACACATCATTCTGCAACTTGAATATCTGAGTATATATTTCATTGTCAAATTTCTTGAAATGTTCATGGATAGGATATATAGAATGTTGTGTGCTTAATGCCCTGTTTTTCTCTCAAAAGAAGTGATAAAGTCTAATAGATAGATAACTATCAAGCCAGTCACATAAGGGTTTCAATTGCATGAATGTAATCTTTACCCAAAAAATTACAAATCATCTACAAAAGTCAATGGAAGATATCTCATCTACATGGTTTTCAGTTTCAAGCTGCTTAAAATATTACCTTATACGATCCATATATAATGTCGAGTGCATTTCCACATTGTAGATTTATAGTTGGTTCTTCAAAAGACAGAATGTGGTCACCCGTTGTTGCTCTTAATACAGCATTACATTCTCGTACAGTTATAGGGGAGTTAGAGTAACCTCCCCTAAGGTAAACAACTGCATCTGAGTCCACATCAAACGATCCTGCAGAATTACACATGTCTTCTATGTTGTCTGTAAAGAGAAACAATAGTTATATCATTAAGACATGCCTTACCAATATATGGATTAGTATGATGAAATAAAAATGTTTGCCATATTGCATTACATCTAATATGGCAGACATTTTATATCATCATATGATAACAAATTTTGCATTCTCCTTATTTAAAAAAAAAAAAAATGAATACAATGCCAGTTAAGCATGCAACTATAGTGATCTCCATGTATAGTTGCTAACCTTCTACATCGTTTGGTTTCTGGGGGAGAGTTGTCTCATTGGCAATCATACCACACCTTCTTATTCTTATAAAAGCTAATTGATCTATTTTCTTAGATTTTCAGATAAAACATTTAAATGTATGTGAAGTATGGAAAACAAGAATGTGTCCATAGTGCATGGATGCCCACTCGCACTATCATTTTCTATGTTCAGTGGACCGTGAAATTGTGGGCAAAACTCTTAATTTGGCATTAAAATTAGAAAGATCATATCGAAGGGAACATGTGTACTAAGTTTCAAGTTGATTGGACTTCAACTTCATAAAAAACTACCTTGACCAAAAACTTTTACCTGAAGCAGGACAGATTGACGAACAGACGGACAGACAAACGAACGAACAGACGCACAGACCAAAAAACATAATGCCCCTCTACTATCGTAGGTGGGCCATAAAAAAGGTTTAGGTATCTACTGCAGCTGCAAGATGACCTATTCACCAAAGCAAATTATAATTCACCTTATTATAATTTCCAACTGAGTGAATCTCTAAATAAGAGCTATAGGCTTTTATCACTTATTTCTACCATGTTCTTCAGTATATGGTAAGATTCTCAAACATGTTTCTACTCACTACATGATAAAAGAAATGTTTATGGGAACTGGCTGTGCATTTAGACTTCACATGCAAGGGAAGCAAAAAAGAGCTCATTCCTATAGATTGCCCCATCATTGGTACATTTGAAACTTATATATAACTACAGGAGTTACCGTACCTATACAACAGGTACATATTATAATGCTCCACAGAGATTTCCTCAAAACTTACATATAACTACAGGAGTTACTGTACCTATACAACAGGTACATATTATAATGCTCCACAGAGATTTCCTCAAAACTTACATATAACTACAGGAGTAACTGTACCTATACAACAGGTACATATTATAATGCTCCACAGAGATTTCCTCAAAACTTACATATAACTACAGGAGTTACCGTACCTATACAACAGGTACATATTATAATGCTCCACAGAGATTTCCTCAAAACTTACATATAACTACAGGAGTTACCGTACCTATACAACAGGTACATATTATAATGCTCCACAGAGATTTCCTCAAAACTTACATATAACTACAGGAGTTACCGTACCTATACAACAGGTACATATTATAATGCTCCACAGAGATTTCCTCAAAACTTACATATAACTACAGGAGTTACCGTACCTATACAACAGGTACATATTATAATGCTCCACAGAGATTTCCTCAAAACTTACATATAACTACAGGAGTTACTGTACCTATACAACAAAGTATAGTACATATTATAATGCTCCACAGAGATTTCCTCAAAACTTACATATAACTACAGGAGTTACTGTACCTATACAACAGGTACATATTATAATGCTCCACAGAGATTTCCTCAAAACTTACATATAACTACAGGAGTTACTGTACCTATACAACAAAGTATAGTACATATTATAATGCTCCACAGAGATTTCCTCAAAACTTACATATAACTACAGGAGTTACTGTACCTATACAACAGGTACATATTATAATGCTCCACAGAGATTTCCTCAAAACTTACACATAACTACAGGAGTTACCGTACCTATACAACAGGTACATATTATAATGCTCCACAGAGATTTCCTCAAAACTTACACATAACTACAGGAGTTACCGTACCTATACAACAGGTACATATTATAATGCTCCCATAGATTTCCTCAAAACTTACACATAACTACAGGAGTTACCGTACCTATACAACAGGTACATATTATAATGCTCCACAGAGATTTCCTCAAAACTTACATATAACTACAGGAGTTACCGTACCTATACAACAGGTACATATTATAATGCTCCACAGAGATTTCCTCAAAACTTACATATAACTACAGGAGTTACCGTACCTATACAACAAAGTATAGTACATATTATAATGCTCCACAGAGATTTCCTCAAAACTTACACATAACTACAGGAGTTACCGTACCTATACAACAGGTACATATTATAATGCTCCACAGAGATTTCCTCAAAACTTACATATAACTACAGGAGTTACCGTACCTATACAACAAAGTATAGTACATATTATAATGCTCCACAGAGATTTCCTCAAAACTTACACATAACTACAGGAGTTACCGTACCTATACAACAGGTACATATTATAATGCTCCACAGAGATTTCCTCAAAACTTACACATAACTACAGGAGTTACGGTACCTATACAACAGGTACATATTATAATGCTCCACAGAGATTTCCTCAAAACTTACATATAACTACAGGAGTTACTGTACCTATACAACAGGTACATATTATAATGCTCCACAGAGATTTCCTCAAAACTTACATATAACTACAGGAGTTACCGTACCTATACAACAGGTACATATTATAATGCTCCACAGAGATTTCCTCAAAACTTACATATAACTACAGGAGTTACCGTACCTATACAACAAAGTATAGTACATATTATAATGCTCCACAGAGATTTCCTCAAAACTTACACATAACTACAGGAGTTACCGTACCTATATACAACAGGTACATATTATAATGCTCCACAGAGATTTCCTCAAAACTTACATATAACTACAGGAGTTACCGTACCTATACAACAAAGTATAGTACATATTATAATGCTCCACAGAGATTTCCTCAAAACTTACACATAACTACAGGAGTTACCGTACCTATACAACAGGTACATATTATAATGCTCCACAGAGATTTCCTCAAAACTTACATATAACTACAGGAGTTACTGTACCTATACAACAGGTACATATTATAATGCTCCACAGAGATTTCCTCAAAACTTACACATAACTACAGGAGTTACCGTACCTATACAACAGGTACATATTATAATGCTCCACAGAGATTTCCTCAAAACTTACACATAACTACAGGAGTTACCGTACCTATACAACAGGTACATATTATAATGCTCCACAGAGATTTCCTCAAAACTTACATATAACTACAGGAGTTACTGTACCTATACAACAGGTACATATTATAATGCTCCACAGAGATTTCCTCAAAACTTACACATAACTACAGGAGTTACCGTACCTATACAACAGGTACATATTATAATGCTCCACAGAGATTTCCTCAAAACTTACACATAACTACAGGAGTTACCGTACCTATACAACAGGTACATATTATAATGCTCCCATAGATTTCCTCAAAACTTACACATAACTACAGGAGTTACCGTACCTATACAACAGGTACATATTATAATGCTCCACAGAGATTTCCTCAAAACTTACACATAACTACAGGAGTTACCGTACCTATACAACAGGTACATATTATAATGCTCCACAGAGATTTCCTCAAAACTTACATATAACTACAGGAGTTACCGTACCTATACAACAAAGTATAGTACATATTATAATGCTCCACAGAGATTTCCTCAAAACTTACATATAACTACAGGAGTTACTGTACCTATACAACAAAGTATAGTACATATTATAATGCTCCACAGAGATTTCCTCAAAACTTACACATAACTACAGGAGTTACCGTACCTATACAACAGGTACATATTATAATGCTCCACAGAGATTTCCTCAAAACTTACATATAACTACAGGAGTTACTGTACCTATACAACAGGTACATATTATAATGCTCCACAGAGATTTCCTCAAAACTTACACATAACTACAGGAGTTACTGTACCTATACAACATGTACATATTATAATGCTCCACAGAGATTTCCTCAAAACTTACATATAACTACAGGAGTTACTGTACCTATACAACAAAGTATAGTACATATTATAATGCTCCACAGAGATTTCCTCAAAACTTACATATAACTACAGGAGTTACTGTACCTATACAACAGGTACATATTATAATGCTCCACAGAGATTTCCTCAAAACTTACACATAACTACAGGAGTTACCGTACCTATACAACAGGTACATATTATAATGCTCCACAGAGATTTCCTCAAAACTTACATATAACTACAGGAGTTACTGTACCTATACAACAGGTACATATTATAATGCTCCACAGAGATTTCCTCAAAACTTACACATAACTACAGGAGTTACTGTACCTATACAACATGTACATATTATAATGCTCCACAGAGATTTCCTCAAAACTTACATATAACTACAGGAGTTACTGTACCTATACAACAAAGTATAGTACATATTATAATGCTCCACAGAGATTTCCTCAAAACTTACATATAACTACAGGAGTTACTGTACCTATACAACAGGTACATATTATAATGCTCCACAGAGATTTCCTCAAAACTTACATATAACTACAGGAGTTACTGTACCTATACAACAAAGTATAGTACATATTATAATGCTCCACAGAGATTTCCTCAAAACTTACATATAACTACAGGAGTTACTGTACCTATACAACAGGTACATATTATAATGCTCCACAGAGATTTCCTCAAAACTTACATATAACTACAGGAGTTACTGTACCTATACAACAAAGTATAGTACATATTATAATGCTCCACAGAGATTTCCTCAAAACTTACATATAACTACAGGAGTTACTGTACCTATACAACAAAGTATAGTACATATTATAATGCTCCACAGAGATTTCCGTGTCATCCTTGCTTTCTTTATGTTACATCTTCCATGCATAATAAAATCCTCATCATTAGTTTTCAAACTTTTCTTTTTCTTTTTTCTGAAATTTAAAGACAATATATTTATATTGGATCATTTCAAACTACTTCAATATTTAGAAATTTAACCTTAAATTAATACAAAATAGAATTCAGACCAACTTTAATAAACATCTGTGCCAAGAGCTCATGATACACCCTTATTGTGCAAAGTCCCATAAATCTGGAATGACATATCAGAATTTAGTTGAAATTGAAAGTTTTGATATATGTTTACCAATTCCAACAATTATGTAACGACAAAGACAAATTTTAATAAATCTAAAGGGATCTTTCTTCCTTCAATCCAAATATTGTGTTAAAATTATAGAATTGGTTAAAGTAGCAAATTTGATATGTGGTACAAAGTGTTGGCAGACAGACGAACATTGGTATACCATATAATGTGTCACGTCTTTAGCAGAGGTATAAAATAGAATGTGTATGTATTCCATATATACAGGGATTTAAATAGTAAAATTGTAAAAAATTATAATGTTGTACTTTTTAATGGAAATGTATCGTATCAAAGTTTCAAGCCATCATTTATGGAGTATTCAGGATTTCTGCTCAATGTTCACCAGCTTCATGATTTCTTGAAATGGGACAGGCTCTATCAAATCCACTATAGTATTAAGTCTATCTTGACATATATGGTATAGACATTTATCTATTGCTGAAAACTGTATGCTAACCTCTACATGATTTTTTCAGTTTCATTGTCTTTTTGGGTTGCTGTCCCTTTGATAATTACCCAACTTCTCCATTTATTTATAACTTTCTATACAATTAAACCGTGTAAACGGTAATTCTAAATTTATCTTAGTGTTAATAAGTCAAAAAAAAATTCTTTCTGAGTTTTATAACTTTCTACACTTACATCTTTACAAATGTAAATATTTTCTTTCTATTTCCTGATGTTGTTTTCATAGACTTTTAAAACTAATAATTCATGCTATTATGGTGCATGGATATACAAATATGTCAATGTTCTACATATATCATGGGAAACTGGATAATTAAATATCATTATAAATTAATAAATCCTATTCTAATGGAAATTAAATTTGATTGTACAAACATACAAATGTACATCTTGCATGACTTTGAAACTAATGAAAATTTTTTAAAAATTTAAAACAGTGATGCAGATAAACATGGATATCCTTGCCAATTTCTTGAAAATTAATTCAGACAAAATATACACATATCTTATCAAGTCCATTGGAAAAATTCATATAGATATCATAAGTACATGTACAATCTGTTATTTTGCGCACTGGCAATTGTTTGATTTAAGCTGGAAGGATGCTAGTCTACAAACTTGAAAAATTCATAACACATATAAACATATAGGAAATAGAAGTCAAATTTATATACTATATTTATATCAGTACTTTCAATACACTGATACAAAAAGGTTATCAGAATATTATCCATGTGAAGAAGCACTTAATACTGAGTTTCCTTATGATAACTATAAATGTGACCGTGAGAAAATCCCAGGTTATCAGTATGTAGGTGTTATAAAATCACTGATATTGTCATGTAAATATAAAAGATAGTACACTGACATACCCTAACAGTCAGCGGTATTTAATAACTATATAATATAAATCGGTATTACCACTATTAAATGCAATACTACTACTTTCATCAGTTTTTCATTTGATGAAAGTAGGCATTGAAAGTACATATAATTCTATCAAATTAAATGACCAAATTCTTTCACAAATTCAAATCATTTTTAAATTTTTTATTATGAAAATGTTAGAAAAATTTAACAGCAAAACTAGCTAACATATCTAATATGTATAAAGTCTTTTAATCTCTATAATATAGTTATATATTTATATATTTCAATATTTATCAAGAAAAATCTGTGTTTGTCTCTTGTCTCATTTTTATGATATTTGACCATAAAAAGCAGACCAGTAAAACAACTTCAACTTTTATTACTTATTTGCATTTTTTCAATTTAATTTACGTTTGCATCTATATGTACCTTCAAAATTTGCAAACCAAAGCATACATTTATCATGTCGATATATATAGAAATTTGTGTGTACACTTGATAAAATTTAACCTTCCAAGGAGATATGAAAACATTAACATAATAAAAAAACAAATTAAATTGAAAAAAAAGAAATTTAAAAACAAAAATTGAAAGTAAGAGGTATACATGTACCTATAATCTTCAAAAACAATTTACAATTGTAAATTTCAATAGACAGTGATGAACCTAATACAAGATGAAAAGCTCACTGATAGCCATCACTCTATTATTGGGAAATAATTTTTAGAAAAAAGGATCTGATCTAAAATGTCTGATAGAACAGGATAACTCTTGTGTGACAAGTCTTCACTAATTCACAACTTGTGTATAGCACTTTTTAAACTTATGATAATTTTTGTACAGTAAAGATGGAGATTGAAATAATATATTGTTAACTTTTTCATAAATTTGTGCATTAAATAAAGAATAAAATGCTCCGCTGGGGCACAGCTTGATACGACTGCAGAGGTCAAACCCTGAACAGTTGGGGCAAGTATGGACACAACATTCAAGCTTGATACAGCACTGAATTTGGATGGTAATTAAATATTTGACACAGCATAGGTTTCTGACACAGAATGAATGTGGTGTAAGAACTTAAAATTTTTTAATTTACCTATTCAAACCATATCATTAGTATTTGCTTTTATATATAAATCAGAAATAACCAATTTAAAATGGAAAATTTTAAAGAAAAAAAAGGAAAAAAAATCTCCCCCCAAATTTTTTGAACCCCCTTATGATTCATCACCCCCAAACTCAATCCCAGCCTTCCCTTTGTGGTATGGTACCTTGCAGTACAATTTCAGAGAGATCCATTCACTTGAACACAAGTTTAATTGTCTGGAAACTAGAAAAATGCTTGTTTTTTGGCCCCTTTTTGGCCACAAATTCCTAAACGTTTAGGGCAATTACCCCCAAACTCAAACCCAGCTTTCCCTTTGTGATATGGAACCTTGCAGTACAATTTCATAAAGATCCATACACTGACACACAAGTTATTGTCATGAAACTAGAAAAATGCTTGTTTTTTTGCCCCTTTATGGCCCCTAATTCCTAAAATTTTGAGGGAATTACCCCCAAAATCAATCCCAGCCTTTCCTTTGTGGTATGGTACCTTGCAGTACAATTTCAGAGAGATCCATACACTTACATACAAGTTATTGTCATGAAACTAGAAAAATGCTTGTTTTTTGCCCCTTTTTGGTCCCCAATTCCTAAAATATGGAGGCAATTACCCCCAAAATCAATCCCAGCATTCCCTTTGTGATATGCAACCTTGTGGTACAATGTCAGGGAGATCCATACACTTACACACAAGTTATTGTCATGAAACTAGAAAAATGCTTGTTTATTGTCCACTTTTTTGCCCCTAATTCCTAAAATTTGGAGGCAATTACCCCCAAAATCAATCCCAGCATTCCCTTTGTGATATGGAACCTTGTGGTACAATGTCAGAGAGATCCATACACTTACACACAAGTTATTGTCATGTAACTAGATAACTGCTTGTTTTTTGCCCCTTTTTGGCCCCTAATTCCTAAAATTTGGAGGCAATTACCCCCAAAATCAATCCCAGCATTCCCTTTGTGATATGGAACCTTGTGGTACAATGTCAGAGAGATCCATACACTAACACACAAGTTATGTCTGGAGGTTACAAAAATGCTTATTTTTGGCCCCTAATTCCTTAACTGTTGGTACCATAACCTCCAAAATCAATCCCCACCTTCCTTTTGTGGTATTGAACCTTATGGTAAAATTTCATAGAGATCCATTCACTTAAACTAAAGTTAGAGTGCGAAAACCAATGTGTCTTCGACGACGCCAACTTCATACCAATATACGACCGCAAAATTTGTATAAAAATGAAATGCTATATATATGCAGTCAAAACAAAAGAACTGTACAGTTTATACATTACTTTTTATTCTCACATTTCACATTCCTCAGTTTTATCTGTACCTCAGTGGGAATTATGAAGGCCAAAAACAAACAAAATCCTCTGGCTCCTTCTGCCTATTACTGTAAATTCAGATATTAATGTGTGATTTTTTTATTGGGAATGCAGTTGATCTTCAGCAAAAATGTGAAATCAAAATGCGATAGCAAAAATTTTATGAAGGAAAATCACAACAGAAATTATGAATGCAAGTTTTTATTAATGCAAACATGATGCTTTTGAATTGTTTGCATTAATAAACACATTCTAATAATTACTAAATTTACAGTACTTTGGGAAAAATATGTGAATATGTCCAATTCAGGGGAGATAACAACACTAGATATGTCTGCAAATAAAACTAAAACTACCAGGTATTATGTGTAAAATAACCATGATCAGTCTGTGCCAAACTGTTTTAGGGTTTGTCTGACAGAAAAAGAAATTTGATGTTTTTCTACTATATTTTCAACTAAAAAATCTGAAAATTTCTGTCTGACTGAATGACTTTTTGTCTGACATTTTGTCAGTCAGACAGAGTTAGGGATACACTGCATGGTAACAAATAAAGCAAAATAAAATTACTCAATGTTTTCAATGACTTATGATTTAAAATAACCTCCTCCAAGAAATAAATGTTGGTTTTGGTTTTATTTACTAAAGATTGCTTCAAAAAAGAATAAAATGCTCCGCAGGGCACAGCTTGATACGACCGCAGAGGTCGAACCCTGAACAGTTGGGGCAAGTATGGACACAACATTCAAGCTTGTTACAGCTTTGCATTTGGATTGTGATTAAATATTTGACACAGCATAGGTTTCTGACACAGAATGAATGTGGTCTAAGAACTTAAAAATTTTAAATTGGACATTCACCTATTATGGTCCAATATCCAAAATCTAAATACATGGTTAGATTCAGCATATCAAAGAACCCTAAGAATTCAATTTTTGATGAAATCAAACAAAGTTTAATTTTGGACCCTTTTGACCTCAATGTGGACAAAGTTGATAACGGGGCCCAAA